CTCGGTGCGCACTTACCCGCGATCATCCGCGGTACGCTGTTCTACGCCTAAAAATTCGGCATATCCCACGCCACGCCACGCCACGGCCAGGGCTACCTCCCGCGCCCATCTCCCCAACTATTTTCCAAGGCCGAGCTCCAAGTCTCTGCAAATCCCGTCAACACACAACACAGCGGGCAACGGCCAATTGAGCAATCATGACGGTTTTCATAGCTTCGCTGTAAGTTTGTCTCCCGTCCGCTGCATTCTTGAGCTCGTCGCTTTCGGCGTGCATGGTGAATGCGAATGCAGGTTGGCTGCACTGACGTCATGAAGCGTTGAATTTTTTTTCTGGCTGCCAAAATACTCGTGAATTTGGTATCGTCAGACACAGTTTGCTAACAAACGGGCCAACTTTCACCTGCCTTCCTCCTCTCACAGATTCCTCCCCAAGACGGTCCATTTCGATCTGCCCGGGACGCCGCCACTTGCCGCGCAGCCGCCGAGCCTCGACAAGGAGCCCAAGAAGAAGAAGAAGGCTGCCGCATCCGCATCCGCAGCCGCGCCAGGCGGTTCCAGTCGAACGGCCACCGCCGTTGAGGAGGCCCTCTCGCTGTTTACGCCCCAGTCGGATATCACCCCGCCGGACACACCCACTGAGGACCAGAACACCGATCCGTTTGCCAACGAAGACGGCATCCGCATTGGCAATCTGCCCACGATCGTGGCCAACACCCTCGACGCCGCCACCTCTGCCGTCGCTGACGCCGTCTCCAAGTCGACCTCCAAAGATGCCACCCCGGCCGAGCGCGGCTCGCCCGCCTGGGGTACGCGCCGCGACCAGCCCAAGTCGCGCGCCAACTCCCCTCCCCCCGCCCTCCTCAATGGCGACCCCCACTTGACCGAGAAGGCCAAGGAGCTGCACCGCCAGGGCATCACACAACCGCGCACCTACCTGCGCAGCGACAGCCACGACCGCATCTTCTCGTCTGCTAACTGGCGCATTGTGAACGCCGACCAGGGCAATGGCGGCCTGCGCAACGCCGCCGCCGCCGCCGCGCGCGAGGGCAAGCTGGCTGACTACACCTGGGTTGGTACGCTGGGCATGCCCACGGACGCCCTCGAAAACACCCAGCAGAAGGAGGACATCAACGACCGCCTGGCTGCGGAACACAACATGTTGACCGTGTGGTGCGAGGACAAGGACTTTGACGGCCATTATGTCCACTTTTGCAAGCAGATCCTGTGGCCCGTCTTCCACTACCAGATCCCCGACAACCCGCGCAGCAAGGCGTACGAGGACCACTCGTGGAAGTACTACGTCAACGTCAACCAGGCCTTTGCCGACATCATCATCAAGAACTGGAAGCGCGGCGACGTCGTCTGGATCCATGACTACCACCTGCTGCTGGTCCCCGGCATGATCCGCCAGAAGCTGCCCGACGCCAAGATTGGCTTCTTCCTGCACGTCGCCTTCCCCTCGAGCGAGATTTTCCGGTGCCTGGCTGTTCGAAAAGAGCTGCTGGACGGCATTCTGGGCGCGAACCTGGTCGGCTTCCAGATCCACGAGTACACACGCCACTTTTTGCAGACGGTTACGCGCCTCCTGAATGCCGAGGCTACGTCGGACGGCATCCAGCTCGAAGACCGCTTCGTTGACGTCGTCAACATGCCCATCGGCATCGATCCGGTTGCGCTTGACGAGCACCGGGAAGAGGCCGAGGTGATGTCGTGGCTCAACGTCCTGCGGGAAAAGTACGAGGGCAAGAAGCTCATCGTTGCGCGGGACAAGCTGGACCACATCCGTGGTGTGCGCCAGAAGCTGCTGTCGTACGAACTCTTCCTCAACTTGAACCCCGAATGGCGCGGCCGCGTCGTTCTCATCCAGGTCGCCCTTTCATCAAGCGACCGCAATGAGCTGGACGCCACCGTGTCTGACATTGTCACGCGTGTCAACTCTCTGTGGGCCAACCTCGCCTACCAGCCTGTTGTCTACCTCAAGCAGGACATAGACTACCCGCAGTACCTTGCCCTGCTGACCGACGCCGACGCACTCATGATTACGAGCCAGCGCGAGGGCATGAACCTGACGTCCCACGAGTACGTCTTCTGCCAGGACGGCAAACATTTCGAGAAAAAGCACGGCAGCCTGATTCTCTCCGAATTTACCGGCACCTCGGAGCTTTTCCATGGTTCTGAGCTTGCTATCAACCCTTGGGACTACCGCGCCTGCGCCGACGCCATCAAGAAGGCGCTCGAGATGGACGAGGACGAGAAGAACACCCGCTGGTCGAAGCTGTACGAGGCCGTGCGCCACCACACCGGCTCGCACTGGTTCGCCGAGTTCTTGTCGCGCCTCGACCGCGTCTACGACGAACAGCATCGCCGTGACCAGACCTCTGTGCCGCGCCTCTCGATGCACACTCTGATCAGCCAGTACAAGCGGACGTCGCGACGCCTTTTTATCCTAGACTACGAGGGCACGCTGGTCAGCTGGGGCCCGGTGAATAAGATCATCCCGGTCAGCCCTCAAGTACGCATACCGCATCCCCCGTCAATTGTTTTCCCATTGCCCATCGTGTTCCATTCACTAACCCGTTCCTCTTAGCGCACCCTGGATGTCCTCCGCGACCTTCTCTTGGACGAACGCAACACCGTCTATGTTATGTCCGGCCGCAGCGAGAAGGAGCTCGACCGCCTGTTCCGACAGGTGCCTAATGTCGGCCTGATTGCTGAGAATGGCTGTTTCCTTAAGCACGCGAACGGCGGCGGTGCCAACAACGCCAACGGCAACAGCAACCCCTGGATCGAGATGGCGGACCCGGAGCAGATTCGCACGTGGAAGGAGTCTGTGAAGCAGATCCTTACGTATTACAAAGAACGCACGCCGGGCGCCGAGATTGAAGACCGCCGCTGCTCGCTCATTTTCCATTACAAGTCTGCCGAGGACTACGAGTCGGCCACGCGCCTTGCTGCCGACTGCGCCTCCCACATCAACGATTCGTGCGAGGAGCAGCGTGTGCACGCGATCCCGCTCGACGGCTCGATTCTCGTGGAGCCCGTCGACTGGACTAAGGGGACAGCCGCCGCGAAGATCCACGAGGCGCTGTGCAAGGAGATTTCGGTTCCGGCGCAGATTGAGGACGCCGAGGGGCCTGCCACTACCGGCAACCACGGGGTCGACTTCCTCATGGTCGTCGGTGACGGGCGCGACGACGACAAGGTGTTCAAGTGGGCCAACCAGCTGGGCGACGAGGGCAAGGTGAAGGAGGTCGTGACGGTCAGCCTGGGCAGCCGTAGCACGGAGGCCGCAGCAACGATGACACAGGGAGTCAGCGGTGTGCTGGTGGCACTCTCGAAGCTGGCGAACCTGGAGTGAAGCGGTTGACAGACGAGCCGCCAAACCTGACGGTCGTCTGTAGCTTTTTTTCGGCACTTCTTCTCCACTCTTCTCATTATCCCATCTCCCTCCTGACGACTTCTCGACGTTTGTGGTATCTTGAGAGTTTTGTTTGCATTTTCCTTTGTCTTATATTTCCTCGCACGTCTTTGATTTTCTTTTGATTTCCCTTTGAATTTTTTAACTTTTTTTTGATTTTACTATTTGGAATGCCGGTGCAAGGAATAAAATACGGCATGGGACAACAATGGTCAACACACGCAGCACTTACTTTATCCTTCTCTCTCACTCACTTCGTTTCTCTTTACTTGCAGTTTACTTTTGCTTTCTTTTGCATGTTTGGGTAGCGGGCGACGGATTCATGACATTACAAACGCATATGGTTACAAATTTACAGATATACAATATGGGCGTCGCTGCTCTGGTAGACCCAGCAATGGACCTTTCTTTTCTTTACAAACGGAGAATTACATTTTAAAAATATGAAGTGGTCATATGTGACTTTTACGTTGTTTTGAGTATTTTGGTTTTTTTTTTTTTTTTTTTTTTTTTTTTTTTTTTTTGTCGTGTCTGTATTTTTATCATGTGTTCTAATTTATTCCAGTCAGTCAACCATCGACTTTCCTCGTGTTGTATCCACGACATCACAGTTTTATTGTCGACTTGACAAGCTCTCAGACGAAACCTCGTATTCTAATGATACTCCAGTTCAGATGTCGTCCCAACTTCCGCCACGTGATTACCCCTGTTAGCTGCTGTTTAACCTTACAGTTGACAGCCGCTCGGCAGGGTTTAGCGTAGTTGCTGATTATTCTCACAACTGTAAAAACAGCCCGAGGCATCGCACCCCGCTATCGGAGAGCCCCTCCTTGCAGTTTCCTTGGGCCGTTTGTGACTCGTCGGTTCCTGCCAATAATGCTGCCGTCGTCATTTTGGCCGCAATTGTAATAATCCTAACTCCGCTGGCTCGGGCTTTGTGGCCTACACGGACTTCTACGCCCTACCACTTGTCTCGCATACATATGCTCGGCCGTTCTTCATTCTATTCTCTCCAGGATACTCTCTTCCCAATATCTCACCGCTGTGTTTCGCTTCCTTGGGTCCAATTCTCGCTCTTGTCCGGCCTGATCTCGCATTCTGACTGTATCCGTCCAGCGTCTGAGGTGAGTTTTTTTTGGCCGCGTGTGGCCCGTCCCGTGGGTTTTCTCTTGCCCGTGCTTATGTTTGCCCATGCCATTGAGCCTTGTTATTCGCCTTTTGTTGCCTGATTCGTCGCAAGTACTGTGCACAATATCTCAATTTGTTCCCGAGCTGTGCTTTCTGGCCTTGGTTCCTGCATGCTGCTGCGAAGGAAGCTGCGCCGCTTGTAACAAAGGAAGGCGTGTTGGGCCATAATACATAGCGTGGTCGGACCTTCCTGCCTTTCCGGGTCCCCACTGCCGCCATTGTGTCATATTCCTCTGGCCGTTTCCTGGCTTACGAATTGCTTCATTCTACACTCCAATCCCTCTCAGTTGACCTTGGCGCCGGTATTCTAACCGAAGTGTTCTGCAGTTAATCAAGTCCCGAGCAGTAGCCTTTCGCCTCTCCTCACACCGTTCCGTCCTCCTCCATGCCCACAATGTCGTTCCCACCGCCGCCTGTCGACACCATTGACTGGTCCAATGTCGGCTTCCGCGTCCGCGAAGTCAATGGCCACGTCGAGTCGCACTACTCCAAGGCCACTGGCAGCTGGTCCAAGCCCGTCTTTGTCACCGACCCCTACATTCGCATCCACGGCATGGCCCCCGCCCTCAACTACGGCCAGCAGGCCTACGAGGGCCTCAAGGCCTTCCGCACGCCGGGCGACAAGGGCATCCAGATTTTCCGCCCGGACCGCAACGCCGCCCGTCTGCAGCACTCTGCCGAGGTCATATCGGTCCCGCCCGTCCCCGAGAACATCTTCCTGGATGCCGTGCATGCTGCCGTGGCCCGCAACGCCGACTTTGTGCCGCCGCACGCCACCGGCGCCGCAATGTACATCCGCCCGCAGGTCTTTGGCTCCAGCGCCCAGCTGGGCCTGAGCCCGCCCGAGGAGTACACGTTCTGCGTCTACGTCCTGCCCACCGGCGTCTACCACGGCACCAACCCCGTCAAGGCCCTGATCCTCGAGGACTTTGACCGCGCCGCCCCCAACGGCACGGGCAACGCCAAGGTCGGCGGCAACTACGCTCCCGTCCTGCGTTGGAGCGAGAAGGCCTACAAGGCCGGCTACGGCATCACCCTGCACCTCGACAGCTCGCGCCACGAGGAGATTGACGAGTTCTCGACGAGCGGCTTCCTCGGCGTCAAGAAGGGCGCTTCCGAGGACGACATCACCATTGTGACCCCCGACTCGCACTCCGTCATCGACAGCGTAACCAGCGACAGCGTCCAGCAGCTGGCCCGGAGCTTTGGCTGGAAGGTCGAGCGCCGTGTCATCAAGTACTCGGAACTGCCGACCTTCACCGAGGTCTTTGCCGCCGGCACGGCCGCCGCCCTCGTGCCCATCCGCTCCATCACGCGCCAGCTCACCCCGGGCCATGCGCAGTCGCTGGGTGCCGGTGGCGCCTCCGTGCCAGCCAACGTGGCCATCAACAGCAACGGCGAGGAGGTCATCACCTACATGCCCGACAGCCAGACAGAGGCCGGCCCCGTATGCCTCCGCCTGCTGACACAGCTCAAGGGTGTGCAGCTGGGCAAGGTCGAGGACCAGTTCAAGTGGTGCGCGGCCGTTGTGGCCGAGGATGCCGCCAAGGCTGCAGACGAGCCCAAGGCGTCGTCTTAGATGGACGAGGCCGTGGACTTGGAGCGGCAGATGCAAAAGATCAATACGTGATGCGAAATTTTAGAAACATAAAATTCAAGAGCGGGACATGGAAAAAAGTGACAATGGCGGGCGCTTTCGGACGGTACGGAGGGTACAAAAAGCATGGATGTCTTGACCAAACCCCAATATATATACAATATACGTGACTTGCATACTGATCTCCCAATCGCACTCTGTGATATGACATGTAAGAGTGCTGCGGTCAAGGTCTCCACATATCTTCTCGGCATTTTGCTGAAGATTGTCCATGTGAAGATTGATTGAAAACGTAAAGCTAAAGAAAAAAAAAAAATAAATAAATAAATAAATAAATCAATACAAAAAATGATAATTTGTTCAGACGAGGGAAGCAAATAGTCAGCTTATGTCGCAGAAAAAAAAAATGATGTCCAGCACCAAAAAATCTCCCGGGGGCGAATCGAACGCCCGACTCTCGGATTTAGATTGTGTTACAATTACAGTCCGATGCCATAAACCAACTAGACCACCAGGAGTTGTTGTTGGGGAGATTTACTTGTAACTAGTTTATAAGGGTGGGTTTTCCCCACATTCACTCTACAAATTTGCCACGTAATGAAAGTTTGCACAGCTGAATTAAAGACGATGCTACAATAGGAACCCGGCTTCATTACCAAAACGTCGCAAAAACCATATTAGATTGCCATATCCATTGTCTCCCAGTATTTCATGCTATATCCTCGGACTCGGAGTAATGCTGACGCAAGATAGCCAGTGGCAGGGCATATTTGATGATCGATGAATATTGAACATAGCAGTAGCCACATCGGCAAAGTATCAGAAAAAGACGGCTCTTGCTAGCGAGATTCTAGAGAGATTTAGTGGATGGCTGGATGGGCCACTACACACCCTTCACCGGAATCTCGACTCTACTCGGGCGACAATAGTTTGCCGACAGCAGAGCCAAGCTGGACGGCCATTTAACATTCAACGTGGCACTTTAACAACATGTTTGCAAGGTTCAGCGCGCATATTTCACGATAACGGACATTACATAACGTAGAGTATTGGGTGGAATCAAATTGAGTTAAAACAAAAGAAATACATATGTTATAGCTAAAGTACAAAGAAAAATATATGAAAGGCGCCGATGGAACGACAGAGTCATGAGCGCAGAAGAAGACTCCGACCTGGGTTCCAAATCCCCCTATAGACAACATGGAAGCAATAGTATCCGCCGTTTGGTATGGTACACTCCAGAGGCGACCGTGGTGTAGACAACGAGACATGCCAGTACGTCATGAGCGAGTCACCATTGAATTTCACTGGGAGACAGCTCGGGTGGTGTAATGGTTGGGCGAGTTTGTCCTCTATGCTTTTCAGGACAATCTCAAGCTGGCAAGAGGAACAGGAGCAGGCCTTATAACTTTGCAAGAGATGTTGCTCTATCAGGTTTTGTTGAGATTTGACACTACTGCGTCTACAGTCTAAGGAGCCAGGGGGTTTAGTTGCTCGGCTGGTTGGTCGCTGCAGCGGCGGCAGCAACGGCCTTCTTGTGGTTGCTTGTAACGACCAAGCGCAGCAGACTCGTCGACTTTCCCTTGTTCCTCTTATCCGGTGTGCGGCCTGAATACGGCTTCCACCGCCGTTCCTTCGCAGAAGCTGCCAGCTTACGAGCCTTCTAGGCAGTCGCATGCTTAATTGCAGTGATGTTGTCATTGTAGCGGTTCAGGTCAAGAGCCACCGGGGTGAGCAGACCCTTTCCCGGTGCGTGACCCTGTGACACTGCAACTGAGGACTGGGAATGCGTGGTCGTCGTCGACCCAGCAGCAGCAGGCACAGCCAGAGCTGCATCGTCAGCCTCGGAGATGAGTTGGTTGATGTTCTCGGAGTCCTCGTGATAGGAAAGAGATTCATCCACGTCCATTCTGGTCTGAAGCTCATCGTTTCCCATAAAACTAGCACTAAATGCCGAATGCACAGAAGCAACAGCATCAGTGGTGGGAGTCGACGCCGGAGTGTTGTCTAGCTTCTCATTGCTGTTAGGGAGGAGCCCGTCAAGCTCCATGGCCCCGTAGAAGCTGGCTTGAAAGCCTGTTGGGATGCGCTCGGTATCGGCCTGTCGCGAGTTTGTCGGTGTTGTATGAATTAGAGCATCCAGCTCTTGGGCATTTGCAAAGCTTGTTGTCGATACCAGGTCGGAACTGTGTGCGTGCTCGTTGGCTTCAAAAAAATGGGATTTGAGCTGTTCAGCGCCATAAAACGCGGTTCTGAAAGGCCGGAGTGAATTTTTGCCTTCATTAGCATCGCCAATCTAAGGCGCGCTGGAAGAAGCAATGTTTCCTGTAGTGAAAGATGAATTAGTTTGGATGACGAGACAGTGAGGCAGATATCAAGAGAAGGTGACAACGTACCGCCAAAGGCTGTAGAAGAGTTGCTTACTGCACTGGTGCTCGCAAAGTCCTCCATAACTTCGTCGTTGGCGTTGACTCGCCCATCGTCTCGAAAGGTGCGATGAGTGCGATGGTCCATTGCGAAGACAGGCTAGCTGACTGTTCGGCTGGGAGATGGGTGTAAAGATGTTGAGTAGACGACTGATAAGGTATGGTGGGATATTATAATGTGTTTGTGGTAAAAGCGAGCAAGAGCGAGCAGCAGCAGCAGTTTGAAAGGGAGGAGGAGAAGGATAGAGAGCTAGATGATGAGTGGGGGATGGCAAGATATTTATAGACAAGTGGGTTGGGAGCCGGAGGGACCGAAATCAGTGGGTGGTTAGTCACTCCAAGCAGCGACGGGCATCAGACAATGAAACAAAAGACAATATGCTTTGCCATGTGACGATGCAATTGCTTGTCAGTGGACCCAAATTATATTGCGAAGTCGTAGCATGAAGGGGGGTCATTGTAACCAGCGAGGTGAATGTAGAGAGGAGAGGAGAATAGAGAGTATGCCACTGACATGGAGCACGCCCATCGTCGTTCAGATGAACATGCGATAAATGAGGGTGCTGCATTGGCTTTCGGATGTTGGCGTACGGCTTGTCGCTTTCTGGGGGAAAATGGCCGTGGTAGGAATTGTACGCTGTCGGAGGGAATGATGTGTGTTGCTATAACGTCCGCGTGGAGACCAACGATGTGTCCGTTGGATTCACGACTCTACACTGAGATGACCGCCACCACTATTTACTTGGGAGTTTAGATAGATGCAAGACCTAGAGGCGTATGAAAAGCGCGGCTCCGTTAGCATGGGATTGCCAAAACGAGCAGGACGTGGAAAATCCCATCAGAGTCCGGGCTAGGTGATGAGGTCTCACCACACACTCCTGGTACTATCGCAGACAATTCCATGAAGCTGCATGATTATGCCTCATCAATAATACGAAGTGAATTATGTCAGGCGATTATCTTCCATCTAGAGATGTCGTATAGTCGTTCTGTGATATGTCTACAGTGGGATGTGATCAAACGGACAGGCTTTGCAAATCATTTCTCGGTCCCTCCAAAAGGTTCAAAGATTGCAGCTGCGTCCATTCGCAAAGCTCACTCTCGTTGAAGTATGTTTTTTTCATCTACTCGGCTAACATTTAGATACAACGGGTTAAATGAACCTGCTCTTGATGGGCGTTATCGCGAACATTATATCTGTTCACGTCAACAAGCAGAAATGTAGATGGGGTAAAAAAAAGGAACAAGTGGATGGAGGTAGGTATAATATACAAACGGAAGCAGATAATGTGAATATAATCAATATGAAAGGAGTTGATATGTCAGCATCCATGGAGGCACGTCAAACTACGCCGATTCCTCCAGTAATATCATGACGACAATTTCAAATGTAATCGATGTCAAGTATTCAAATAATGTCTTAAATGAGGCTAATAAAATTTCACAAAATTACAGAGAGTATGCCTCCAGTCTATCAAGTTGGATTCACTTAAATATAACACGCCTAATTGTCTTGTAAAGGCATGTTGCGAGTTTCGTCTTCGTTTTCCGTCTTTTGTTTTCTTGCCCCCTTTTGTCCAAACTTTGGCGTGTGAATGGCACGTGACCAGTCATATGCCGGTTTCGTGCAATCGCAACCCGAACGTACGCAACTTAAACAAGACGCCAGTCTTTCGTAACTGTCTAAGAAAATACGACCAAGCCAAACCAATAGGTCTGCCAAGAGCGGGGATGTGCTCTCGGCTAGACATCTACGACATGCAGCTGTCCGATGAACAATGGGAACAAACGCACCACAGATCAACCACTTTGTCACTACCTGTTCAGGACCCACTTTTCTAGCTATTGTTAGTTCCTTGAAATATCATTGGCTGTCAGACATCACGGTCCACTTATTTTCGATTTTTTGGGACCTCCGTCAACGACATGCCTTGTCACTCTCACTGAACATCACAAAGCTCTATTGATACCACCAACAACAACTCCGCCCCTTTCCGTCACATCTGATTGCAGAAGGGTGGTCGTCCCATAGACTGTTCATTCACTTGACCTCCCAAACCGCTACTTTGTTATTCTTTCGTCCCACTCCACCGTTCACAATGGCCGACAAGACGTGCCGGATTCTGGTCATGGCCAGCGGCAACGGCTCCAACTTCCAGGCGCTCGTCGATGGCATTGCGGCCGGCAGCATCACGAACGCGCGCATCACGCGGCTGATTGTGAACCGCGGCAAGGCGTTTGCGACGCAGCGGGCAGACAAGGCGGGCATCCCCTGGGAGTACTTCAACATGGTGACGCACGGGTTCCAGGCCAAGGGCGAGAAGGACGCCGCGGCGCTGCAGGCGGGCCGCGAAGCGTACGACGCGGCGCTGGCGCAGAAGATTCTGGACGCGCAGCGCGACGACGAGCGGCCACAGCTCATAGTCTTGGCCGGCTGGATGCACGTCTTCACCAAGGCGTTCCTGGACCCGATTGACGCGGCGGGCATCAAGGTCATCAACCTGCACCCGGCGCTGCCCGGCAAGTACGACGGCGCGGGCGCCATCCAGCGCGCGTACGATGACTTCCAGGCGGGCACGCTGGAGAACAACACGACAGGCATCATGGTGCACTTTGTCATTGACGTGGTGGACCGCGGCGCGCCGATTCTGACGCGCGAGATTGTGGTGCAGCCCGGCGAGACGCTGGCCGACCTCGAGACGCGCATCCACGCCGAGGAGCATGCGCTGATTGTGGCGGCGACACAGAAGGTCGTGCAGGAGGTCGTGCAGGCCGAGGAGCGCTCGTCATTATGAGGGACGGGCATCATGTGCATTCTTTTCTGTTCTTTTCATGTTTCGGTCTGTTTACATCATTCAAGGCGTCTGCGAACACAAGGTAGAATATATCTCTGTTTCCTGAACAAAGTATCAGTTTCCACGGACATTCTCTTTTCGTATACTGGCCAACCTGTAGCAGGCTGTATCTTTGTGGAATTCACGGTCGCCATATGCGTCGCCATCTATCATCTTCTACTCCTTTTTCTCATCACCGTCCACTATTCACTTCTTCGTCCACATGCGTAGGGAGAGGGCGGCCGGCCTGCACAATCCGTACACATCACCAAACAACCACGTCGCCCTATGATTCAGCCGCAATAATGGAACCGACAACTCATTATATTCGTTTGTCGTCTTAGCGACCATCGCGACCACTCCACCTACAGCATCCAGCATCGCTCCTTCCCGAACAAGCATCATCTGCACCTGCTACTTCACTCTTCCCCAACGCAACCAAAGACCTACACCCCCTCAAGGCTCTTGCCACCACCCTACCGCCTTCTGCTCTTCTTCCTCACCAAAACAAACTGATACTGCCGCCTTTATCCCATTCACCGCCGCCAGAAGGTCGTGATGTTTTTTGCATGCTCGCACGGACCAAGTGTGCTCCTGCTCCCAGGGTATATATATCTGCCATCCCTCCCTATCTTTTCCTTTTTTTCTCTCCCTTCTCCTACCAAAAATCTTCTGAACCACGACCTAGGAAGTAGCCCGTTTTACATCCACATTCGTGACTCAGTTCTCACCTTTCCACTGCCTTCTCTTCTCTTCTTCCATCTCTCTCTCCTCCTCTCCTCTCCTCCTACCCTCTTCACTATCCCACTTCTCCCTCGTCACCACCATCACTCTCGTCGCCATGGTGCTGCCGAAGCCCATTCCCGCTATGGAGGACGACCCGATCTCCGTGTCCCCCAACGCACTGATCCTCTGCACGCTTTCCGCTCTCGCGGTGAAGCTGTTCGTTCCGACTGGCGACATCGCTCTGGTTCTTGCCATAGTTCTTCTTGTCAAGGTCTTGAGCTATATTTCGTGGACCAAGGACGTTGTCGCCAACGACAACAGCGATGCTGGCCCCGTCGAGCAGGGAGTGGCATAGAATGCTGCTCGCGGCTCAGGCGAGGTCGGCATTGACGACGAACTTGACGCTGGCTCTGCCACCGGTCTTGTGACTGACGACGGCACCGGATCGGCCTTCGACACCAGCGGCAACACCATCACAGGCACCATGTCTTCTACGGCGTCGCCCACCATTGACCTCGCTTTGGCACTTGACAGCTTCGAGAGCGCCTGTAAGTATTCCTCTCTCCTCCCTCTCTCGTTCCTCTGACCTCCTACTGACTCTGCTCCTGCTGCATAGTTGACACTTGCTTTCACAAGACCATTGAGGAGAATGCCCTCTCTGAGGCCCAGCTGACAGTTGCCAACCTCACTCTCCACGACACTCTCACCCCGGGCCCTGTCCTCCGCATCACCTACTATGGGGATGAGGATGATTTCCTCCTTACTCAGTCGATCCAGTCGGCCGCATTTGGTGAGGTTGATGAGTCTTTTTAGGATGAAGACTCGTCGATGTTCATTGACTTGTGAGTATCTTCTTTGCTATCTCTGTCATCTCTGACATCTCTAGTTCTCATACTAATCACCTTCTTTCTACAGCCCGGATCAATATCACAACCGAGAGACCAGCTCCCATAAAGTCCCCGATGCCGACATTGATGACAATGAGCTTCAAGTCGACATGACCTCGGAGCTCGGCCACGAGGATAAGAAGGAGGATGATACCATCGTCTCCGACCAGGATGTTGAACACAACGAGGACATGTCCATGATTCAACTTCCCAACATGCATGACTGTCGTCTCAGCGCAGGACTCGGTCACTGTGAGTATCACCCCCAGTTACATCTGCCTTCTTTGCCTTGCTTCTCTTCTAACCGCATTTGCATAGACACCTCTGAGAGCATTGGGAACATTGAGAGCCACTCGGACATCTCCAGTGATGTCGACGTCCCAGAATCTGCCAACATTGACGAGCTTGAGCAATTTGACGAGCCCACACAAAACAATGATGAGCAGCAGCTGGATGAGCAGAGCACCCATGGTCTTTCTACTCCCATCGACAAACTTCCAGCTTCCGATGACATGGAAGTTGAAGGACCCAGCTTTTCCAACCAGCCCACCTCCGATATCAACTTCGACGACCATGAAGATGGACCAGCTGCCGTCCGCGAGCACGACCGCGAAAACCTCTGCTCCGCTGAAAAGATGTTTGACAATCCTCTTCCTCGTCCCCGCTTCACCACAAAATATGCGAGCATCGACGACGACACCAGCCTGGAGTCTCCTGGCGACAAGTTCCGCCTCAAGCTTCATACCATATTTGAGGAAACCGAAGAAGAACGGGAGATGGTTCGTGAGATCTTAAAGGCCCGCGGCCCAGCTCCGACCTACGCCCCTATCCTCGAAATGGCCCGGCTTCCCAGCCTCTCCGATGATGAATACGAGGAGCCCTCGCTGAAGTCGCTCGACATCAGCATTGAGTCGTCCAACTTTGACACCCATCCCTCGCTCATGAAGGCCCCGGAAGTCAACCCCAAGCCGGCACCCAAATCCGAGTTCCAGGTCTCACCTTCGCCAGAGCCCAAGAGAAACTCCTTTTCCTTCCCCCGTCCGGCCAAGACCACCACCGCATTGACGACTAGTTGCGATGTTATTCCCAACTATACTTCCGCACTTCCCACGCCACCCACTACTCCCAATCCGATTGTCGTCGAAAGCTCTGACGACACCTCTTGCAAGCATGCCACAGCTTCGACCACAGCCTCTGCTGACAACGAGGATGCCAATCTTGCCGGCACTTCCTTCCAGAACAACTCCTTGAGCTCCGACTCCGAATCGGACGAGCTTGACTACTTTCTCCGGCAGGCAGGCTTGGACGTGACTACCTCGCCCGCCGACAATTCCTCCAACGGCAACGGTACCAATCCAGCCGATCCTATCACAGCCAGCACATCCACCGGCATCGTCCCTGAATCGATTCCTACCATCAACATGACGCTCGCAGAGTCGATGCAGGAGGCCTAGGAAACCCTTTCTTTGCACTCTACGGACAGCCTCGACGCTGCTGATGAGTATGGCCGCAATTATGACCGTCTGTGTGGCTACAGCCTCCCACGGTGCACCTGGGCCTTGCTCGACAAGCCTGCTGCCTTTGGAAAATGCAGCGGTCCGCTTCTGATGCTCACAACCCCCGAGGGAGACATCAAGTACCCGGAAGACATGAAGTGCTATGATGGCGCCTTTAACTGGGCCGACGACAGCGACGAGGAGGAGGAGGAGGGCGACTCGGACGCCTACTATGCTTCCGCGTCTCCTGCTGCTACAAAGTCGACTTGAGTGATATGATGCCTGCAGAACGGAAGGCGATGAAATGGATACGACAACCAGAAAAGCACAAAAAAACATGAAAACCCCACAAACCCCATCAAAAAAACTTGAAAAACCACAATACGCCCAAAAAACCGGCTTGCCTTGTTTGTTTTCGGTGTTGGCGTCGGTGGCCACCGCTACGATGAGAGTCCTCTTTTGCCTTGCTTGCTGTCTTTTATCCCTGCTTCTTGATCTTTTGTCGTTCTACTTCTGCTTGTTTTGTACCACATCCTGTACCCCGAGCACCACCGCGATGAGGGCATTGTTCATGCGGCATTTGTTTACTGGTGTTTCGGGTTGATATAGATTCCGGTCGATACCCAAAATTGTTTCTTTATCTCATGGATGTTTTGTTTTGTTATATTGTGTTTGCTTTTCACTCTGGTTCTATTTGATTTCCACGCCACTGGCGTTGTCTCTGGGCCTGGTCGCTCCTCCACACGCAGACACACAAGTTGTTCGCTGCGCAGACCGCCCGCACAATGTATCTTGCTTGCCATCTTCATTATTTCTTTACTGGTTTTTATGCCTTTCGGCTTTTCTAGTTACATTTTGCACGCACCTAGATACACACTGGTTTTTATGCCTTTGGCTTTTCCAGTTTTTTTTTTTAAAATGATCAAAACTACAACCTACCACAGAATCAAGTCAGAAATGCACATCGTGTCGTAGAAATGTTACAAGTTGAACATTGTTGAACCGTGAATCGGCATTGTGAGCACTTTGATGCTTTGAGATTGACGAACAGGACTGATGTTGTGATGCAGCTACCCGAGACAGACGATCCGAGACAAGCCACCCGAGACGACGACAGTTGAGACTCGATACAACTCGACATTTCCGACCGACTCGATATTAAGCAGTCTTTAAGTGTGACTATAAATTCCACGGCCAAACACGTTTGTCAAACTGGTGTTGGTCCATTTAACAGCTAATGATAATTTTATTGCAGGGTATCATATCCGAATGTCCAATGATTTCTTTGCTCCTGTGTCCCATACCAAACTCCGAAACGCAATGTTTTAAAAAAGAAGAGCAAAACAAGACAAGTGACCCAAGCCCACTATTCTGACTCCCTCCCGTTCTGACTTGTTTTAGGATGCCATGCGGACCATGCAACTGCTATTCTTTGTTGATTCTACGCTTTACCATGCCCTGGTGACTCTCTAGCGCTGTTGCAGCTGCTCGTGTGTGGCCTTCTCATGAGCGCGGACCCGGCTCTCGAGCTGCTGCTTCCACGCGACCAGAGCGGCCTGTGTTCGCTGCGGCGGCTGGGTGAGCGGCGTGGACGGCGAGGTGAAGGCGGGGGCCTCGGACTGCCCCAGCGTGCGACGGCCCTGGTCCAGCCACAGGCACCACACGTCGACGGCCAGGCCGACGCGCTCGTCATGCAGCGGGCAGCAGGACATGGGCGCCACGCGGCCAAGACTGAGGTCGCCCTCGTAGCAGATGGGGTCGTTGCAGGTGTTGTCGAGTGATGTGTGCGATGCGTGCGGTGGCGAGCCGCTGCGCCGGCAGGGGTGCGTCTCGGCACGGGCGCCGGTCAAAAGGGCTGGCATCTCGGCCATGAGCGCATACAAAACGTCGACACTGGTGGCCGTGTCGTCCGCCTCCTCCTCCATGGCGCTGTCGTCATGCCGCTGTTCTTCTTTTTCATTGTGTGCCAAGAATCGCCGGCGTGCGTCGACAAGCATCTCCATCAGTGCACACACAGAGCGGCCCACGCTGGGAGTGGCGTAGGCGCTTGTGATCCACGGTGCCCGCGTCTTATCCATCATCCCCGGTGCATGCTCGTCACCGTCAGGGTTGGCGTGGTCGCTGTTATCGTATCTTGTGGTGGTGCTGCTGCTGCTGTTCTTGTTGGAATATTGCTCAAAGAGCGTACCGGTCAGCCAAGTCCAGAATGTCGAATCGCTCTCAGCGGCAAAGTCTGGGTATGTGGGAAGCGCTGGCGCAGTCGTGGCCAAAGCGGTTGGCGTGTCTGGCATGTCCCAATCCATTTCCGTGCCACAGCTTGCGTCCAAAGTGACAAACTCAAGGTCAGCACCAAATACATCAGAGTCTTTCCATGGCAGGTACTGCGGCGGCTGCAACATTTGTCCGTCGTCTGGCCGTGCCCACACAAAGAGTGTCGGGGCGAGTGAAAACAAGACGACGAGGAACTGCGGCAGGTCGGCGTTGCGGCCGCGACAGGTGGACTTGTCGCAGTTGCAGACAATGGCAGGATCCGCAAGGACGTTCCCCAGGAGACGAGCAATGCCGTGGTCATAATTGCTGCCGTCTGTGTCGATTGTGCTTTCATCAAAGTAGTGAGCGACGCTGGGGTCAAAGGAAAAGCCAGGGAGGGCCTGCAGGGCAGTCCACACGCTGTGGGGGGTGACACGGCGAAGTGGTTGCGGAGATGATTGCGGAGACAGACCGTAGTCGGGTGAAAGGAGAGCTTCAATCTGGTCATACGACGACGCACCCGCCTGTGGCTGGTGCAGCATCATGGTCGCCCGTCCCTTGCGCACGCGCTGCTGGTTCAGAATGCGGCGGTAGCGGGTCTCTTGGAAGCGCTGAAGGCGGCCGCTGATGCCGTTGGTAGAGGGTGCTAGGCGCACACCGCCAGCGAGGCCGGGATCGATACCGTCGGCTGCCAGGGGAGCACCCCCCGCTGCCCGGCCGATGCCACTCATGCCGCCGCTGCGGCCGCCGCTCCCAACACGGCGGTGCTGTACTTTTCTCGTAAACGCACGCCCGACTTTGACGGGAACGTGGTGGCGTTTTGTCGGCCGTCTTGACAGGCCGCTGTCGTTCCTGCTGCCTGCAGTTGCATGCTGCCTGCTGCCACCCCGGGCGAGGACGTAGTCATGTTCCAGATCCACGTCAAGGGCGAAACCAAGATCGTGGTCGCCATCATCATCGGCGTGGTCACGATGGTCGCAGGGATCGCCCTGGTTTTCGCCGTCGCCGTGGGCACTCTCCTCGTCAAACTGTGCTTGGCTGTACCGGCTGTGGCTGTTCTGAAGAATGGATGCAACGTCAATGGCGGCTGTTGTGGCCGTGATGTGGTTTTGGGACGGGGCTGTTTTCGGGACAGTTGTTGTCATTTTACTGGCGGGGCGGGTTTCTATGGGACTGGAAATGCTAGCCGCCCCGGCGCGCTCCGTCTTAAAATCATGTGGCACGCTGGTATCCAAATCGGACGGCTTAGGACGATGCACCAAGGCAAATGTGACGGGCAAGTCGTCGGCAGATCCACGATGTTGCGGACTTGGGGTTCTGTGGGGCTCAGACGCGCCGGCATCCCACTCCGGCGCGCCGCTGTTGTCCATGCTGATTGAATGCCGCTCTATCTCTTTATATGTGCTGCTGTATGGCAAAGGGTCGTCGACAATGAGTTGAAAGTCGGGATATCTGATTGACGTCAGTTGTTGTTGTGTTGCGGAGGAATTGGGAGCTGATGTCATTGCAAGTGGATGGAGCTTGTGCGGGGCACACGTGACGACTAGATTATCATCACGTGGACATGCCCGCCAAGCTAACACGGCCTCTAACTTCCCTCATCCGCTAGCATCCGCGATTTAGATGTGGCTGCATCGTATTGCACCAACGTGACGACCACCTTTCCATTGTTTCTTGCTTCCAGACTCGGCGCGGGAGACTCGAAGTAACACAGAGGCATTTCTTCTTTCTTCTTCCTTCTGGGCGCGTGCCCGGCGGGTGACAAGACACCGGCGCGCCACAGTGCCAAGCCACATTTATTTAAGAATTCAAGCCAAGAAATTCGACCAACAAGTTGACGAGTCTAGAGGTTGAAAAAGGGACAAGAAAGGCTCGGCAAGGGACTGCCCGCTGTCCGACATCCGTGCTATTTTTGTTTGTTGCACAAACGTCCCCCACCTGTCGTCATTTTTGAACATCTGCCGCAAGGCAACGGTCTCCCGAGCGGCGCCTTTTTACGCCCTGGACGCATTTTACTTTTTTACGCGTTTTGAGTGCGCTGACGACATTGGATGTCGCCATGACGAACCATATGATAACAGCTGTTCCCGCGAGACGCATACGATATGACATGCATTTGCACGCTTCTTGATTTGTATAGAGAAACGAGGCGGTGGGTTAGACCATTACGGTTTTCCTTTCTTTTCTTTTCTTTTCTTTTCTTTTTTTTTTTTTCTTTTTTTCCCTTTCTTTCTGTCTTTTTCAGTTACGTCCTCTCCTTCCCTCCCCAGCTAATCTTTCAAGCTCATGCGCCATATCTACAGAGCACAGTTATTTAAACTATTAGACTATCTTAGCCTTCTCGCTGCCGACGGGACTGCTACGCATGGTTTCCGCGAGGCCCAATTGCCTGCATCGACCATTATTCCGGACAAAGATGGCACCATCGGATCGACTGCTGACGAACGGTGCCAGTTCGTGCAGATCTCCCCGTGGGGGCTTCTTCCCCTGGTCGCCGTGTTCTTGTGGCAAAGTAAGCACTGCATAGGCTTGCCCTTTTGTGGAAGAACAAACCCCCACACGGAAGTGTTTCTTCTCTTATTTTCTTTTTCTTTGCCTGCCCACCATGTTTTCTTTCAGTACGACGTACGGCATACTCTGTACTTGTTTACCGTGTTTGCAACTCTTTGGCCGTCGACGTCGCATCGAAATCCGAAAAGTGACGTTTCCCGAACAAGATCCACGTCCGTCGGCCGACATCCACAAACGAAAGGCCAACTTTGCTCTCCGATGCAGGCTGGAGACACTGTCACCAACTTCTGTAGTCTTTGCCTGTTGAGGTGTGCTGCACTGCCAGTGTCATGACAGACTGGGATGTACGTTCTGACCAAATTTAATCCAAGACCTGCTCTGCGGTGCATCCTCGGAGCGGTATGTTTGTTATTCAAACTGCCATTCCTTCTTTGTATTTATGTTCTCCATCTCCCTCTTGGCCAGCATAGAATACGACGCAGCTGCCGGTGGAAGAAATGCCAAGCCCTGTGCTGGTTGTCTCGCGGCTCGCGGAATCTCTTCTTGCTTATCCACTTCCAAAGACATTCCAATCATCCAAGGGCGACTTCTCAGACGGCATCTGTCATGTCGACTTCAGTCGACTCCGCTTTCTTCAAACACGGCCATTGCCCTTCTGGGTGCATCGTACTCACCGATACTACATGCCATGACAGAGTGTTTGGGGTGACTGTAAAGAAAAATGTCGAGTCAGCCCGAATGCACCAGGCGGGATCCAGACGAAGCATATGAACCTTGATGATCGTAAACTGTCGTGTGCAATGCTCCGTCCGTCTAGCAGGACCCAACATCCAGGTTCCACTCTTGCCCCCTCACAGCTAGGTCTCCTCTTTCGTGCCCTTGTGGCCCTCAGCCCAACATGCCCTTGGCTGTTTTATGTGTCCTCGTTTTACGACCCCAGCTGTCACGTACTTTGGATGCCGCATGCTGTCATAGTTTCCTGTGGACGCTGATTGGCTCTGGAAGTAGTTTTGACGTCCTGTTTTGGCAATGGGTCCCGTTGACAAGACAAAACAAATAGAAACAAAAGGCCTGCCGCCACGTCGTCCCAAAAAGGAAAAAAAGACAAGAAGGGAACCAAGTTTACGAGATACAAGTTACCATCTTCAGAAGAAAACGTGTCGCTACATCTACAGCATACCCTTGCCTTGTCTTCACAAACGCCACCGGTGGAACCTCGTCAACCTTGGCATCGCCGTCCTGCCGCCGTGAAAGACTGCCGCGAGACGAGCAAGTCTGGTGCAAGGACTTGGCATCGTCCATGGTACCAAAGTATTTCTCGCATGCCAGCTTGACGCCCTACGCTCTGACACGGAGTAGATAACAGTCCTCCATATCCTTTTCCGTTTCTTTTGTTCTTCCCTCTCGGTTCTCACTCAGGGTGTATAGTCCCGCACGAGACGAGAGAAGAAAACACGCCGTTCTACTTTCGTCTTTCTTCAGGTTCACCCGGTCACAACTCGCCCACCATTCCTGCCTTATCCCGCCAGCACTCGGAAGAGTGTCAACCCCTCCTCCCCTCTTCGTCGGGCAGCATGTCTCCGCCTGTTGAGACGTCCGAGGCTGGCAAAGCCGGCAAGGCCGGCGGCGGTGATGACGACGTCCACACGACGTCGCCGTTGCCGGCGGCTGCCGATGCCAAAGAGGCCACCGTCGACGTGACGGACAATGCCGGCTTATCTTCAGACGAAGACGGCTATGCCGACGACGACCGCACAAAGAACCCGTTCCTCGACCCGGAGGCCGCCGCCTACTGGCGCAGTGTCTACGAAAAGGCCAAGTACGAGTGCCGCCACGTCTTCGACCCGACATTTACCTGGTCCGACGAGGAGGAGCGCCGGCTTGTGCGCAAGCTGGACTGGCACGTGTGTCTCTGGGCCTGTGTCATGTTCTTTGGCCTGCAGGTCGACCGTGGCAACCTCGTGCAAGCCGTGTCGGGCGAGCTGCTCTCCGAGCTTGGTCTGACCACAGATGGTATGTTGGCGGCTACTCCCTTGTTTATTTATTTTATTTTCTTTTATTTCCTTTTTTTTTTTTTTTTTTTTTTACCCCTGCTAATCAACCCCCAGACTACAACTACGGCAACACCGTCTTCCGCGTTGCTTTCCTCCTGGCCGAGCTGCCGTCCCAGCTCGTGTCCAAGAAGATCGGCCCCGACCGGTGGATTCCCATGCAGATGGTCATGTGGTCTGTGGTCGCCATCAGCCAGGCCGCGCTCTCCGGCCGCACGTCCTTCCTCGCCACCCGCGCCCTGCTCGGCATCCTCGAGGGCGGCTTCATCCCGGACATTGTCTTGTGGCTGTCGTACTTTTACACCTCGCGCGAGCTGCCCGTCCGCCTCAGCTACTTCTGGACCTCCCTGTCCGTCACGACCATCATCACCTCCCTGCTCGCCTTTGCCATCTTCCACCTCGACGGCGTCGGCGGCCGCAGCGGCTGGCGCTGGCTCTTCTTGATCGAGGGCGTCATCACGCTCGCCGTCGGCGTCGCCTCGTTCTTCCTGATGCCCGCGTCCGCCGTCCAGACCAAGGCCTGGTACCGCCCCAAGGGCTGGTTCACCGACCGCGAGGTGTCCATTGTCGTCAACCGCGTCCTGCGCGACGACCCCAGCAAGGGCGACATGCACAACCGCCAGGCCGTCACGCTGCGCCGTCTGTGGGAGGCCCTCCGGGACTACGATCTGTGGCCCATCTACATCATCGGCATCCTCGCCTACATCCCCCAGTCGCCGCCGGCCACGTACATTACGCTGATCCTCAAGTCCGCCGGCTTCAGCACCTTCAACACGAACCTGCTGACCATCCCCTCGAGCGCCCTGCACATTGTCACCCTGATTCTGCTGACGCGCCTCTCCGATTTTTTCAAGGAGCGCTCGCTCGTCGCCATGATTCAGAATCTGTGGACGCTGCCCTGCCTCGTGGCCCTGCGCTGGTGGCCGGGCCTGATTACCGACCGCTGGGGGACTTATGCGCTGGTCACGACTCTGTTGTCCTACCCCTACTGCCGTGAGTGCTATCTGTGTTATGTCATCTTTTCTTTTCTTTTTTCTTTTCTTTTTTTTTTCTTTTTTTCTTTCTCTCTCTCTTTTTTCTCGTCTTCTGTTATAATACTGACCGTCTAGATGCCATCGCCGTCGGCTGGGCCTCCAAAAACTCCAACAACGTCGGTGCTCGCTCCGTCTCTGCCGCTCTCTACAACGTGAGTTCTCTCTCCGGTCGTCTTCTTCGTCCCTCATGTTTGACTTGTTTCACTTGTTCAGTGTCCTGACGACCAACGCCTCTCCAAAACAGATCTCCGTCCAACTCGGAAGTGTCATTGCTGCCTACATCTACCGTGCCGACGACGCCCCCCGCTACCACCGCGGCAACATGTACCTCATCGTCATCAACTTCCTCGCTATTGGCAGCTTCCTCTTTGCCAAGGTCTACTACATCTACCGCAACAAGCAGCGCGACCGCGTCTGGAACGCCATGTCCCACGACGAGCAGATCAAGTACAAGCGCGAGACCCGTCTGCAGGGCAGCCGTCGCCTCGACTTTCGCTTTGCTCATTAGGTGATGAAGAGAGGGGAGACAAAGAGGAGGATGGATGAGGACAGCATTGTGAATGACAGCAATGATCCAAGGAGCAAGCGTAAAGACAAAGTTGTTGATAGTTGTTGATAGACGGAGGAGTAAGACGCTTAATTTCTTGCTCGACTTGATGCGTCAGTAGATCATGCGTAATATACCTTGTGATGACGCAAATGTACCCAGCATTGCCTTCACTGTTAAGACACATGACCCAGTGCACAGTTTCATTCAATGACAAAGGGAGAGAGCGGCCAAGGGTAATAGTGCTTGATGCCAAAGAATAAAACGAAAAAAAAAAAAAAAATACGAAGGGTTAATATAAAACTTAGCCATCTCCATACCTGGCTGATAATCCAGACAACACTCATCGTTTGAGACCAAAACCAAGTACCGTCGCTGGCTTGCCTCGCTAATGAAAAGCCGTCAAAGCAGAAATTAGAGTCTGCACTCGTTAGTGTCTGTTCCACAAGCGCCTGTGTTCAGTGCGATCGATCATTGAGGAAAAGAGGGACAAGTGTGGCACAGTATCAGAGGAAATTGGTAGATAAAAGTTATTCTCCTGCACGGCAGAGTCACAAAAAACTTGTGGGCCATGTCAAGTACAATCTTAGCGATAAAACATCATGCTGTGCCACAGCATGCAGGGACGGAGAGTGAAAGATAATGCGGGTGGATTCAAAGAACACATACCTGTTGACGACTCTGGCCCGTTACCAAAAACACCGGGCCGGCCACGGCCAAAATATACCCTGCCTATTGAACATCCTTGGAACAAACGCCGTCGTAGAGGACAAATGAAATATTAAAAAAAAAAAACGTAAAACGAAATACGACAGCACGCCTCAGTCTTCAGCTCGCTTCAGCCCTGTCGCAGAACTGACACTGCTAAAGACAGACAGCACACTGTCGACCACAGCCTTGGCCATGCCCTGGCCGCGCTTGGATGTCGAGGACGAGGACAGGCCGCTGTTGATTCCGCCGCCGCCACTGCCGCCGCCGCCCAACCCGCTGGCGTCGTTGCTGCCGCCGCCCATTGTCGGAAGCACGTTGTCACTGGCCGACAGGCTCACAAACAGCGCAAAGGGCACCAGCCACACGCAGATGCCAAAGTAGGATGCAATCTGCATAAACGTCGGCACGTTGGCGGGCGTGTCGTAGTACGACGACATGTTCTGATAGGCACGCTGCTGCGTCGTCGAAAAGTACTTGAACCAGACGTAGTGGTCGAGCAGCACGAGCACGCACGAGAGGAGGAAAAGAGGGTCGCTCAGCTGGACGTAGGGGAACCGCCGCATGTTGCCAAGGTAGACGACATGGGCAAAGACGCCGAGCAGTGTCTGCCACAGGGGGAACCGGTCGACGATGCAGAGGACGGCCTGGAGGACGATGATGCCCTGGATGAGGCGGTTGAGAAAACGCTTGGCGAACACGGTATGCTCCTCGACGAGTTCGGAGAGGTAGTAGAGGCCGGAGGCTGTGAGAAGAGGCAGCGTTAGGTTGCGTGATCAGACCTAGACAGAACGATGCAAGGTCGTATAGGAAGCACATACCAATGGCGAGCGTCAGGAAGCCGAAGCCCACGACGGCTCCCACATAGCCGACGAGCGGGAGAATCCACATGATGGCGAAGAGAAGGAGGGGGAATATGGACGAATGTCAAGAGAAAGACAGATGCGAGAAAAGAAGCTGCGGAGGACACTTTGCTCGGCCGCGAGCTGCGGAGGGAAATGGAGCGTGGAAACAAGAGAAGAGCCTGTGGAGAGTATGTCGACTTCTAATCGCAACGGTGCTGGACAGCTGTTCCTTTTGCGTGTCGTGGCCGGACCAGACTTAGCGCGTGGCAGGTACCTGTTTTCGGCAGGCGTGGTGGGAGGCAAGAGCTATGTCAAAGCTGGCTGCGGTGGGGCTTATTGGAGGTGGCTAGTTAATCCGGAGAATTAGTCCGGAAAGGGAAGGGACGCCAAAAATAAAATGGAAAATAAATGGGCAGGAACCGCGCGATAAGATAAGGAATTGAGCCCCACCAAAAAGTTTGAATGTCCGACATCAGTGAATATCAGCGAACGACTGTAAGCGGCGACAACAGCGACAACAGCGACATTGACGTGTCTAGGCGTTATCAGGTACTTGAAAATCACTTAATTCGTTTCAGAAGAGAGATCAAACAATAGAACAACACAAAGAGGCCCATATTCCGGCCACCACCCTTCCCGCCACCATGTCGCGCCCCGAGGATACCCTGTAAGTTTGACCATTCCCTGCAAAGCAACAAGGTTCCGTCGACCTCCTCAAGCGACCTCTAACGGTTCCAAGCGCCGCCGACATCCACTACGACGACACAGAAGCGAGAAAGTATACGACGAGCTCCCGTATACAAAATGTCCAGGCGTCCATGACCCGGCGCGCCCTCGAGCTGCTCGACCTGCCAGGACCGAGCTTCATCCTTGATGTGGGCTGCGGCAGCGGCTTGTCGGGTGAGATTCTGACACGCTCGGGCACGTCAATACGGCGGAGGCGGAAGGGCGACGGCTCTGCGGGGGTTGATGGCAACAATGACGACGGTGCGGCGGACGACGAGAAGGACGACGACGACGACGAGAGCGAATACTCGGGCGTGAGCGACGACGACAGCATTGAAGAGGAAATTGGCAATGGACCGCACGTGTGGGTCGGCATGGACGTCAGCCCGTCGATGCTGGATGTGGCTCTGCAGCGCGACGTCGAGGGCGACCTGCTGCTCGCCGACATGGGCCAGGGCGTGCCCTTCCGCGCCGGCTCCTTTGACGCGGCCATCAGCATCAGCGCCGTGCAGTGGCTGTGCAATGCCGAGAGCAGCGACACGTCGCCCCAGGGCCGCCTGTCGCGCTTCTTCAACGGTCTCTATGCGTCGCTGCGCCGCGGTGGCCGCGCCGTGTGCCAGTTCTACCCGAAAAACGACACGCAGCGGGCCATGATCACGCAGGCGGCCGTGCGTGCCGGCTTCGGCGCTGGTATTCTGGAGGACGACCCGGGCACCAAGAACATGAAGGTGTACCTGGTGCTGACGGTCGGCAGCGGCGCGAGCAGCGGCGACATCACGGGCGTCGTGTCCAACATGGACGGCGTGGACATTCTGGACGACCGGGGCTCGCGCGCACAAAACGGCCGCGTCAAGAACAAGCAAATCAAGAAGGGCAGCAAAGCGTGGATTGCCAAGAAGAAGGAGCAGATGGAGCGCAAGGGCAAAGTCGTCAAGGCCACGTCCAAGTACACGGGCCGAAAACGACGCGTTGCGTTTTAGGGGGCGCTGGAATTTGGGGGGTTTTTGTACAGGTGTTATATGTTATTACTTCATGCTGCATACAGGGCGCAATGAGCTCCTTACAATGACGAAATGCCTGTTTATGATTCCCATAGTTTGCATTATCTTCGTTGCCGCGTGAAGACATCATGCAGTGCACTCTTTTTACTAAGCTGGCTCTGCCGTAATTTATATTGACGACAAGACGAGCAGCAGGCCATTGTTTCTATGGTCGCTGCATCACCCAGGAGGCCGCACAACTGGCTGGTGTCATTGTCGCAGGCGCAACCCGTCGTATTGGGTTAGTGGGCAGGGCGGGCTGGGAGGAGCCAGTTACGATACGGACGAGGGTGGGGGCATCTGATGCATGGCAGTGAGGTCGAGTTGTTGAAAGAATGACAGGAGATGAGGGCATCTACGAATGGTCCTGAGCTGCGCAAATGCAATTAGACGAGGATGGATTAGGAGCGCAGAGGAAGGAGCTGTGTCGCGCCTCGCGATTTCGTGTTGGTTGGAGAAATGCGACCCCAATGCGGAAGTTGCCAATGGCGCCTTGTCCACTGTAATTCGTAAAAAATCAGCGCTCGTTCCCCTATGTTTTTGCTTCGGCGTTGTTCGAGAAAAGACGGATTACGGCGGAGATTGGTCGGGGCTGCTGTCAACGACCGACGCTAGTCCTCTTTTGCAAGACGGGACCCGCATTTCGCTGTGTCCGCCAGCTGCTACCAGCTGCAAATCTCTTATCGGCAGCCTTTACGCCGAAATGGGCCACCTTTTGAGCCAAAGCAGGTGCGGCATTTCGCGGGCTCGACCGCCCAGAAGGAGCGACTAACAACCACTCCCTCTGAACGGATTTTTGCCTTTTATTTTTTTATCCGCTCAGAATTTGCTCTTGCTGCTTTTGCCACGAACACAAAAACATCACCACTTTGTGAGCCCATCGACCTCGAGCTGTGCTCTTCCTCCCAACCTCTCCCCTCCTCGATTGATTTTGCGCCCACCCTCGACCACAACCATGATGTCCCAGCGTTCCGCGCGTGCGGCCCAGGTAAGCTGTCTTCTGGCTCTTTCACGTGCTAGCCCCCCCTCCCCCCCCTGCATCTTAGCTTGGTGATGCTCTGCACATCGTCACAATGCGATGCTCACCGCACGCTCACGAATCACCACGGACGACGACGATGCCACGGCCGATTGACTTGGTTGCTTCTCTTGGCACCATTGCTAACCCCGCCTGCCCTAGTCCCTCTTCCGGGCTGCGTCTGCCGCCCCCACCCCCGCGGCGGCCCGCTCGTTTGCGACCGTCCAGTCGGACATCTTCAAGCCCACCAAGTACGGCGGCAAGTACACGGTGTCGCTGATCCCTGGTGACGGCATCGGCGCCGAGGTCGCCGAGAGCGTCAAGACCATCTTCAAGGCCGACAACGTGCCCATTGAGTGGGAGCAGCTCGAGGTGTCGGGCGTGGACACGGCGTCGCCGACGGGCCGCACGGAGGACCTGTTCAAGGAGTCGGTGGCGTCGCTGCGGCGCAACAAGCTCGGCCTCAAGGGCATCCTGCACACGCCCATCTCGCGGTCGGGCCACCAGAGCTTCAACGTGGCCATGCGCCAGGAGCTGGACATTTACGCGTCCATCTCGCTGATCAAGAACATCCCCGGCTACCAGACGCGCCACGAGAACGTCGACCTCTGCATCATCCGCGAGAACACCGAGGGCGAGTACTCGGGCCTCGAGCACCAGAGCGTGCCGGGCGTCGTCGAGTCGCTCAAGATCATCACGCGCGCCAAGTCGGAGCGCATCGCCAAGTTCGCCTTTAGCTTCGCGCTGGCCAACAACCGCAACAAGGTCACGTGCATCCACAAGGCCAACATCATGAAGCTCGCCGACGGCCTGTTCCGCAGCACCTTCCACGAGACGGCCAAGGAGTTCCCGACGCTCGAGGCCAACGACATGATTGTCGACAACGCCAGCATGCAGTGCGTCAGCCGCCCGCAGCAGTTTGACGTGCTCGTCATGCCCAACCTGTACGGCGGCATCCTGTCCAACATTGGCGCCGCGCTGGTCGGCGGCCCCGGCATTGTGCCCGGCTGCAACATGGGCCGCGACGTGGCCGTCTTTGAGCCGGGCTGCCGCCACGTCGGCCTGGACATCAAGGGCAAGGACCAGGCCAACCCGACGGCCATGATCCTGTCCGGCTCGATGCTGCTGCGGCACCTGGGCCTGGACGACCACGCCAACCGCATCTCCAAGGGCATCTACGCCGTGATTGCGGAGGGCAAGGTGCGCACGCGCGACATGGGCGGCGTGGCCACGACACACGAGTTCACCAAGGCCATCCTGGACAAGATGGAGACGCAGTAAATGCTGTGGCGATGGGATTGCTTACACGCTGTACATTGTCTTGGATTTTGGTCGTGCATTTCTCTTTTTTTCTTTTTCTTTTTTTGATTTCTTTGTCTTTCCTTTGTTTTTACGTCATCACTTTCGTGTCTCCCCAGCGTATATAGACAAACGAATTTAGTATTTATGCATTGCGTCTTTCGGTCTCTTGGTGTTTGTTTACAGCCGTCTGATCACGTTTGGGAACTTGGTATTTTTTGGTTTCATTTAATGGTTAATACCAGGTCATGATTAAAGCAACAAGCAGCAGCAGCAACAACATGCCATGAATCAAATATATACGCTTCACCAATTCGTTAACACCATCCACCGCCCCGTCCTCTACCAGCCGAATCTCTCCTCAAAATACTCAATCGACCCGCGCGTCGTCTCCATGTTCTGGGCCACGACGTGGCGCACATTGTCGGCCAGGTCGCCCGGCCCGCAGACCATGATGCCCAGGCGCGCGTCGGTGTCCTGGACGGACTGGGCCATCTTGCGGACGACGGAGAGAACATCGGGACGGCCAGTCTGGATGCGGAAGCCGGAGGTGGCGGCGGCAGCAGCAGGACCCTCTCCTTGCAGCACACCGCCCTTTTCCGTGGCGAACCCGCTGAGAGCAACCTCCTTGTCGGCACCCGTGTCAGCGCCCGTCTCCTTGACGGACGCAACGTGCGAGTCGTCCGCATCCGCACAGGACGATGCCGTGGACGAGTCCGACACGGACGAGGGCTGCTGTTTTGTGCCCGTCAGGTACAAAGACACAGTGACATCTGGGCGGTTCCGCAGCCCGGCAAGCGGGCCGTCGGCAATGAGGCGCAGGCACGCCTCGCTGCGGTCGGCCCAGATGAGGGTCATGTGGCGGGTGCGCGTGGGAATGCGGCTGTCGGCACCGACAGCGTCGGCGCCCTGCTCGACGCGGCGGACGTGGTCCTGGAGGTAGGGCAGGACGCCGGCGATGCCGGACCCGCCCGCCACGAGCAAGACCTGGTCGAATGTGTGGAGGGGCTCGGCCTTGCCGTAGGGGCCCTCGAGCAGCATGGCGGGCGCCATGCGGGCGAGGGTGCTGCCGGCACCAGCCTTTGCCGTGCACGCCGTGCGGAGCTTCTTGGTCCAGCCGTCGTACGGGCGGATCCAGAACTGCAGGTGCAGGTCGCCGCCGTCGGTGGGCGCGTCCCGGTGCCAGTGGCCCAGCGTGAACGGGTGGTTCTCCCAGCCGAACAGGCGCAGGGGCTGGTACAGGAAATAGTGCTGGCCGGGGCCGGGGAACAGCCTGGCGTTGCCGGGCACGACGTCCACGACCAAGAGGTTGGCGGCCTCGTTGTACGTGACCGTGGCCTTTGTGGTCTGCAGGCGGCTGCCGGCACGGTTGCGGCGGCTGCGAACGTGCAGGTTGACATAGGCCTGGCGGACGAGCCGCAGAAAACGGTCAAAGCCCCAGAGAATGCAGGCTGTCAGGATAAAGGGGTTGTTGTAGTCGCCGAGCGCAAAAATGGCGGTGTGGTGGTAGAGGAAGACGAGCAAGAGGGCCGAGAGCACAATGTGCACCAGTAGAAAGTTCTCGTAGAGCTTGTTGCGCAGGACACTAAACGACAAGAGGACAATGAAGCTCATGACCGCGACGGCGGCGACGCCAAAGCACCACCAAGCCTTCGCATAGCCGGAGCGGTATTTGTCTCCGCTGCCGGACGCAAAGTAGAAACAGGTGAAGGCGATGCCGTGCACGATGCCCTGGAGCGTGGCGAGGCGGGCAATGTGGCGGTGGAAGATACTAAAGGTGCCGAAGCTCCAGCCGGTCAGCCACAGGAAGACGTTGTTGCGGCCGGCGAAGAGCCACATCAGCGGCAGGTTGCCGTAGGACATGACGCCCGCGCGCTCGGCAACATAGCGCCAGATCTGGGCGGCGGGCACGGGCCAGAAGGTGTTGCCGCGGAAGCTGTGGATGTTGACGGCACCGAGGACGATGCTGATGGTCCAGTAGGCGGCCACGACAAACGTCTCGGCGCGCGTGGGGATCGTGCAGCCGAGGAAGCGCCGCTGGTGGTAGGGCGGCAGGGCGCTGGGCGTGACGACATACTTGCGGAGGACGGCGGCCACTCGGCCGAAAGGGGTGGACGGCTTGGTGCTGCTGGTGGGCCGGCCATGGCGCTCGGCATCGGCGTAGACGTAGCCCTGGCGGCTCTCCATGGCCTTGTAGACGGCGTTCTGGACGATGCCGAAGACGAGGACAATGGCCCAGAAGCCGTAGCCGGCGAACCTGGAAGGCTGTTAGTGGTGATCGAGCAGACACATCTTGGGCATCGTGTGGCCGTGCTCGACAAAAGAGAGGGCTAAAAAGAGGGCTCACGTGTAGTAGGCACGCAACCGCTGTTCGTAGTCGCGCCAGTGCTCCGAGCGGCGGCTGATGTCGAACCAAGCCTGGGACATGAGAAAGGGGGCGGTGACGTTGGCGCTCTTTCGCAGCGTCTTGGCCTCGTAGACGGGCAGCGCGGCAATGGCCTCCGTGGTCAGGTTGGCGGCATAGTCGGACGCCGCGGCAAACGGCACGTCGGCCCGACGCAAGCACTGCGCATTCAGCCCCGCGACGCCGGACTGCCACTCTTCGGGGGGGCAGTAGGTGTAGAGCGAGGCGTACATGCTGACGACGGCGTTGGGGTTCTGGCACGCGGCGCCGTAGCGGCTGCCATAGCCGACTCCGGGCCATGCGTATTTGCTGTAGACGAAGAGCAGGGTCACACCGCACTCCTGGTTCTCCTTGACAAAGCCGAACGGTGTGCCGGCTTGCACGGCGCCTGCAAATAGCAGGAATGCGACGGCGAGCCGCGTCAATGGTGACATCATGACGATGTAAGTGACGGGAAGTGCTTGGTGGAGGATAGAAGTCACAAAAGGACGAAAGAAAACAAAAATAAAGAACAAAAAAGCAGAACAACAAAACAAAGTATCAACTGCAGCTGTGCTACTGGCCGTCTATCCAGCAATGTGACTATGGTGTCGAGGACAGCGAGCTGAGAGGGACAGCGACGGAAAATGGGAAATGATCGACCGTCCGATGGACGACGTTATGATATATAGTTGTATACTTGGAGTGTGGAGAGTGAAGGAAGTCCTCAGGCCAGACGAACCAAACACAGACAGAGAGGGAAAGGGGAAACAGCAAATCAACACCGCAAAAAACAAACTCAGAAGCGCCGGAGACGGTGTGTAGATATGAAGTATCCTCGGCGGCCCTTTGGGTGGTGTAGGAAAGAACATATGCGAAGAAAAAAAAAAAAAAAAAAAGTAGAATACACAAAAGTGACAAGAGACAGGGTAGAGACATACAGCTCCGTCCTCAGAAGCCTGTGATCGGCATCCCGCCCGCAGCCACGGTCCACACTTCGTCCTTTTTCTGGTCTGAGCGGTGCAAGTGGTGCAAGTAGACATGTCCGCACTGGTGCCATGGATGAGGTCCCCATTGGAGGCAGAAAGAGGACGACAAGAGGCCGAGAGTCCAGGGCGAGTATCGTGCTAGCAATGCGGCATCTGCGTTGGATCCTCTTTTGTCCTCGTGTAGACTGACGTCTACCTCTGCGTATTGCGTGGCTCCGGACGTCTATTTCTCCCTTTTGTCATGCGGTGTTTGTCTTGTTTTTTTTTTTTTTTTTTTGCATTTCCAGCGTGCTGTATCTGTTCTTTGCCATCTCTTGCATCTCTTTGCATCTCTTTTTACACGCCTGTTCTCGGCATCGCACTCTTGTTACGCATTACCATGCTTTCTTCGACTTCTCTTCACGCCCAACCTCCCATGCATCTTTCTTAGTCACCGTTTCCCACTGTTAACATCAACTCCGCGCAAATACCCGCTGAATAAATAATTAATCAACCAAAGGGATGAATCATGCAGGCCGCTCTCTCAACAGTCCATCTGTCTGCCCATCCATCACTGCGAGGCGGATGGACGTTTCCTCGACCACCTAGACCAACTGAGATATGCCACATCGAGAATAGACAGCACGAGTTGTGTATCTGTCTCTCTAATTTCCTACAACCCCAGTCGTCGCCCTTTTTGGCGTGCACAACATTTTTCCAACACAGAAATTGTAGATCCATGATTACTTACTGCAAGGCCCTGCGGCCAGTACGCTTAACCCCCCCAAGATTGTCTCTCCCTAGATGAAAAGGGCTTGTTAGATAAAACATTAAAAAACGACTCCATATTCCCCAACATGCCACTCACTTGTGATTGCTGTCCGCCGGAGCTATCGGGAAGGTAACCAAGCCGAGGAGATATCAATCCAGAAATGGTCGGGCAAGTGGTGCGAGGATGGAAAGTATTTCCACACGAGGGGATTTATGAGGTTCGAGGTGCAAGGGAGAAATAAACCAAACAAAACACCTGGACGGCTGAAACATAACTGACCCTGGTCCAAGCAACCATGCAGTCTAATCAGATGGACAAAAAACGAAAGTGAAAATTCTTCCAACTCACCCAAGTCCCCTTCTAGGAAGGAGTACATGAAGTCGGGTACAATTGCAGGGCACGGTGCACGGTTCGTCGAACGAGCGCTAGCACAATCTGATAAAAGCCGTAGACGTATGTAGTCCTCCCACCAAAAAGGCTAGAGACGATAAAAAAAACCAGAGTCCCGGCCGAGACTAAGATACGAATAGTCCATTGTGCATCAGTGCCACAGACTACGCTGTCTCTTGTCTGGCCCTGGCTCCCAGCTTTCGTAGTCTCGACGTTCAGTTTTAGTTACGTTGTTACCCCTGGTGCTCGTGAGTCGTGTGTTTAGTCCATCAGATAATTTCTTTGCTGTTTTCATTTTTAATTTTTTTCTTGGCCCTCTTTTTTCGCTCGGATGTTTATATTCGCACCTCTTACCACAATCAGATTAGATTAGATGGAGTCCAGCTCCTTGGCGTCTTTTGCACAAGGAACCGAGCTTTTGAGCCGCCAGTGCCCTTTGCAACACTACACAGTCTCAACACCCCCACTCGCGTGACCAAGGACGGATGCAGATAAAAAGAACCAGGAAACGGAGACAGGACAATATGGGCTCGAAATGAGGGCCAAGCATGCCGACGTCGGGGACCATTTTCAGTCCTCAAGACGCATCCAGACTCTTGACCGCCCGGGTTCTTGTACCCACCAATAGCTGATATGCAAAGACAAAGTACAAAAGGGTATAAAAGCTTGTCAACCACAAAGGACGCAAGGCAAAACCCTGACTATGATACGATATGATGGGCTTTTATACTATTGGAAAGCTGGCACCCCAGGATAGACTGAGAAAATGGCAATGGATGGGCATGGGGGCATTCACCGTTCGATTGCAAGACCGCTTTCTACGCCATGAGAAGCGAAAAGTGATAGTTTACAATAAAACCCCCAAAAGAGCCGAGGCCACAAATATGGGACCTCGCCCCCATTTCGGGCAATTGACTTGTTCGCCCGCAACAGAACCATGGTAAATACAGCGTCCTCCGGCGTGGGATTCCCCATGCGTCGGAATTCATCGGTTGGACAGCGTCCCCTGGTCCCCGTAGCTTCTCGTTTGTTCTGTGGGGAGAGACCACAACCTGGCGCGCTTTCCGGCAAATATTATGCCGTGCCCTGCACTAAGTCACTAGTTGGAAGAATGGACCGATCTGATAAAAACGACGTACGGCTGATGCCTGCCAAAAGCAGGGACCGGAAGCCGATGGTTGCTAGAATACATCATCGTATCTCGTCGCCCAGGCCAATTCTCCCAAGTAAACCCGACCAACAGCTAAGAAATCACTTGAGGAGGGCAAGAGGCTAGCTTCCTAGAAACTATCCATTACGGTTGTACTTTAGTAAAAGAGAACAAATGGAAAAAGACAAAAGACAAAGCCAAATAGCTAGCTCTAGCACAGAGACGACGTGCTACATTGACCAAGGCCTTAGACGTTTTAGTATGTAAATCTGCAAATCTGCCGTCTCAAAGGCTCACAGGATGCGAGCTGAATATCACGAAAAGACGCAGCAACAAAAAACATATTATGACAAAGTGAAACGGGCCACAAGACTGGGCACAAAACCGGCATCGGCGACTGGTTCACACGGCCACACGTGCTATAACGTAGCTGGTAGACTTGTGTTTCGACTAAACTAGCAGGGAAAAGGTAGTCGAGAGTTGAAAACCAACAGTTCCTGGAAAGAATGCTGTTTTAGTTAGGTTTATGCGTTTACACAGCCACTATCCTTCTTTCTTGCGTCATTTTTAGAAATATTTGCATGTGTTGATTTTAAAGTAATATGTAGAGAAGTAGTGAACATGAAAGAGTTTTCATCAGAAAAGGGGGGGGGGGATGATGCAAAACCATCTGATAACTCGACATCGCTAGCACTAGCCCGTTAGATAAAACTGACCGTCTACATTGACATGGACATCACCGTGGGATCCCATAGGGTTACAGTCCTTGCTAGTTTTACTATTTTATTTTCTTCCGCGTACTAATAAAGAAAGTAAAATGCAACAGCGGAATTCACGCTTTTGCTGGTTTTGAGTGGATTTGTTCGTTTGAAATGGCCATTTTCTCCTTTTTTAGGGTTAGAAATTATGTGCCCTTCTATCGTGGCCACTGTGTCCATTGTCATGAATTATTTCGCGTCTTTATTATGGTTTTCTACCGTGCTTCACTTGCCATATCGATTTACAAAGAACGTCACGCGGAAGGTCGATGACGAGACCATAATAAACCATCACGAGTAGTGGACGCAACAAAAGTCGTCATATATATCGCTTCTGAATTGTGTGTAGAATTCTAATCGGATGCCGTCGATGCTGTGTACAGAGGAGCAATACGTAGTAAGAGGAAAAGGGTCAAAATACATAGACATGCAAAGTACAAAAGAAAAAAAGGGTCACAGGCGGACGGGGGAGAAACCTCGTCAAACTACGAACCAAACAGCCCAAAAAGTCAAAGCAATCGTTAACCAACTCCAGCACGTTTCAAAACGCCTTACGCCGTCTCTCCAATCTCACCAAGAAAAAGAAGCCTTTCAGTGAAGAAACTTTCAATCCTACACGGCCTCTTCGTCGAGAGGCTCGACACGCACGAGAATCTCCTCAAGAAGACCTTCGAGGAACGTGCCCACGTCCTTGCCCATACCGACAGGCTCAGCCTTGTCAAAGTGGTCAATCTCCTTGCAGACATGGGCAAGCTTGTACACCAGCCGGCGGATCTTGTCGTGAGCTAATTCAGCCTGGGCCACCTGGGCTCGCTGCTGCTGTTGTAGCTCAACACCAGCTGCAGTCGTCGCGGTTGTCGTAGCGGCACGGGCCAGTTTCTGCACGCGGATCTGCCTCCGCTTGAGGGCTTCCTCGAGGGCAGGGAAGATGACGTCGTTAAGCGCATCAAGGTCACCATTGGGGTTGGCCGGGGCCGGCGAGGGAAACGAGACGGGCGTGCCTGTCGGCTCAGGCAGGGCAAGTAGCTGATTCTGAGATGGCACCGCATTGGACCGAAGCTGGTGTTGCTGCTGCTGCTGCTGCTGCTGCTGCTGTTGAGGCCATGCGGGTTGGTTGTTTGAGATCTGTGCATTCAGCTGCGGCACGGGTAGCCCTGGCGGTGGTTGTAGGACGGCTTTTGGCTGCAATGGCTGTTGTACCAGTGGCCGTACCTCGGTACTTGCCTGCGCCGCTGCGCCGCCGCGGAAAGGAGGGATCTCAGGCAGCTGCATGGGACCAACACGAGACTGAGGACGGGACGACGAAGACCCGGCCAGCGATGGAATTGCTGGTGCCAGAGAGCTTGGCTCCAGGTGTTGCTGTGAGCTCTTGGAGACTAGGGAATGCCGCTCGTTCTGCCGATTTGGTGGCTGTTGGAACGGGTCAAACGATGCCGAGGGCTGCCGTGATGGTGAGTTGATGGCGGAGGCGAGATTCATGCCGCCCATATCGCGCTGCAGCTGGTCCGACAGTACGCGGTCGTAGTCGGGCGATGGCTGCACGGGAGACACGTTCTCTGCCATGGGACGCAGGTCTCCGTTGCTGTTGCTGCTGGCAGCCGCTCGTGGTGTTTCGGGTAGATGTGGCTGAACATACTGTTGCTGTTGTAGTTGCTGCTGTGCTAATTGTTGCTGTTGCTGTTGCTGTTGCTGTTGCTGTTGCTGTTGCTGTTGCTGTTGCTGTTGCTGTTGCTGTTGCTGTTGCTGTTGCTGTTGCTGTTGCTGTTGCTGTTGCTGTTGCTGTTGCTGTTGCTGTTGCTGTTGCTGTTGCTGTTGCTGTTGCTGTTGCTGTTGCTGTTGCTGTTGTAGCTGATGTTGTTGTTGTGCTTGGAGCTGCAAAGACTGCAGAGACGGCTGGGAGAGGGGACCAGGGCCGCTGGTTGGCGGCGGTATGTTGATCATGCTCGAGACCGGTTTCCGTTGAGGACTGACTTGCCGCGCCGTCCCAGACGTTGCCGAGGCAGATGCTGCTGTTGCGGCTTTGAGGGTGTCGCGTTCGCGGTCAAAGGTGGCCTTGGTCGGACTGCGGCTGGTTTCCCGCCGCGTTTCGCCGTAGTCGTCTGAGGATGCACTGGACCGCGACGAACGGGCGTTTGTGGCAGCCTCATCCATGGCATTGAGGCCGGGACGGAAACCCGGATGTGGCTGAGCATACCCAGGCGGTCCGCCGCCGCCACCAACCAAGCGAACGGTGCCAAAGTCCCACATGTCCTCGTTGACAGGCTCACGGTCAGCAGCAACACCGCCATGCCCCTGCCCTTGCTGCGTATGCGTGTGGCCGCCATCGTCGTCGTCGTAGTCGTCTTCGTCCCCACTGCCCTTATGCGTGGCACTCCATCGGCTGTGGCGCTCGATGAGCTCCGTTAGGTAGCTTGTCTTCTTGGCGCGACGGATGAAGGGGTGGCGGAGCAGGTCGCGGGCGGTCGGCCGTTCTTTGGGGTCGCGGCGCAGGCAGACCTCGATAAAGTCCTTGAATGCCTTGGTGAAGTTGCCTTCAAGGCGTGGCGGTGGGTTTTTGGGGATGAGAAAGAGCACCTTCATGGGATGGATGTCGGCGTAGGGCGGCTCGCCGTTGGCCAGCTCAAGGGCGGTGATGCCAAGGGACCAAATGTCGGCCTTGTGGTCGTAGCCGGACTGCTTGATGACCTCGGGGGCCATCCAAAACGGCGTGCCGACAAATGTGTTCTTCTTGGTCATGGTGGCGGACAGCTGGCCAGAAACACCAAAGTCGGCCAGTTTGACCTGGCCGTTGGAGCCGAGCAGGACGTTGGCGGCCTTGATATCGCGGTGGAGCTTCTTGTCGGCATGGAGGTAGTCCAGGCCGAGCAGCAGCTCGCGCACAATGATGGCAATGTAGTCTTCGCCAATGAGACCGGGCTTCATGAGATCGGCACAGCTGCCACCGGAGCAGAACTCCATGACGATCCACAGCTCGGCGCCTTTGGCATAGGAGCCGTAGTATTTGGTGACATAGGGGGATTGGAGCTCGGACAGAATGGCAATCTCTTGGATAATGTCCTCGACCTCGTCCTCGGCGCTTTCAATATCGATAATCTTGATTGCGACGGCCTGGCCAGTCCGCTTGTCGACGCTGGAACAGTTAGACGCTTGACCAGAAACAGAGCACCCCAGGACGCAAGGCCCCATCATCAACTCACCCTTTGTAGACCTTGCCGAAACTGCCCCCTCCAATGCAGTACTCTTTTGAGTATAGCTGCTCCGGGTCGGCAGAACCGGTCCCCTGGTTGTAGTCGTCGTCTCTGCTCGCCATGGTTGGCAACGTGCTCCGAGGCGTGTCACCGTTGTTTCCTTTCTCGTCTATCGAGAGCAGGGCATGGAGGGATGTAGCGTATTAAAGGGGACTAAACGGAGAAGCTGTCGCCGTCGGCGTCTTGGTTGCTATCTCGCCGGCAATCTGAATCGTCCGGGGCGCAGGATGGGACTGCACGGGCACAACAGGCTCTGTCGTCCACAGGCGTTGTCAATTGCTGTCACCAGGGCCGTATGTCGTCGACCCGAGGTAGCGGCCGTGCTCACGGTTGTCTTCGAAGAGAGAGAGAGAGTCATGCAAGATGCTGATCCAGAAACGAAGCAGACCTCCAGGGCCTGCCGTGTCGCGTCGTTGCAGCGTTGTCGAGCGTCGAGCCAGTTGCGACTGTCGACGGTATGAAGCCAAAGAATGTGAATGAACGTCACGGCTGTCTTCGTCCGCCGTCGTTGTCTGAAGCGTTGGTTCGTCGTGTGGTCGTCGCGGCGTTTTGCCAAGAAAAGAAAAGAAACAAGTCGTTCGAATGTAATCGCTATAGGATGAGCTGGATGCGAGGGGATACAAAAATGAACGGAACGACAAAGAATGAAGTCGCTTTGTTGACAGCCAACGGACGGGACTGGACGAGACTCGACTGGACAGACGGGAAACCGGTCTGTCAATCAGTATCTCGTGGGCAGCGTGCCAGTTGCGTCGCCAGAGAAAAAGACGGAGACGCGAGTGAGAAGAGGGCTGAGGTGCAGGAGAGCGGGTCGCCAGCAAAAACTAGGGACAACACAGTGAAGACAGTGAACCCAGTGGGGAAGGAAAGGAAACGGCGGGGTAACGGCGGTGACGGTGCGTGAGCGTAAGCGTGGACTATTGTTGTGGGTTGCAACTGCCACGGCTGGGAAAGACAACTAAATGTCAGACTGCGAAGTACAGCATACATGAACACACAGTGCAACACGGCAGGAGATCGCCGTTGACGTGCAGGAAGGAGGGAAGGAGGGTGTGAGGAAGATGCACCGATTGGCGGTTTCCTATTCCATCATTCTATCGACTGCGTTTCTACGGTGTGCGGAAAGAGCGACCCAGTTGGCTGTTGTTTACATTTTTGGTGACAGGACTTTGTTTTTCGGTGCGGCTTGCCAAATGCATTCGTTGAGAGATTGATGCTACGGCCCTCACACCCAGTCATTTTCTATTTCTTGGCTCCCCTCTTCCTCTTATTCTGCACGCACAGCCGGCCCCTGTGGCCCTTGACAAAGAGGCCGCAATTTGACCAACGGAAAGGAAAGAAACAAAATCGGCCCAGCCGAGCCAACCAAAGCTCGAATCCAGAACGAAAACGCAGTTCAGCTCAGGTCCCAACGCGCCAACAGAGACGGCAAGACGCGCCATGCCTTGGGGACAATGCCAAGGTAATCTTACAAGCTCGTTGCCAAAGACTAGTGACTCCGGTTCGTGATTGGCTGGGAAGAGCCGTGGTCGGTGGTGGCTGAACGACGACGAAATCATCACAAATCCACGATATGAGGTGTCATACGACAAACCTTATTCACACGGAGTACACTTGGCACTTTGTTTCAGAACCAACAGGATAAGATGACTAATACAAGTAGAAACACAACAGGATATACCAACTGCACGAAACACAAAAAACGTCGAGGATGTATGACAGACGCAAAAGCAGATCCAGAATAGCCCATCTTCAACCTCGGCCTCTTTCTTCTTCCACGCCTCTCACGTGTCCAGCTGGCCGCCGCGCTGGACACGCAACGTACCCAGCCGTGGTGGACTCCGTGGAATGCGCTGGCCGGGTGGCGGTCCGAGGTCCATACTCGCAGCCGGTCGTAGCCTCCGGTTACCAGCGGCGCGCAGACCAGGGCTGCTGCTGCCAACGGTGGAGTGCTCGTTGAAGCCGTCGAGGCCGTCCAGACCGTCACTCTCCGTGTCGTTCTCATCATAGCTGTGGCGGTGGCCGTGGACGGCGCTCGCCCCAGGGCCAACACCCGAGCTCGCGTCGGCTGTCCCACTGCGCGACGACGAGCCCAGATGGCTCTGGCTATAGCTACGGCTTCGCGAGGGCGACAACGCCGTGCCCATAGACGCGCCGCCACCGCCGCCTACACCATCCTCGCCAGAATCGGCTATCAATATCCCTGGAATACGACCGCTGCTCATGCCCACCAACTCCCTGTCTCCGCCGCCGCCACTGCTGCCACCGCCGCGCAGCCGCGCCAGCCCTCCGTGGACCCGTCCGCCGACCCGCCGCATCCAGCGCGACCGTGCGTACCGCCGGCCGACCTCGCCACGCAGCAAGCTCCAGCTGGTGGAAAAGTAGATGACGGCGTTCCAGACGCCCTGCAGCGGCAAGACGGCGGCGCTGGCAATGTTGAGGCCGTAGCTGATCCGGGCCGGGTACACGAGTGTGTACACCCGGTTGATTGAGCTGGGCGTCCAGGTGACGAGAACAGAAATGGCAAAGACAAACGAGGTGCGCAAGTAGGCGAGCTTGACGGGGTCCATGTGGCGCAGTTTTCCAGTGAACCGGTGCCAGGCGTGGCGACCACGCTGGGCCACGGAGATGTGCTGCGACGTGCGAGCGCGGCTGCCCCGGTTTTGGAGGTGGCCGCGGTGCACGTGGTGCGAGTGCGCGAGGTGGCCAAAGGGGCGGTGGCCCTGGGACGAAACGAGCTGCGGCTGCAGACGAAACGCCGAGCTCGCGTGGGCGTTTCGCGACGACTGCCCCATGGGCTGGAAGCCGTGGGGCGGCGCCGGCGAGGTGATGACCGTGGTGGACGTGGCCTGGTACGCAGCAGTACTGGGCCCGCTGTGGATGCCTCTGTAGTAGGCAGCCGGTGGCGGCGAGACTGTATGGCTGCCGCCTATGCTGCGTTCTTCGTCTATGCGGTGGTGCATCTGGTCGTGGAGATGGACAAAGGCGCTGTTTGTGCTGTTGTCGATTGTCTGCGGGAACGGTTCGTCGCTCCAAGGGCACTGCATGGGCGACGCGAGGGGTGTCATCGGCGGGGTGCGCTCGCTCGACAGAGCCGTCTCGCAGACGTCGGACGTGATCTGCACTTCGGTCATCACCGTCGCGTAAATCTCGGGTTGTTTTGTGAGGTTCTGCAAAGCAAGCCAGAGTGTCAGTCATTGCTGTGTTCTCTCTCCACACAAAGAAGTGGTCGCTTTCCCCCGTCCCCTCCCGCCCCCCCGGATCGTACCTTGTCTGCCGAGTCTCTTACCTCGGAGCTCGACAGGTCTTTGGCCTGGTTGCTGAGTGTCAGGTTGCGCAGCTGGTTGCGCTGGTGGAAGACGTGGTAGCCGACGGCGACGTATATCACGGCCGACAGGAAGATGCACACCCAGATGGGGATGTAGTACGAGTAGATGCGCAGCGCGTTCCAGCTGTCGCCGATCCAGCACCACAGCGTGGCATCGCCGTACACGGGACCCTTGTCCGCGTTCTGCACGTACAAACACACAATCGCCGGGATCATGGGCAGCCCAAAGCACCCGAGGCAGTACACCCAGAGATGGCGACGGAACGTGGTCGGGTTCGCCGAGTGGAAGAACACCAGGTACACGTTGAAGGCCATGGCAAACGACCACATGGGGTCAGACTGCATAAACATTTCCAGCAAAAACGCCTGCGCCCGGCACAGCGTACTGTTGCCGCCCTGGGCGATGCCCGACAAGCCGATGAGGCTGGCCGTGCTGGCGCCGATGTTGGCAATCGAAGCGAACAGGATAAACGTGTTGGGCACCGTCCGCAGCCGCTTGAAGAGGGCAAAGGTGACGACGATGAGCAGCACGCCGATCATGGACAGGGACGCGCCGGCGCGCTCAATGCCGACGACAACGCTGGCCTGTTGTCCCGAAAGCTGCATCGTGGCCAGATCATCATTCATGTCGTATCTGTGATGTGGTTGTGGTTAGGCGGGTTGAAAATGGTTGGGATGAGAAGGAGTAGAATTGAAAAGACAAAAAAAAGAGAGAGAAGATGTCAACAACGGCAAGGTGAACAGACGATGGTGAAAATTGAAAGGATGCTGCTGAAATGAAAGAAATTAATAAAACAAAGACCAAATGGAACATTCGGCGAGCGAGACAGTGACCAATGAGTCCAAAGGAGACAAGGAACGCAGAGGAAGCAGAGGATGAGTGGGGGAAATGGAAATGTGTTGGCTAAGATCTATGGAATTTCCTTTGGTCATCAGCTGCCTCTCCTTCGTTTCAATGTGACGGGGGATGGGAGATGGGGAAAGGGCCTTGCTGGGTTGGGAGTACCAGACTCGTCTGACCAGAGAGGAAGTGAGGGACGGGGCAAGGAGTTGATGCGAGAGGAGGAGAGCGCGAAGTGAGGGACAAGATTGAAAGACAGGAGTACAAAATGACAAGAGGACAAGGTCAGGAGGACAAGAAGTCAGGACGCCACACAAACCATGTCGAGGGCGCACAAGATCGGACAAATATGGACCAACACCGTGATTTGACAGAGTGATTTGACAGAGGGGCACGATACATGATACGAGGTGAGTGAAAGAGCTGCGGGAAAATCAAAGTCTAGGACGTATTCTATCTTGTGTCGTTGACATGTCTTTGGTGTGCTTTCGTGCATATGAGTAGACATACAATTATGTAGTATGTATGCATGTCGTGCTTGCCCTTATGTATTCTGGTTTGTCTCTGTAACCTCTCGTACAGACAGACACTGCAAATGGAGTCGATGCGTGCAAAGGGAATAGACTTATTTAGTATTAATAGACATACAAGCGGCGGAGATATAAACCGAAGCGACAAAAGAGACGAAGTAGAAAAAATGACAAAACAAGTAAAAGAAACGAAGAGAAGGTGTCGACAGCTAGAAGACTGGACGGTGAGATTGTTGGGTCCTTTTCTTTTGTCTTTCCCCTTTCTTCTCTATTCAAAATGACCTCAAAAGATATTCGCCAACGGAAAACGAACGGCAGCTTCCCCGGGAGTCCAGCACAAGGCCGAAAGCAGGGCTTAAATCACTTCTTTGAGGATGCAGCAATATTCCAGAATGGTTCGACTCTCCAAAAATATAGCTCCGGCTGAGACGAGATTGTTGGGAGTATTGACGACGGACAGCAAGGGGGCACACAACAAACGGGAAACGAGAAGAAAAGACGGTGGACGGACGGCCGCAGTAGTAGCAGACGCTCTGCCGTTCCTCATTATATTCCACCAATTCTGGTAGAAGGCATTGAAGAAAACAAAACGCGAGGACGGAGCACTTATGCTGACTTGAAAACAATAGAGCCAAAGGTAACGAGGATAAAGGAGGAAAATGAATACAACCAGCTGAACTGCAGGTGAAGATACGAGTTGGAGGAGGGGAGATGAAGGAAAGGACAAAGGAGGAGGGAGGGTAACACGAAGAAATGCAGTGTAACCCTTTTTCTTTTTCTTTTCCTTTTTTTACGCCTGCTACACTCCGTGCCCTTCGTTTCCTGGGCCTTTTATTGCCAAGACGCTGTGCACATCGAGAAAACCAACAAATGTCGTAAAAAGAAGGGGTAAGCCGACATGGACAGAGGAGAAAACCAGTGATGAGAGCGTTGCTGCTGTAGGTTACAGGTTGCGAAAATAATTTAGTAACAATAAAACAATGCAACTACGATACAATAACACAGAGACACAAAATTACCACGCCAAATATGGTTACTTCACGTCGATTGAGGAATATTTTCACCTTTTAAAGTCTGTGATCAAAATACGACAAAAGACAGGCTGATAAGTATCTTCCCTCGTCAGAGACAAACGCAACGGCCGGTGCACTGTTCACCGACAAAAAGAAAGTAGCAGGCGAGACAAGGCAAACAAGACAGTCGAAACCAGCTCATACCAAAAAAAAAAAAAAAAAAAAAAAAAAAAAACAAAATAGCACCGTACAATACAACCTCAATGAAAACCTGGTGAGAAACAGCTCGGCTGGCAAACTGGCAAACTGGCAAACTGGCAAACTGGCGGTCAGAAGACACAGATGGACGGAAAGACAGCAGCCCACCACCCCCAAGACCCTTCGCCTATTTTCTTGTGTAACGACCTTGTCTCAATCGTCGTTTGCCTCTCTTGGCCCGAAGTCAGCGGTGGGCTTAGTCTTTTGTTTACGTGTAAAATGAAATATAAAGCAGAAACGACAACACTCCCACACCATCCCCAAACACGACATGTCGTAGCACGACATAACCCATTGCTCTACCCTTCAACGATTCGCCCTTGGTCCCTGTCGTATACACATCGATAATCCATCGCACCGCGGGATGGATCCGTCGGGACACATCTTTGACACAAGGTCGGCCAGCACGAAAATATTCCAACAGATTTTTTCTGCTCGGTGTCTCCTTGTGGCATCCACCTTTTCCATGTCCCCCTATTTCCCCCATTCCCCCCCATCCTCATGTCATTTCTCTTCACTGACAGCCATCCTGTGATCCACTGTGTCGGTTGTCTTGCACAAATGTATGTCTTGTGTTTTGTGCCAGGCTGTACCTGTGCTTGTCTCGTGTGTCCGTCTCTCGCTGTGTTTCCTCTCTTCGCGTCGCTCGTCATCCGTCTGTCTCTGGTACTTATTATCGACAACGGCAGCCACACCTGACGTTTGACAAGTGGCTGCCATGTCTTTCTGGTCCCGTCTATTTGGTCTTGTCTTTTGAAACCGTCAGAAACATATCTCGGATTGATCAGTGGCTGCTGCCCATTGTATCTGTCTTGTCACCGCAAAACTTATGGCGAGAATACACGACGTACGAGGATCAACAGTATGAATTCATGACGCTCTTGCGTTCCCCGCCAATATCCCTCGCTTTCCGTTCAAATAGAAGCATCGTTGAAAATGGCAAGCGTCTCCCGTGACAATATACGGCTGCTTGCGTCTTGTTTGCCTGTTGGATTTCTCGAAAGAAAACGTGACCGTTTGACATAATTTCAGCTAGACGGAAGTGTGCATAATATTGACTGAATGGCTGAGGAAAGGACAAACCCGTCAACGAATCACCTCTCCTTCGATACGCCATTTGTTCATGACCCAGCCAGGATTCAACTATTCATGTTCGCTTCCAGTATCGTAACATTTTTGTCCTATTGGTCCCTTGCCATGTTCATCTTTCAGACACCTTTCCCGCTTTCTATTTTGCTATTCCTTTGGTGTTTCTGTTGCCTTTTTCAGCTACTGGGGCGCTCCGCGCGACGATGACACGGCCGTCCAGGGTCAAGGGAATGGGCCCTCAATGCACCGGGTATCTCGTCTACTCTCATTGCATGACTCCCTCCATCCTACCCCTTTGTTACTTTCGTATTGACGTCTTGTATGCCCTACCCGATGCTCTTTCGTACCTGTAGTCGCAAGATACTGTACGCCCCGATGGTAAGATTACGTCGTATGTCGTGTCCGTATGATGGCCATCTTCATCCCGTCAGTCGCACGACAGCGGCAGCGGAGATGGCATAGCGGAAAGAAATGTTAATAATAAAATAGAAAAATAAAGTCGAGAAGAGGATTTCCGAGGAAGGACACGCCGTGTGGAATTTTGTCTCGAGCACGAGTGTTGGGTGAAATCAAGTACAGATGCAATTTTGTCGCGCAGGGCGAGGAAGACGACCACGACCAGGTGGATGATGGACGGCTCCGAACGACATACAACATGCGTGTGGCCGTCGTCCCATTTTCGCCGTCACTACTGTTAGTCGATAGAGCGGTGGATTGCACAGAAAACCAGATGCCAATTTGAAAAGAACAAAGTGATTGGGTAGATTTCAAGAATCAAAAAAGAAAGACCAAAAAACACCAGAAAATGGTCGAGATGGCCAGAAAAGACTTTTCTCCTACCCGTCAGTGCGACGTACTCCCCGTGAGCAAACGTGAATGTGAGAAAGCAACAGTGAGCCGCCCAACTCCCATCCATCGACGCGTGAATCGTTGCCCAGTCCTCCCTTCACCATGCTATCAAAACAAACCGCTAGCAACAAAACAATCAAAAAAGTGAGAGTAACAAAAAAGTCGACAAAAAAAAAAACCATATCATCGTAGGCTCAACTGGCCCCAGGATCCAACGTGGTATTCCCTTTGCTCATCCATCTTCCTATCTCCATCCATCCCACCGACGCCCGTTATGTGGGTCTCTACGTGGTGTAGATGAAGTCCGGCCGCCTATCGCCCAGCATGTCAATTTCAGACGCAGTGAGGCCGGTGACCCAGCCGTCGCGGTCGCCACGCTTGCGGCGTGTGTTCTCACGGCGCAGCATCAGAGTCATGAGCACCGAGCCGCCAAACAAGAACAGTACCAAGTAGGACAAGACGACGCCGTGGCCGACAAAGTAGCGCGGGGCGGCAAAGTAAATGTTGGACGACACGATGCCGTTCAAGTTGCCCCAGCCAATGACGAAGCCGAGCACGACGCCGCGCTTGTAGACGCCCTCGGAATTGTTGGCCACCCAGGTAATGGTGTTGGCGATGCACGGATAGATGCCCAGGGCCGCCAAAAAGGTGCCGGCATACTGTACGCCGGGGCGCGACGAGCCGATGAGCATGCTGAAGCCGACGATGCCAAGCAAGGAAACGAGAATGTTGCAGAGGCCACGCTGCCGCGTGCGGTCGGCGACGTAGCCAATGACAATGGTCAGGATGGCGGCCGCGGCGTACGGCGGCACGGACACGAGCTGGCTGTGGACGACAGAGTCGCCCCAGCCCATGCCGACAATGATGGACGGCAGGAACAGCGAGAAGGCATACAGCGGCATGTCGCAGCCCATGTAAATGACCATGCCGAGCCACATCTTCCAGTCCTTGAGGGCGGCCCACAGGTACGTCGAGCGGAACTCCTCGTGGCCGGCAGACGCCTGCTGGTCGAGCTTGAGGCGGCGGATGACGCGGACGCGGTCGTCGGACGACAGAAAGCGGGCCTCGTCGGGGAAGTCGTGCACCATGAAAAAGGACAGGAGGCCCAAAAAGATGGTGAGGGCGCCCTCGACAATGAAAATCCATGCCCAGCCAGGGAGGCCGCGCTTTCCGTCCAAAAGGCCAATGGCCGCGGCGAGCAGACCACCAAAGGAGCCGGAAATGGCGGCACCCGAGAAGAAGATGGCGGCACGGATGCCAAACTCGGAGCGCTTGTACCAGCAGGACAGGTAGTAGTTGATGCCGGGGAAGAGGCCGGCCTCGCACAAGCCCAAAAACCAGCGGGCTGTCAACAGGCCGCCGTAGTTTTTGACGAAGCCCATGCTCAGCATACTGAGTCCCCAGGTGACCATGATGATGGGGATGAAGATGGAGGGCCGTAGGCGCTTCAGGAGGATGTTAGTGAGGGGCTCAAAGAGCGAGTAGGAGATGAAGAAGATGGTCAGGGTCATGTTGAACTGCGGCGTCGACAAGCCCAAGTCGGTTTCCAGGTGGGCGATTTTGGCATTGCCGATGTTGGTGCGGTCCAAAAAGGCCATCAGGTACAAAAGACAGAGCTGGACGGGGGACAGAGACGCGGTTAGTAGGGGGGTTGAGCCATCCTTGGAGACTTTTGGAGATGTTTTGGAGATATGCAAAACGATGATTTTTTTGGTCTTTTTAATGGTCTCTCAGATTCGACTCACCCATGGGATCAGAATAAAATCCAGGCGCCAAATCAATTTACGGTCCTAAGACGGTCAGCATTCGCTAGAGCACAATATTGATAGCCGCAATTGGAGCGTCGCTGTTGGGAAAAGAAACACTCACGATGGCTTTCCGCTCAGCTTCGCTCAGGTGTGCGTCTGGGTCGGGAGGGATGTCGGACACAGTCACGGTGTCAGCAGTCGCTGTGTCGGCCACGGGGCTACCGTGAGCTTTTTCGTCGTCACTCATTGTGATATTCTGGGTTGGTAGAGCAAGGAAGAGAGTATGACGGGTTTGTTGCGTTCAAATGTATTCGAAAGAGAAAAGGGGCAGGACGACCGAGAAAAAATTGGGAGACCGGGATATTTAGGGAGAGAGATAGAGAGCGAGAGAGAAGACAAAGCGCAAGGAAGGAGGCAAGAGGTGATGGTGAAGTGAGGGGGATGACGTTCGCTGTTGCCCTATTTTGTTGTTTTCACCCAGTCGAAAGCAGGAAATGACCACTGTTCGCGGGAAGCTCCTTCCCTCCAGGGTTTTGTATCCTTCGAGGCAGGAGTTCTCGAGTCTTGGCTTGGCGGGCCTCTTTCTTCCACTTTTGATCCTTTCGTTCCTTCCAATCTGGAGCTGGAGCTGGGAGCTTCAACGTCGAGGAAATCAGAAAGTGGCAACGAACCCAGTCGACACACAAGAGCGTCCCAAAAACCGGGGCCAACAACAGTACACGCACGCAGCAGGTGTAAGTCGGAGGAGGCGACCAAAGGGGGAAGTCGAGGTGGGGCTAGTGCGTGGTGGGAATTGGCTAAGGAGAGGTGGAGGGAAGGAAGCAAGCGATGACAAGGAAAACGAAACAGCGACGCGAAGTAAACCACGGCAGCCACCAACAACCAGACGAGAAAGAAACGAAGCGACAGGGACAGAAGGACGAGGGCAGAAGGGCAGGGGAAGGAAAGAGACAGACGCTGTGAATCCGAAAGACGCCGCTTGGGGAGGAGACCGAGTGCGGAGATCAACGAAGCAAAATGTGGTGAATGACACAAGACGCGTGGGTAGAAAAAGGCAATGATGGACGTGATGAAAAGCCGGGATGGAGCCTGGAACAGAGGAGGAGCGAATCTAGCCCTCCCAAAAGGGAATCGGGTGGGCGGCGACGTAATTTATCAGCAGGCGGCCAGTCCAGGAAATACCGGCGATTTTGACGGAATTGGGGAGCAGATAAACAGATAAACAGATGAACAGAGAGGCCTGGTGCGTGAAGGCACTGTTATTGACTGTGAGAGAGTGTGTTGGCAGTGCCGCTCCGGGTCAATGACCCACATGAGATGATCGGCAGTCGACTGTTGCGGGGGATCGAGGTCAAAGTACGTTGCAGCGAAAAGGGGGGCGACAAGGTGGTGACAGTGCGGGTGAAGAGCGGGCCTAGCCAAGGGAATAAGCCGCGCCCGAGCTGGCGTCAAGTTCGTCAGACGTCGACGGTCGAGCTGGGGAGGCGGGATGGGAAAATCGGGGAGTGAATGGGATGGATGGAACAAGGTTTGGAATCCTGGCGCTGATTCTCTTCGCCGGCTTTGTTGTTTTCGTGTCAATCCCACGTGAATGTACGAAATACTCTGCAAATACGTCTGATTCGTGTGGTTGACCCCTGCACCAACCGGCCAACTTTAGGTTTCCGTTCTCGTAAGGTGGTTTCTTTATTTTCTGTTGTCCGTTGTTTCCGTGGTGCCTTCTTTTCGATTTCCGCGCCAGAAGCTTTGGAAAAAAGGCCACTTGTTTCAATACCACCCACCCAACCCAACCTGTAGCTCTTATTTGTGTCTTTTTTTGGTATTTTTGGTATGTCGTATTTTCTCTATCCCTTAGCCCGGCGTGTGGAGATAGTGAAGAGAAACAGTAGGAGAGGAACGGCGTCGGAGTTCCCTCTCGCTTTGGTTATGGGCAGGGGTGACTCGGCCAGTTCGGGCGACGTCAGGCCGGGCAAACAAAACACAACAGAATATGCAAACGGGCGGTCCAAGGTGCCGTACGAGGACGGCGGCTAGCGACGGCGATGGTCTCTGGATTCGACAGGGGATCAAACAAAGCTGTTAACGATTGCTGCAGGCTGTAATTTGATGCCGGTTGATGTCGGCATGAAGCAAGAGACTGGCCCGGAAGACTGCTTCAGGTTTGCCCCGGCAGACAAGAACAACGGGATTATGAATATGGGACGATGCGCGGGACGGGCAAATTGGGGCGAGAACAAAAGTGCTGGTGGTCGAGCCTTGGCGTTTGTCGTTTGCCGGTCCTGCTTCTATCGGAAGAACACATGAGAACGAATTCAAATTTAAATTCAAATTCAAATCCAACCTTGTCGGGTTCGTGAGCTGGGGCATGCACCCGCGTGGCTTGGCCAGGATCGGTCGAACCGTGATTGATGAGTCTGATGTCGTATTAGAACAGGTTGAGAAAGGATGGGAATAGCCATGGGGTGGGGGAGGACTAAAGAGAGGAACACTGGAAAAGACAAAAGAAAACAGAAAAACGAAAATGAACCACGAAAAGAAATCAGGATCCGCCGCCCGGAAGACCAATGCACGAAAAGGGGCGACTAGGACAAGACGCCAAACAAGCCAAGAATGCAATATACGAACAGGACGCCAAGTTCTTTCAGGGTCGTGGTATCCGTCCGTTTGGTAATTGGTAACGTCTTACCTTGGAGTTATCGTGCGTGGCTGCGGAGGCTGTTGGGTGCAGTCGTTGCGCAGTTGTTTTCGCGGTCTGCCCTACCGGACCGAGGATACCATCACGGGTGGCGTACAATATATGAAGAGGCGTGAACGAATCTGGTGGATGGAGAAAGGACGATAAAAAAGGAAAGTCGAGGAAGAGTCGACGAGATTAAGAATACCACGAGAAGATAAAACGTAGACGAGAACGAGCATAAAGGAGGCCAATAAAAGAGTGCGGGAGCACAAAAGACAGGGAGCAGAGACAGCAGGCAAGAATCAAAAATATGGCTACGTCAGGTGCATTTCTATGTGCTTTCACCAAAAGGTCAAAGCCAAGAGCGTGATTTTGCGAGTGGCTAAGAATATTGTGCGTAAAAAGGGTAACGGATGAAAAAAAAAGTGCTCGCCGCCAGGAAGCGAGTCTTCTTTTCCCGCGTTTCCGTCTCTTCTCTTGTGCGTCTGTTTCCAAAGGCACCATAAACTCGCATCGGACACAGCTTGCTCCGTATCACACACATGGCTCACATCACCACCGGCTCGTCGCGTCGCCAGGTTGCCGAGAAGGATTTTGTGCGCAGGCCGGTATCCTCTACACTTCATGCATGTCTCGACAAATGCCACATGGCAAGTGCAGACGGAGAACGGCCGGAGAACGATGATCAAAGGAAAGACCATGGGACAGTCAAAGGACAAGAGGCGACATCAAGAGTCAAGACGGCCTTCCGTAGGGACACAGCAGCTGCGTCAGGTGCACAGCGTCGAGAAAGAGAAGAGGACAGGAAACGGATTGACAAGGAGAGGATGCCGTGTGCCGCAACGCACGCGCTGTCCGTTGTGCATGCAAGCACGGAAGAGTAGGCAGAGGTTGATTCAGGGCTCACAGGCGAGCTTCTGCCCAGACGCACTTCAGGCGCACATGGACGTACAGAAATGGTCACAAATGGTCACAAATGCATGCGCGCATGCATGGAATGCATGGAATGCATGGAAGGATAGAAGAAGGCCAGGGTAGAGGACCAAGAGGATGAGCAAGAACGAAAGAAAAGAAAAGAAGGGAATGGAATGGGACACCGCGGAGAGAGCCCCGTTGTGATATGCTGTGATCGCTGTAAACTGCATACGACATATGCACACGCACCGGCCGGTGGTCTGAAGGCCCTGCTGTATTCCAAGAGCACGTTTTTTATTCTGGGCCTGCGGGACTCCAAGGAGTTACGCGGTTGCTGGCAGATAGCAACTGCACCTGGCAACTGTGCCTCCACGGAGAACATGCGTTGACATCGCCTCATCCTTCTTGCGCAGTCTGTTCTTTTCTTTTGTGGACTTGTCTCGGTCGTGAGGCCCGTCTTTATTTTTTGTTTGAAAACAAACATTCTCAACATCCCACATTCCTTGGCGTTGCGCTGTTCCCAGACCAGGCCGGCTTCGCTGTCGTGAACACATCGTCCTGTCCTACCCATCTGTACTTTGTGCAACAGTGACGGGTCACAGCCCAAAGATGTTGCGACTCCTTCTTTTTCCCTTCATCCCTCCTCACTCGTCTTTGCGTTCACTGCCACTGACTGAAACATACGATCAGAGACATGGCAAGAGACGAAGTGAGATTGAGATGTGTGGCACAGACGAGAAGAAAAAAGAGGGAGGCGTTGCTGCCAAAGAGGACAGAAACGATACACAAAAGTTCAAAAACAGGGATGGTACACAGACAGATAAAGGCGCAGCAGAAACCAAACCACACTGGGAGAAGACAACAGGAAAGGCCACTGATTTAGTACAAAGGGAAAGGATACAAGACCTAAGAGGACGTATGCCGCATATCATATTGAGGCTGATGGGAGGACGCACAGAGATTTGCGAGATACGGTGGTGGAAAAGGGATGTGGGGAAAATAGGATGGTGAATATTCGGTGGAATCAAAGAATGAGGCTGTATTATCAGAGCGGTTTTTCCAAATCCGTGTTTTTTTCCTTCTTTTTTTTGTTAAAAGAATAGAGGATTAAGGCGTCGTATGTCATTCGACTATTGTCAATATTACATTTCACATTGACGCACATAAATACAAAACTGTTCACGTAACGCCATTATCGACTGACGTCAAAACATCCTTTTGTTTTCCTTCTTAGTGCTCATCGCCCAGACTTTGCCCAGATACGCTCGGCCTCCCCTCGCCGCCTCCACTCTGGGGCATGCTTTAAGCTTTGCGGATCCAGTCCCCACGGCCCACGGAGTTATGTTTTGTACATCGTAGACCGGCGGGGGCGCGCCTCTTGGCTTTTCTTCCTGTCTGGCCATTTTGTGTTTTTCGCGTACGACATCTGTTTGTCGTCTCCTCTTTTATGTTCTTTCTCGCTTCTTCGCGTCTTGGCTTTTCTTCTAGTCAGATTTCAGATTTCGTCCCCAACTCCGTCTCCGGAGCATTACGATACATGTTGACTGATTTTCTCCAAACATCGACATACATGCGTCGTCGTTTCTCCGCACTCTCTGCCACTAGTCTGTGCCGAGGATAGTCTCTGGCCGCGACGTAACTCTATCCTGATCACACTCGACAAGGGCCACCATTGCATAATTTCATTTTTTTTTTTTTTTTTGTTTCTTTTCGCCGGCCGGCCACCTTTCTCTCAAGCGGCTTGCATCGGATAATGCCCCTTGCTTGGCTCCGTAATTAGTAAATAAGAAATGAAATTCTAAGGTAGAGAGGAGAGAGGCTCAACACCTCAACAACTCATATCCAATGTAACGATATGGCTTGGTTTGTTACCGAACGGCTTTAATGCTATTTCCCACTTTTTTTTCTTTTATAATCTTTTACGGTAGTGCAACACTGATGTACGAGGTGACAGTGAGGTACGCGCCCACAATACCGCGTTAGGAGACAATCGGACGTACACCGTAGCAAGGCCCATTGTCGTCGACCGGCTCGCGTTCTTTCAGTTCTCCGCTCGCGAGGCTTGAGACAGTTGTCGGCGATCGTTGACACTGCGGCGAGAGACCTTCTTGCACACGATTGCTGCTTTCGCTGCAGGATGGGCGTCGTGCGAAGATTGGATTTGGTTTGTCTCGGCTGCGTTTGGGTCTCCTCCGCTCCTCTGCCGTTGCTTCGTCGACCTCTTGAAAAGCCGATTCTTCCGCCAACACGACATCTTTTGGGATGCATCGGACATCTCTGCACACAATACGTCGCATTCACATTGGCGGCCGATCTCGGCGTCTGCACTTGAGAACAGGAAATTGCATTTCGGATCCTCATCACAACTATGGACTGTCCATTGTTGTTGCACAGGATGAGCGCCAAGGCGAAAAGCAAAGGCTCCAACATCCACGACGCTCACCGCTGCCTCGAGTTCAGCTGCGGCCAAACGGCAGGTCGGCACAAGCCTCGGCGTTCTTTGACCTCCAATAACAGCAACTACCCGCGCCCTGTCCAGTTAAAGGCGTGGATTTGCATCTTTTTTCGTCTTTTATTTTATTTTTTATAGAAGAACATATGCTGTGTTCCCCCAAAGCAATCACCAACAGGCAAGACTTGGGAGGCCATGGCCATGCCGGCGACCCGCGTACTGCAGCCGCTGTTTTTCTGCCCTTGCCTTTACCCATGCTTCGTATGTCGGTCCAGGCAGTCGGCACCGGCAAACGACAAGAAGAGTACATTGGATAATGGCCATAACGGTGGTAGAACGAAGAGACAACGAAAATAAAACTGCGAGCGCAGGAGTAATACACCGCAGTCCGCGGGATGCCTGCTCTCAAGTATTACGACGTACGACAATCCCGGTCCAATGCATATGCAGGAAGAAGATTGCTTTTGCCAATATTTCCCACATGGCTTTCTGCCTTTCCCCGTCTCGTCGCCTCTTTGTCTCGTTTATTTTCTTCTTTTCTTCCTTTATTTTATGACTGAACTTCTCCGCCTGCCTTGTCATACCTCACCGGTCAGCCACCGATTGACGATGGGCGTGGGATGCTGTTCATTGACGTGGACGTCCCCTTGCGCTCTCTTTGCGTTTTTTTTTTTTGCCCCCAGCCACACGATAAGCGGACTGTAAAATGTGTCACAATCTGCCTTGTTGCAACGAGACTGTGTTGAGAGCCCGGTTTGCTAAATGAAGGCGCTTTCATGTTGCCGTCCGAGGAACCTATGCTGTTGGGAGAACGCCCGTTTGGAAGCCAGGCCGGAAGCCAGCCCAAAGCCATCGCAGGACAAAACAAAGCCCCGGGGCAAAAACTCGTCTTCGTCCAGAACACCAGAGACCATTCCGACGCCGTGTACGACGAATGTAGTGTCATCCACCGCGCGCTGTCCAGCTCTGTTCGTCACTCGTCGTATGCCGCCACAGAGGGATATGCGTCTTTAAGCTTATTTAATGTCACGTCCATTGTGTCGCGTTTCGTTAGATGCTGCACTTCTCTAGGTGCATATCACTTGAGTATCCGCGGGGGTGCAATCACAGCATTTGATTTTATGCTGGTCGTGATATTCGTGCCTCTTGCCCGTCATTCCGCTATGGCGGTCGCCTGGAGTCGCGCCAAGACAAATGCGACAGGCCTATTGGTCACTAAAGGCAACCCCGAATTAGGGCCCGTTGGGGCTCTGCGTCAACACCCCCGCACCACTACACCCTTCTGATGTAATCGCATCAGCGTCATGACGAGTCTTGTGAGCGAGTGAGTCAACGATGTCGACCCTTGCGGCACAGCCTCGCCGGTGACTCGAGCAGAATCATTGCTTCGCCATCGTCCTCAAGGCGGGATGCCATTGCAGCAATATGGCTCTTATCGAGTGACAACCACAGCCTCATAAATGGCATGCGTTGTCTCGGACGGAAAAGAGAACAAAACAATAAATACAAACACATAAAAAGAGGAGTGACAACCTCCACGCGGATCATGCCAGGAAACACGACAGGGCACCATCACAACTGCATTTTGACCCAATCACTATTACTGTCGCCAGAGTAGTGTACGAATAAAACAATACGATACGCCGTCCCTCCACCAGGGGCATCCTTATCAAATATACCTGTCTGACGCTGACGATCCCTAGGTCCAATACAGAGCAACTCGAGTGTCACGGCAAACAATCGCATCGAGCCGCAAACATGGGCCGCAGCGAGACGTCAGGCTTCCGCGGCTATCTTGTCCGCGTCCAAACAAAACAGGGCCGTGTTTATCGCCACCGCAACCTCCGCTTGGTGCTCGACAAGAGCAAGAGCCACGGTCTTTCGCTCCAGACACACCGGCTGTCCGACCACCGCGAGGGAGTCACGTCTCACGATGCGGGCGACCTCGGCAACAGTTCGTCGACGGACGGCCTGCCGGCGGTCGCCTGGCGGTCGTACGCCAGCAAGGACGGGGGCAAGAAGTCGGCCGGCGGGCGCCACATCGGTGGCCACTACACGATGCTCGAGGAGACCTCGCTCGACGAGTTTGTGCAGCTGGCCCACGCCAACCCAACAAAACGGCCGGGCGAGTCGTCGGGCGTGCACGTCGTCGCTCGGGACGCGGCCAGCCTGGACGACGACGAGCAGGTGGCCAAGCTCTACAGCCTCGGCATTCTGTACGACGGCCCAAATGCGGCCGACCCTGCTGCGCCCGCCTCCGGCCCCATCGGCGCCCCACCCCCCACGACCGGCGATGCTGCCTCTGCCTACCAGGCCGACAGCCTGGACACCATCCGCCACGCGGAGCCGCTCTACACGGTGCGCCATGTAGCAGCGAAGCGCAAGGGCAGACGTGTCGCGGGCCACAGCGCTGCGACGTCACCGCTGAAGACGTCGGCGTCGGAGACGGCCGAGGCTGGTGTTCGGCCCGCCACTCAGGACGATGACGGAGATGACAGAGATGACAGAGATGACAGAGATGACAGAGATGACACAGTGACCCCGCTCTACGCACTGAACGGGGTCTGGGAAGACGCCGAGGGCCAGACAATCGATGGCCGTGCGCTGTTCAGCGATCTCGAAGAGTTTGAATATGTTGTGTTGGCGGACGACGACCTGGCGTCGCTGGCTGGGTCTTGGGTTGATCTGGAGAGTGTACCGGACACGGATGACGGAAAGTAAGAGGAGCAAGGCACATGCTGCTTTGATGTTTCATTAATATATCCAAAAGTAAATAAAACGGGTACCGTCGTATACTCCTCATAGCTGTGAAGTCCGTTTTTGACTGCCTCCTATCCATATTATGATATCCAAAAAAATGTAAAATAAAACACATTCAACAAAACAATATCCGCTGCAAAACTGCTGGGACAGCAAAAGGGAAAAAAATTATGCAGGGTATCGACAAATGTAAAAGATCCAAAAAAGGGCTGCAAAAAGTGCAAAGAATGCAGCAAAGCAAATTAACCCAAGTCAACACCAGCACAAGAGATCATGATGTATAAAAGATGGATGCAAAGGAAATTACAGCGTCATGTTGCCTGCGCAAAGGAGAAAAGAACTCATCTCCTTGGCGGCGTTGGCGGCAGTGTCGGCTGTGGCGTTTGTACCGGCAGCACGGTCCGCGGCGTGGCTGACAGTTTCATAGACAGCAGCGTGTTCATCAGGCGGTCTACCTCCGTGTTGAAGGCCAGAGACGCCTCGCCAAAGACGGCCGCTGTCTCTTCAATGTTGTGGCGAGCGTCGAAGACGGTGGCCTGTAATGTCCGCTTCTCAGCCTCGGCGTCGGCCAGCATGCGATCCCGTGCCGCCACGCGCTTGTTGGCCGCGTCGAGCTGTTGTTGTAGCTCGCGGATCTCTTCGCTTTGCTTCTCAACGACGGCGGTGGTGGCGGCATGTTGCTTTCGCTCAACATCAATCTTCTGCAGGTCGCCTGCGTGGGCGCGTCGGCTTACAGCCAATTCGTCGTCGACAGCTTTCCGTCCTTCTCTCTCGATCTGCAGGTGCATTTCAAGCGTCTGCTGCCGGGCAATTTGTATTTTCAGCTGTTGTTCGACGTGGCCGAGCTCAGCAATGTGCTTGTGCAGACTATCAATCTCAAGCGTGCTGGCCTCAACCTGATCTTTGAGGTCGCGGTTATCAATGCGGAAGTCCTCCATGATGTCGTTGTGGTCTTCGATTTCGTTGTTCAGTTTCTTGATGCGCTGCTCTGCGTTGGCAAGCAAGCGTTTGGTGTCTTCGTGTAGATGTTTCTCGAGACTGAGCAGCGAATCCTCTCCAGTTGATACTAAAGAAGGATTTTGCGGGTGTGATGGTGCCGGTGCGGGCGATCGTGGTGCAGGGGAGGCAGATGAACCATTGGCAAGGCTGGTAGCGTGGCTGCCACCGTTCAGGGAACGAAAGTTGTTGACGATGTGCGCGAGGCGCGCGACAACCTCCGGCGACAAACCGGCAAAGTCCAGCGGCGACAAAGGGTCGCCGGCGGGAAAGCTCCCATTTGTGCCAGAAGGAAGTGCTGCCGGTGGCGGCAGGACAGGGCTCGGCCCCGACTGGTCCTCGGGGCCATTAAAGGTGTCCTGCGCATCACCGTTGATGCGATCTGGCGAAGATGATGACATCTTGTCGAGGCCGAGACCGCCTGGTACACCGCCGACGAGGTCCAGCGGGAGAGGTTTGAGAGCAAAGGGGGCGAAAGAAGGTGACGACGGTCGGTCAGTTGTATAAGAGGCCATCGGACTAGTAACGACACTCGCAGTCACACAGTCTAATCGTCGCTTTGTCGTCCCGTGGGATCGTGGGATCGTCGGCCGTATCTGTAATGTTCTTGCGTTTGGCTGGTCTGAGGTAGGCTCGAGGATGGTTCGTGGTATGGAAGGCCGTGCTTAATGATTGCCGTTGTATAGTATTACGGAGTCGTTTTAGAAGGGCTGGCCACTATTGCGTGAAGCTTGATGTTGATGATAAGGTTGCCAACCACCGCAAACACGCAAATGGCGAAATATGAACAAGAAGAAAAGAAAGGCGACAGGAAGAGGCGAGCTCTATCCAAACAACCCCTGGGTCTACTCAATGACAAATGCGGTTTAGCGAGCCACCCTCTTCTCGCGAGCGCCTGGGCCGACAGATGGTGCGACCAGGGTATGCAGAGGTAAAATGACAGTGTCCGACCTGCGGAGTGCGAGTCAAAACGCGGTAATATTGGTGCTGCAAAGCAACAAATGACCCGCGGAGAGGGCGAGGGAATGTCTTTAGAGATGGGATATGTCCAAGAAAAGGAGGCTGTATAGCGTCTCCGCTATTGGCCAGCCGCCTGGAGCTGTGAGGGCTGAGCAATGGCGTCGAGACTGGCGATGATAAGCCGATCCGCAGCGATCGATAACAGATGCACAATGGCAGAAAAGAAAACGTCTCCTGGCACGACGTGAGGGGACGACGGCTGGTAAGGAGCCGATGCTGTGTACGCCCAAATAGGGAGGAGTGACGAAGATTCATCACGTAAACGTGCTTGGGAAGGAAAGAGACAACGACGGCAAGAGCGAAGGTCAACGAGCCGCCCAGACGCAAGAATAGCCCACAAGGCTGGCTCCCGCCGCCTCCCTCAGCATCTTTTGTTGTGGTCACTTGTCCAGCACTCCGCTTTCTCGCTCACCCTTCATCTTTCCCCAGCTCCTGCTGTCCAAACTGTCTCCAGAGCATGTCCGTGGCGAGATGGACAGGCTTGACGGGGTGGTCAGCCTTGGTTGGCGTGCTCCGCCGCAAGTGTGAGTGGGGCTTTGAAACAAACTGGCCAATTGAAAGCAATGGTCAGTGCTGAGCTTCTAGATGTGGGGGGAAGCAACGACGTTCAGGGTTTGTGGTTGGCCGTGAGAAGACAGGAAGGAACAAATGCAAACACCAGAAAAAGCCAAAACGGATGGGACGAGACGAGAGGGGCCCAGGGGTCGCAATGGTGGAAGAGGAATGAGTGGCCAGACACGAGCGAGCGGCAGAAGAGAAGCTGGGCCTCGAAGCTGGAAAACCCGCTTTCTTGGCCGGCCGGCGGCGGGGTCTCCCGAAGCACAAAAAGACAAGGTTTACTAGCGATGACACCAACAGTCAAAGACCAACTGCGGCCCCCAAAGAAACACAAACAAGTCTGACCACGAGCCCACGAGAGCCATGCGCTTGATCAACACAAAAACACTTGAGCTCGAAGAGCACTTCAACAACATCCCTCCGTATGCGATTCTGTCGCATACGTGGGGCGTTGGAGAGGTGACCTTCTCAGACTGGCGGGAGGGCCTAGAAACAGCCCGTAAGAAGGAAGGTTTCCGCAAGATCGAGCTGGCCTGCCAACAGGCAGCATGTGACGGATATGATCACGCCTGGGTCGACACGAACTGCATCGACAAGACAAGCAGCTCCGAGCTTTCCGAGGCGATCAACTCCATGTTCGCGTGGTATCGTGATGCAGAAGTCTGTTACGTCTTCATGAAGGATGTCGTCGTTCCGGGCGAGGACGGCAATCCCATGCCCTTGGTGACGCCAGGCGAGACACCACCGCCGCCTCCTGGCGGGCTCAAGAAGTATCTCGCGGACCCGACGGTGCGCCGTGCCTTCAAGTCGAGTGCCTGGTTCACGCGCGGCTGGACGCTTCAAGAGCTGCTTGCCCCGGCCAAGGTGCTCTTCTTCTCGTACGAGTGGCTGCCCCTGGCTACCAAGGAAACGGAAGGATCGCTCATTAGCGACATCACTGACATCGACCGCACCTATATCAAGCGTCCCGACTATGTCTCCACCGCGAGTGTTGCACGGCGCATGTCCTGGATGGCAAAGCGGCGCACGACGCGTATTGAGGACACGGCATATTGCCTGCTGGGACTCTTTGGCATTCACATGGCGCTGCTCTATGGCGAGGGCCACCGCGCCTTCCTTCGACTCCAAGAGGAAATCATCCGCGTGTCCGACGACCAGACCATCTTTTGCTGGCAAGCCACCAAGATGGGACTCCTGCCGCCGCCATCTCTGTCCAATACAGAGGACATGGTGCCGGCACCAGCTGGAACGGGGAACGCCACGTCGACAAGCTCGATCCAGCAAGACACGCATCGCCAGGCCGAACTAGAGCAATGGACCAGCATCTTGGCACCGCACCCAAAGGTCTTCCGCGATTCGGCTCTGTACTTTGCTGAGTTTGGCAACGCGGGAGGCGGTGGAGGCACTATGGGCGGCTGGAACAGCGGCGGCAGCATGTCCGGTAGCGTCGGGAGCCTAGGCACATCGAGTGGTGCCAATGCGTCGTCACACGCATCGGAGATCGGCCCATACTCCATTACAAACTTCGGCCTGAGCATCTCCCTCCCGCTGCTGTACACTGCAAAAGGTGCATGTGCCGTTCTGGACGTTGGCTACCGCCGCACATCCAGCGACCGGGCGTCTCGTGTCGTTATCCCGCTGCATCGTGTCCGAAACGGTCACTACATCCGCCTGTCCACCCAGCTCCTCATCATGCAGATACCGGCAGCACTGACTGCAACACGCACGCAGATTTTTGTCGACTGCCGCAACGCCCAGTCCCGCGGTATCTCTCTGCTGCTGGGCCAGCGCATCACCGCGCGTTCCATCAATATGGTTGGCGGGGCGGGTAGCAAGCACCAACCACAGCCAGTGTTGTTTTTGACTTTCAACCGCCCCGTGGACCTCGATCGAACGCCGCTGGCCGCGTCGGACATGGACTTTGTGCCTTTCCACAGCGCCATTGAGGTCAGCACCCACCGTCCAGGCACACAAAGCGCCGTGATTCTCTCCGGGAAAGCTACTGCTGCAGGTGGCAACAACGGCTATGGTAACGGCAAGGCGGGGTCGGCCATGACAGAGTCGTTCCACCTCCTTGTGGGTGCCCGTGCCAATCATGCGTCCTTCAGAGGCACCGCCGGCCCTCTGGTTGACTTTCCCGGCTCAGGTCGCAGCGGCGGCAGCGCAGCTACCAAGAAACAACGTGGCATCTTGCCACACAGCTCGTCGTCATCGACTTCCATGTCTTCATCAACCCCCGGAACCCCAACGTCTGCATCCACGGCGACTCCTGGGTTGGGCATCTCGGACGACCAGATCAGCATGGACTGGCACGCCGACATATGGGCGCGACCGCCCCCAACGTTGAGCATATCCACGAGAGCTTCAGGCGAGTCCGCGGCTCTCCAGCCACTTATCAGCCGCTTGTCGGCTGACTATTTTGGATCGTGGTGCACGTCGCCTGCCCTCTGCAATGTATTGTCGTGGCGGTATTCAGCCAACGGCGCATTGGTGGTGTATTTTGAACTGGGCGAGCTGTATAGCTCCGGTTCCAGTGACGAACCTGAAAGGAGCGACGGGAGTGAGCGTTCTGGCACACCAAAAATGCAGAACGGCGACGACGACGAACGGCTTCGCTTCAGCCACTTGCGGCGGTCGCCGACATCGACTTCGTCAATGCAGCAGCTGTTCGATATGATGACGCCGCCGTTGGCCTCAACGCCACCCAAAATGACAGTTGCGGCACGGGACGCACCGGTTTCGATAATGTGGAATAGATAGGCAACTCTGTGATGCTTTGACGAGTTTGCAATAATTCACAGTGTGAAGTTGATCAGCTCTTAGGATGTTCTTTCATGATACCAATTTCATATTTTATCTTTTAAGGTCCAGTAAATTTTTGATAATGTCAAATTTTATGTCCCAGCCATCTGCCGGTCACGACGTGTGGGGGGGGGGGGGGGACATTGTTCATTTCCATGGCGATTATGTGCATGATAAGCTCCTCAATCAGTATGTAGCCATGTCCTAACAGAACGGCTGACTCGATAGAAATGGTATCTGGTGTGCTGTGTGTGAAAGGATACAATATCCAACTCAACTATGCAGCAAGGTCTCGGAGTCACTTATTGTGCAATTTAAGATGCAAATATTTTTAAAGATATGACGATTTTGGTTTGTTTTCCGGGGGAACGCCATTGATAACGAAACTACGAAACTACCTGTCGTAAGTAGAAACAAAGAAAGCCTAATGCAACGAGAGACCCTCTGGTAAAGAAAAGTAAAGTTTACAATTTTGAAGGAGAAATAAATAAATGAAAACGAGCAGCACGTGCATTGCGTCCTAATTTTCACAGAAGGTATGGTCCGTCGAGCCTTATCCAGGCACGCCTTTCGAAGGTTGAAGAGCACGCGAAGGAAATCAACAGTGACAAACGAAAGTAAAGAGAGAGTGAGAAGAATCGAGAGGAGTAAACGCATCAAATATCGTGAAGGCATTTTCTAAACAAGCACGCAAAAATACAGACAACTGACCTTTTTGTTCCCATTTTTGTTTCTCCCTGCGGACGAGCAGAAAACGCCATGGAATACCCTTGAGTCGAAACATGGAAGAAAAAGCAAGCACACAAGGAATTAGGGAAGGAAAAGGCGACAGGAAATCAAAAGGGCCGATGGCAATAAGATGGCGTTATAAGCTGCTTGGAAAGATGTCAGGGAAAACAAGACGCAAAGCGTGCAACGTAATTCACAAGCAATCGTTTTTTGGCGTCGTCTCGCACCATCACCTCTAGCGCTTTTCAGACTCAACGGGCAGGCAAGAATACGAGCTGAAACATCGTTGGGCACAATAGACCGTAGCGGGAAGAGTTGGCAGAAACAATGGCAAGGACAGCAACGAGAAGACGAGAAATAAAACCACTCGACGCGAGCAACACGAAGCGGGTAGTAAGAGAAAAAGGATTTGAAAATATGACAAGTATGACGAAAGATAGGAGAGTTAATCAGCAATGACTAGGGGTTAGAAAAGGAGCCATAACGTGGTAAAGTTGGCAGACACAAGGAGGAAAAGAAAGAGAAAAGAAAACAGCCTTCGACAATATGAAAATGGAAAGACCATCGAGGAACAAAAAAACCCTCATGAAAAACGTTTAGACGTTTTGTGACAAAGAACCGCGCGAAACGAGAAAACATTACATAAGATGCATCCATAGGGTGTAAACCATGTGTGGGAAAGTAGGAACAAACACCAAAGCACAAAGGGTAAAAAGGACGTCGGAAGTCATGAAAGAAATGCCTTTTTTCGTTTTCAATTCTTTTTGCCACCTTGACGCCTTTCACATCCGCCGAACGCCAACACTATGACAGGAAAGCATTGCGCGACGAAGGAAACAGCCTCTTTAGGAGATCAAACTGGACATGGCAAGTCAGCGAACTGGTCTTGTCGGGCGAGACCTTTGCAAGTATCAAAAGACGGCGCTCCACTCACGTTAAACAGCAGGGGACGGACCGCCCGGGGGACCCTGGTTGCCACCGAAAGGACCAGGCCCGTAGGGGCTGACAGCGCCAGGGACGGCGCCGTGGACAGGGTAGTGCGGCGGCGGGGGAGCAGGGCGGTAGGGGGTGCCGACGCCCGAGTTGTTCTGCGAGCGGCCCCACGACAGGCGCACGCGCGAGTTACCGATGGGGTAGCCCTGCATCTGGTTGATGGCCATCTCGGCAGCGTGGCGGTGCACGAACTGCACGAAACCGCAGCCCTTGCCAGGAGGGATCTTCACGTAGGTGATTTCGCCAAAGCCCTGGAAGAACGAGCGGAGCTCGTCCTCGGTGACGTAGCCAGACAGACCACCGACGAAGACCGTGGTGTTGTTGGGGTCGGTGAACTGGTTCATGGGCTGAGGAGCCATGGGGCCGAAGCCGGGTTGGTAATACCCGCCAGCGCCGCCACCGTTGCCCATGTTCCAGCCACCCATCTGGTTGCCGCCCTGAGCAGGGCCGGGGCCGTGCATGTGGTTGCCACCGTGCTGGCCCTGGCCGTACGGGTGAGAACTGATATGTAGTTAGATTGGGACAATTCAAGCCAACAAACAATACCACAAACAGCCGAATGCGTATGCGTACCGAGTCTTAGGCGTAGCAGTCGAAATACGCATGGGGCGGTTGCCGCAGTAGACACCCTGCATCTCGAGAAGAGCACGCTGCTGGTCGTTCTCGTCCGAGAAGCGGACGAAACCGTAGCCACGGGACTGGCCGGTGACAGCGTCGGTCATAATCTTGGCAGACTTGCAGGACGGGAAGCGAGCCTGGAACAGGCTGACGAGAACGAACTCGTTGACCTCGGGGCCCAGATCTCCGACAAAAATGCTGAACTCTGGGCTGCGGTCGTCACTGTCGGGGCAAGTCAGGTTAGCCTTGTTGTAGAGGAATGAGAGAGAGACGCAAAGAAGAGACGTACCGACGATCGACCAGACCACCACCAGAAGCCCAGTTGAGCTTGAAAGCGCGGCCCGAGTTGGGGATGTTAGAGCCGTTCAGGCCGAGGGCCTTAGTGGCCGCCTCGACGGTGTTGAACTCCACAAAGCAGTAGCCAGCGTTGCCAGAGGCGCGATCGCGGATGACCTTGACGTTGACGTTCTCGCCCGAAACAGTGGAGAAGACGTTCTTGACAAAGTTCTCATCCATCCACGGCTCAAGCTCGCCCATCCAAAGAGTCTTGGAGGACTCGCTGCCCTGGGGAAGAGTCGCGGCAGGGGGGAACGAGGAGTCGATCGTCGAGCCGTTGATGGGAGTCGTGTTCGACTCGGCAGTCAGGTTGCCGTTGGCGGGGGGAGGGAAGTTGGCCATTTTGAAGACTACGCTTCGTTAGCATCACAGGCAGAGGACAACTTTAGAGAGGCACAATTGGACACGGCAACGAGGATACGTAGCACAATATCCAATGCAAACACCAGTCCAAGAATATAATCACTTACCAAAAGACAAAAGCTAAAATTGGAGAAGAGCCTGCAGGGAGACAAAGGTATGTGTTAGGCAATGGCGAAAAAAACAGAATAAGATGGCAAAATGGCACAGCCAAGGCAGCAATTGACGATGGTGCGCAGATGCAAAAGGTCCGAAAATCTTGGAGGATGTCAGCAATGTTGAAGAAGTCAGAGGCAACTTTAACCACGTGACGCTAGCGACCGGGTTGATCGACATCTCTCTATAGGCAGGATCTGATCCTATTGATAGAAATCTGCTCAATAAGATCTTGGGAAAGACAATGCCAGGTCCTTCTCTCCAAGCGGGACATATTATACGCTCAGAATCCTTCCTCATCTTGCTTTTACCTCACCGCCTCATAAAAAAAATGCAGCAATAACTTACCAAATGCGTGAATGGGCAGTCTTTTCTCTAGGAAGACAAAGCTGACGTACCGAAATAAGGAACCCAAAGACAATTCAAGTGTGATCGTAAACGTAAACGTAACGCCTCGCGCCTCGAATAGAAAATAGAGGTTGGAGAAGGATTGGTGCGTAGAAAACGTAGACGACGTGGGAAGATGCGAAAACGACAGTGACAGTGCTCAAAGGATGGCAGAAACAGTCGTATGCTAGTACAAGAACTGCGAGAAAGAGGAAAAGTCAGCGACTGCAATGCAATGACCGTGGAATAAAGTTGAAGCAGCAAACGAAACGTAAGGGCAAAGAAACACAAAAAGAAAGAAAAGAAAAAAGGCTCCAAGCGAGGAAACAAAGAACAGCGGATCGAAAAAAAGGAAGAAATGTGCACAAATGACCAAATCGAGTCTGAGCACCAAGACAGGTCGCTTGAGGGTCCAAGGGAAGCTCCCTCTGTGTGCTGTCCTGTCTCGACAACATGGCTATGGCCGGCTGAGAAACTCGACGGACAGGGGTTCGTAACACGCAGCCGTATGTCCCTTCGAGTAATGTCTTTGACGCATCCAGGCACCTCCGGGGAGCAACGACTGGTAGACGGTTGCTGGGTATATCCCATGGTCCGGTACATGGCACCGGATCCTTCAAAAGAGTCCAGTACGTTTAAACGAGATTGAGGGAACTGGCCAAGGCTGGCATGAGCAAGCAGCCACAGTGCCAAAAAAATCCCGCCATTATTCCATATTCCCGTTCCTGGGATTCCGCAGCCTGAACCTTTAACCGCGCGCACTGCTCTCGTGGCAATTCCGAGCGGCCGCAAAGCCTAAAATCCGGACGCAAGGTAGCCCAAAGTCCAAGCTTCGAGATATAGCGCAACGAAATGTGGAAGCAAAATTCGTGCAGACTTGACGATTGGTGTGATTGGCAGTATTGTCAGCGTGGGCAAGGCGCTCCAACAATTCGTATATTGTGGCCGTGAGTCGGATCGATAAGTCGAGGGTCGAGGTTGGTCTCGAAGATTATGGCAAGCAGTTCCGGACACGTTGCGCTGGCAGTCATGACCATAAGAAAATGTCAATCTCGCCTCAAAGGCGCAAAACTAGAGCTAGGCGCTGGCAACCGAAACCCGCAATGGTGTATCTCGCGAGAAACAGCCCCCGTGTGGGATAAAGGCGCAGCACCGGCAACTCTCGGTTCGCAGATCGGCGCGCTCTGGCCCGCCATGATCATCCGCGATTGCTTGCCGCGTCAAGTCCTTGAAGGCGAAATTGCCAACTCCATTCCCGTCCACAGGTTCACAAATGTGTGGGGCGCCGATATGTGTTCTGCCCTGTTCGACAACCGAAACATCCGGAAGTAACGGCGAGATCAAGGAAGCAATGTCGGCCGGTCTAATGTCGGGTTTTCCGGTAGAGCCGGGAAATAGACGGCAGAAGTTGAAAGCGCCGGCCGTATGAAATGGTGTTCTATGGCGGCTTCGTAGGTCGTAGAGGCGTGCGCATAATCGGTATGTCGAATGAGTGCCGGCGATGGTTCAACATTGGAAATCGTTGACGAGACACCTCGGACTCGAAAAGAGAGACACGGGCGTGAGGAAACAAGAGGAAGCAAAACAAGACACAGAGCGACAGGGACAGGGTCCAGGAACAGAGACAGAGGCAGAAACAGAGACAGACGAAAGACAGAAGAAACACTACACAATGCTGACACAGAGAAACTAGGCAGGGCGGCGGATTGTGACGCAGGTGTCGCAAGCGCGCACGAACGAGTCGCGAGTCGCGCCGGCGCGAGAGCAAAAAAAAGCTTACCTTGAATGGCAAATGCTCGATAGAAGAGGCAAACGGCGAGAAGAGCGCGAGCGCAAAACACTGTCGGTAGAAAGACTGGGCGTGAGCGGGTGGCAAGAGAGAAGGAGAGGTGTGACGAGAGAGTGAGGGGATATGCGTGAAGTTGCTGCAATGTTCGTCGGCAGAAACGGAGGAGTAAACAGAATCGACTCGAACGAAAATGCGTGATGCGACAATGACGGCAAAAATCACACCAAAAAGGAAGACTGTGCGATCGGGGACGAATTGGGGAGATGGGAGAGGCGAGGGATTGAGAAAGCACGAACAAGAAGCAGGCAACACGAACAAAACGAAATGCGCGTGACAAGATCGAGAGAAAAAAGATGAGGGAGAGAAAAAGATTCACGGAAATGTGAACAGAAAGAAAAAAGAAAATGACAATAGAGGGGAAGAAAGGAGAGAGTAGGTGGGGATGGGGGGTGTTACGTGAAGGTGAGAAAGGGAGTGGCAAGACGAGGAAAGTGCAAACTAGAAAAGGGAGGCAGAGAGGGAGATAGCCTGCAAGAAGTGCGAACGAGGAGATTTTCGGGGGGGGGCACGGTCGCGCTCAGATTCTAGGATGATCGGAGTGGATGACTGCTGGCAAGATTTAGTGGGTATTAGAGAAGAAGGGAGAACGGCGCAGAAAGAGCAAGCGCAGGGCAGTGAAAGGAAAGAGAAAAAAAAACGAGTTAAAATTTTAGTGCACTAAAAACTGGGCAGAAAAGACGGGCCCAGCCAGAAAAACTAGCGGGAATATTGCAATAGCACCAAATTATGCGAGGCACCTTGTGAAATAGGGCAGTCCCCTGGCAGAGAAAGTGGAGGCGGAACCGCAGGTAGGCGCGCCGGGGTTGGGCGGAAGGTGCCTGTTGTGTAGGTGCTTTCCAGCTTTGTTCGCCGTTTCTTACAGGGCAGAATGTGGTATCTCGCGCACTGTGCAATAGCCTGGCCATTTGCGGAGGAAGGAACGACAACACCCCAGGTGCACGCATCCAGGTCCATCCAGGTGTGCAACTTCGGCTCCTTACTAGTTCGCTAGCGGGGTGGGCAGTGCTGAAAGAGATGTGCGCGTCATGGTATCTGCGTATCCTCAAACTATCTGACAGCAACGCCCAACCCGACCAGCCGACGTCAAACGACCGGCCTGACGTCCCCTGTGAGAGCGCTGGAACGGTCGTGGGAATTCAGCAGAGGGGGATAAGTGCGTAAAAAGGCCGCACAAAGATGAGATGGAAGGAAGTACCAGAGGAGAGCGATGTCTCCACTTTTCTTACCCATTTTTGGCCCTCTGCCTGTATTTTGCACGATTCTGGATCCTCGAGACAGGCCATTGGCAGCTGCGGTTGGCTGCCTGCTTTGCTTGGTGCCCAGGTGCCCTAGCTCTCTTTAGCTTTTGTGCTGTCGCGAAAGAGGTGTCGAGGTGGAACGCGAACCGGAGGAGGGGCAGGCAGGCTCTCGATGCTCTCGAGGCAGCGACATCTCACAGCATTGCCACTTTCGCTTGAATTTACTCGCCGTGTCGCAGTTGCATCTGCATGCCGAGAACACCTGCGAGACCTGCAAGGTCTCTAGAGCAAAGGGTCGGAAAAGATACTGCGCATCTTGACGCTTCCGCCGCAATCTGCAAGTCAAGCAAGGGAGAGGCCAAGTGCGCATTAGCGCGGTGCCGTGGTGGTGTGTCGCTCTTGGCCCTACAGGGTGTGGTCATGACTACGACAAACGACGATATGCAAAAGGCCTGGTCTGACGTTCGGCTTGATCGCTTGCTCTGATTTTTTCTTTTTGGTCTCTTTTTCCTCCGAGTATCTTGATGCGTTGGTGGGCCGTGTGGGCCCGCACTGTGTTTCCTCTCCCAATGCCCGCAGCACCTCTTGGACGCGCTCCCCCTTCCCAGTGTTTCTCCCAGTTTTGCTCCTGCTTACCGAGGGTACTACTGCGATGCACAGAAGGCTCATCTTCCCGTGCATTCGGGCTTGCCTTTCGATGGTTTTGCTCGCTGGTCCTCCCCCCTGATCTCCACTGCAGCTGCAGCGGCATGCTACGAGCATTGCAGGCCCAATGAACGAGCCTGGTGCTGGACGACATCGTCGAAATGGTCATGGGCGTCGCATTTCAGCTGTCTGCTTGGAGGCTTTTGTCTGAGCTCCCGTACCCACTTCTCTTACGACGTCGATGCCACTAGTCCTGCCCTGTCGAACCTGCCGGTGCCTCCTCCAGCGTTTCGAGACCGGTCAAGCCGGAGACAGGACAAAGAGCCCGACGCAGCGCATGACGTGCAAGCAAGGTAGAGTCTGGCAGTATGAAGCTCTAAGCTCCTGATGCTGGCGTATATAATGATGAGGCCACTCAGTGTTTCCTCTCATTAAAATATAGGCGAGTTGGGAATGGTCCTGACATACTCTGGCCATAAAAGGTTTCAGCTTCTGGCCGCGCCGTTCATAACGAAGACTTTATGATTGGTCTCGCAAAGGATCGCCAAGGGACCATCCCTGGCCAGAAAGAAACAAAGGGAGGACAGACGCGAAAAGCGAAAGCAGAAGATCGGGATCCACGAACGCATCCGCCACGGTGTGCGCGGGACAAGGACGACAGAGGCAAGATGGATGTCACAGACGACGAGAAACATGACAAGAATACGAGAGACACGGGACGAGGCGCGCCATGCTATTTACCGCACCCTCCTGAGGCCTGGGCGAGACTGTCGTTGTGTTTCCCTTGGGTGGTCCTGGACGGCAACGCTCATCGCGTGTCCTTGGCTATTTACTACCCCTGAAACGGCCTAGTATTTTGCGCACGTACGTTTAAACGCGTGCGATCGAAAAATTAAATTTAACGCCCGTATTTTTAGACGGTGTTCAGGCTGTCGGGACGCGTCTCTGCGTTCCCCCGGCGTCGTCTTTTCTGCTAATGACTCTGTATTCTCTCTTTATTTTCCCCTGTCGTCGTCCCTGATCTTATCTAGCCGCTGACTCTCTTAAGACCGCTTCCAAGGAATAATCCAGGGCAAATGCCCGTCCGCCTTGATTGTTTTGATGAGCGAGAAGGGGTTCAAGGGGAGAGCGGATCAATTGGTTGGAAAAGAACAAGAACAAGAACACAAACGGAATGTGTGCTCGGACAAACAACGGCACACAAGCTTTGCGAATGCACAGCGAGGTTTTGCATTGAAACTCTGTACCAGACGGCATCAAGAGGCACTTGCTGTCAATCCGAGATCGATCTCGTTTTCTTGCGCCCGCTGTCGTAACTCCTCACCGTGTTCCCGGCACTGTCTTGGCCGGGGTGACAAAAGCGACGTGATGATGTGCAGAGGAGAGTCGGATTGTTTCCATCTCCATTCGCAGTCGACCAACCAGGACAACATGTCATATTCAATCCTACCATCTTACGTGGGTGGGCAGGGATGAAGGCACTTGGGCGAGAGAAGCAGCGCTGCAGCCCCTGCAAGCACGAAACAATGCCTGCCGCCTTGTGGCACTGCTTAATTTGATCTCGACAGAATCCCAGCCGTGCCAAAGTACATGGGAGGAAGGACGAAACCAACTGTGCATTTTGCAATCTACATGCCCATTGCTGGTAACAGGGAGAATTGCCGCCTCTTCAAGATGCCAATATACCTATACCAGACGCGGGAAATAGGCGTGACCAGAAGTACGGCCGTCATAAAGGCTAATTGAATTGAGATACATCAAGTATGTACATCAGGCGTCGTAGAGGAAGTTTTGCATGTGTTGGTTTGACTATGCCAGAGTGAGTTATTTACATTGGTACAGTTTTCAATTTAATTTAATTTTGGTCTTTAAGAAACTCATTAAATTGGACCAAAAAAAAAAAAAAAAAAAAAAAAAAAAAAAAAAAAAAAAAAAAAAAACAAAACATTTTCATGAAACAGTATTGGGCTGTATGAATGTGAAGAATAAGTAGTTGAGACTTTACAACAATAAGAAAACTTATACAAACAATTATTGTTGGCTGGTAACCTCGCCGAATCACGAAAGAGATACATTTTGTAATTGCTTGCTCACCAGTCCACCCGTTCACCGAGCTGAGACTGACAGGGTATTGGAGGCTATGAAAGGCGAAAGACGAGTAAAAACGGGCCGATGTGCATCGCGGCTGTTCTTCTTGCCTGCATTTTCGCAATATCAATATGCTGCTTTCTTGTCATCTATGCCTTTTACACCGTGAAGGCCTTCTCGCCACGGTGAACATGGGCATTGTTCCATAGTGTTTTCTAGAACGAAATTGACAACTCAGCCGTCATCTGTACCTTGCAGATGCAGTAGACGGCAGGCTGATAACTGACAACAATTCTCCGGGACAATAGCAAACCATATGCCGCCTAATATCTGACTTGGACGGAAGCAGATTGAACAACGTGGCTGCAAGATGCCACTGGTACTCTGATATAGTTTCATGAACCAATAAGTGAGATGTTGCCGTGGAGAGCGAGCCGGTAACCAACAGGCGCTGTTTTGATGCTTCAGCCGCGATGCTTGTCATTTGAGCCGAAAGGGCCTTTGTACTGTCTGGCAGGCTTCCCTTTGTTTGACGTCAACGCGATCACACGTGACTGCTTACTCATCAATCATTTGCTCGCTGCTCACGCCCGCACAGCCGTGTGCACGTCACAACGGCCGCCGCCTAGCGCCTAGCAGGGACCCCGCCTAGCCCGGAGCTCTCCAGTGGATGTGGCCCCCTCTACGATGGCCCCGTTCTCGCATGTTCCGGCCAGGCACGGCGATGTTGACGACAGCCGACGACGCCACGTAAACGAGGCTCTGGACGACGAACGAAAACAGCAAACACAACGAAAGGGACTGTATTATAGACTGGCGTTTCTCTTTCTGCAGCCTTTGTACATTTTGCCCAGCCATCATTGTCGCTTTAGCCCTCCTAAGAAGTCACCACAATCGCAAAACAAACCCATAGCATCTCATCGTCAAGCATTTGAAAGGCGATAGCAGTCATCTTTAGCCTCAACTTCACCCCTTACCTTCTGCGGCGTACCCTCACTTACATACATGCCACTGCCGACCTGAGATGGCAGAGCCTACGTCCGAGCAGCGCGAGCTCTCGCTCGTGGAAAAGGTCGACTTCCGCATCCTCAATGTGGCCAACAACGAGCAGAAGCTGCAGGACCTGCTGAGCAAGTTCCTCGTGCCGCTCCTCCTCAAGGGCGCCAGCGAACATGCCTCGGTGCGCGCCAAGGTGGCCACCGTCGCCCAGCGCCTCAAGCTGTTCATCAAGCCGCCAGGCGTCGTCCTGCCCGTGGCGGCCCTCGTCGACCAGTTCAAGTCCACCGCGTCGCCCGTCGTGCGCCACCTCGACATGGTCTTCATCCAGCACAGCATCGGCCGCCTGTCGGCCAAGGACCGCCGTGCTCTTTTGCCGGCGCTGTTGCGCGGCATCTCGCGCGTGAACAGCAGCACGCCCGCGCTCTTTGATATCGTGCTGCAGACGCTGCCGGTCCTCAAGGTGCCCGCGCGCGGCTCGCAAGAGGACGACGCTTTCGCCGAGGCCATTGGGCTGGCAGACCCGGCCGACGCCGTGTACGTGGCCGAGCGGTTTGGTCAGGTGTTTCTGCTGTCGCGGGGCGGCAGTGGCGGCGCAGCGTCCGGCGCACAAATGGCCGCTGCGGCCGATGTGGCCTTTTTTGGCCTGGACCAAGACGACGCCTGGTTGCGGGCCGGCACCAACCTGGCCGACACCCGGATCCGCGTGGCGCAGTTTTTGGCCAGCGGCGCGTTTGCCCACAACGACGACACGGAGGCGGCCCGCTTCATGCCGTCGCTCTATGCCGCCGTGCACACCGACAGCCGCGTGTCGTCGCTGGGCGAGGATCTGCTCAAGCGCACCAAGGTGTCTCTCGAGTCCAAGACGCTTGTGGAGCAGTTGTTTGCCGCTCATGCCGTGCTGCCCCCGGCCTACCGCATCCGCATCCTGAACCTGCTGAGCCGGTCGTCGTTGTCGACCTCGTACACCGACGAGATTTTAAAGGTCGTGGTGCGCGACATGGGCGCCAACAAGGATACGTCGGCCGAGGCGGCGGCGGCGGACAACGGCGCAACGGCCTCGTCCCGGTCGCGTGGCCTGGAAATGGCCAAGCTGTACAACGCGCTCTTCGAGTACATCAACTGGATCGCGCGCATCGGCCCCAACAAGCAGGACTTTGCCATTGGGCGGCCCCTGATCGAATACCTGCAGCAGTACATCCAGGACCTTGGCTGGCCGGTGCCCACGTCGACGGGCGTGGACAACGAGACGCTGCGCGCCAAGGCATACGAGACGATCGGCCAGCTGGCCAAGGGCGCGCGCATGACCACGGCAGAACGCCTGGCGCTGGCGCGCTACTTCTTCCGCTCGCTGACCGAAGACCCCGTTGCCGAGGTCGTTGTGAACGTGGACGGCGCACTGTCCAGCCTGTCGTCTGTGTTTGCGCCAGAGATGGCTGCCAGAGGAAAAGGGAGCGGAACGAGCAAAGCGCAGGAGCAGGAACGGCAGACCAAAGACCGCGAGACCATTGAGCCCGAGCTGCGTGCCATGCTGCTCGAATACATTGGCCTCGATGGCAGCGACGACGGAGATGCGCGCATCCGCCGAAGCGCACGCCACGCGGCCGCCAAGTGGGCAAACAACTGTCTCCGGTTTGCCGACCCCGTCGGCCGCTGGATCGACATCCTGGCCGCTGCGGGCCGGCGCGGCGAGCGCAGCGATGTGGTCGAGGAGGGCCACAAGGGCCTCGACCCGTGGACCTACTACAGCAACAACGTGGACGACCTGGTGCTGCCGCAGTGGCCGGCGCTCGTGCAGACCTTCTTCAAGGGGCGCGTGGGTGGCGAGGCGGCCGAGCACACCGAACCGGCCGGCATGGACGTGGATGCTGTGTCGGTCTTTGTCAACTTTTCCGGTGACATTTTGGACGCGTTTGCGCTTGCCGTCAACTACTGCAAGCGCATCTTGCTGTTGACAGCGCTGACCGACTTCAAGGTCGAGCCCGGCTGGGAGCAGCAGGTCGAGACGCTGGTGCGGTCAGACAAGGCCAGCCGGGACACGATTCGGGCCTACCTCGCGTCGTCGGCCGCGCTCCAGACGTCGCTGCAAGACCTGCTCGAGGCTGCCTTGGAAGGCATGCTCCTCAAGGACAAGCCGGCCGTCGTTGAGCCGTGTGGCCGCTGCTTTGTCGAGCTGGCCTCGCTCGCGCCGCAGGCTGCACTCGCGCACTTGGCCGGCCGAGCGTCTGAGCTGTTGCCCCTCGCTACGTCAAACAAGAAGGAAGTGCGAAAGCTCGCGGCGGCCGCCATTGGCATCCTGGGTGCCCACCCGCTCAATGGCGTTGCCAGCGTGGCCAAGCTCAAGGCCGATCTGGTGGCTGCCGCCCAGCCATGGAAGACAGCCGTGGGCTCGGAGCTGAACGCGACAGAGGGTGCCTTTGTGTCCCTGGCACACCTATTGTCGCGAATTGTGTTTTATGATGCCGCCGACGCAGACCGACGGCGAGCCTCGCTCGTGGACGACGTTGCGGCCCTGTTTCCGACCGCAAAGGAGATCGGCGAGGCGTCCATGTCGTTCCAAGACGCATTGTTTGACGCCCTGTCCCAGCTGTGGACGGCAGGCATTGCTTGTCTCCCGGGCTCTGTTCCCGACGGAAGCGACGCGGATACGACCAAGACGGTTGTTGGATTCGTCGACGTGCTCACCACGCAAGCCAAAAAAGGAAACGAGCGCGCCATCGCCGCCCTGGGCCGCCTTGCTGTGTCTGTCGGTGCTGACTCGACAGCGGCCGGGGCCGAATCCACCGACACGGATCAAGGGGCAGACGAGACGGACGTCACGGCGCTGATCCTGTCCAAGCTGTACGACTTGTACGAAATCAAGCAGGCCGAGGCACACTTTGCCATTGGCGGCGCGATCACGGCGGCCGTGGCCTGTTGGGACGCGGACGTGGTTGAGCTGTCACTCGATGTACAGTCGTCGTCGTCGTCGTCGTCGTCGTCGTCGTCGTCGTCATCTTCGTCTTCGTCTCCTTCCAGCACCAGCCCGGCCAAGCGGGCGCCGTTCCGGATCGCCAAGCGGCCGCACCGGCTGACCGCCGCTCTGGACAAGATCCTGACGGACGGCAAAACAACAAAGCCGGCTCTTCTCAAGGCGTCGGGCATCTGGCTGTTCAGCCTGATCCAGCACTGCGCGCATCTGCCCGAGGTGCAGAGCCGGCTGCGCGAGTGCCAGGTCGCGTTCATGCGGCTGCTGAGCGCGCGCGACGAGCTGGTGCAGGAGACGGCGTCGCGGGGCCTGGCGCTCGTGTACGAAAAGGGCGACGCGCCGCTCAAGGGCGACCTGGTGCGCGACCTGGTGGCGTCGTTTACGGGCAGCGGCACGCAGCTCAAGGTCGACGAGGACACGGAGCTGTTTGACGCGGGCGCGCTGCCGACCGGCGAGGGCAAGTCGGTCACCTCGTACCGCGACATTGTCAACCTGGCCAACGAAGTGGGCGACCAGACGCTCATCTACAAGTTCATGTCGCTGGCGGCCAACGCGGCCACGTGGTCGACGCGGTCGGCCTTTGGCCGCTTCGGCCTCAGCAACATCCTGTCGTCCGAGGCGGAGACGGTCGACCCCAAGCTGTACCCGAAGCTGTTCCGCTACCGCTTCGACCCCAACCCCAACGTGCAGCGGTCGATGAACGACATCTGGAAGGCGCTGGTCAAGGACTCGAACGCGGTCATCGAGACGCACTTTGCCGCCATCATGGAGGACCTCCTGAAGAGCGTCCTGGGCAAGGAGTGGCGCGTGCGCGAGGCCAGCGCGGCGGCCATCGCCGACCTTGTGCAGGGGCGGCCGTTTACGCAGTACGAAGCGTACTACCAGGACATCTGGGCGCGCGCCCTCAAGGTGCTCGACGACGTCAAAGGATCGGTGCGCGAGGCGGCGCTGCGCCTCTGCATCACGCTGTCCAACACGCTTGTGCGGCAGCTGGAAGAGGACGGCAGCAGCGGCAGCGCAGCCGGTGCGCGCAAGAACGCCGTCGCCATGATGAACGAGGCGCTGCCCTTCCTCATGTCCGACAAGGGCATCGAGAGCGGCGTCGAGGACGTCAAGGTGTTTGCGACGCTGACCGTGCTCAAGATTGCCAAGCACGGCGGCAAGTCGCTGCGGCCGTACATTGCGGCCATGGTGCCGCATCTGCTGGGCCTGCTGAGCACCATCGAGCCGCAGGCCTTCAACTACTACTACATGCGCTCCGGCGACGACGACCGGGAGAAGCTCGACAAGATGCGTAGTGCCATGGTGTCGCAGTCGCCCATCTCCGAGGCCATTGAGAACAGCCTGCGCAGCGTCGACGCCGCCGTGCTCACGGACCTGGCGCCCGGCATCGAGGCGGCGATGAAGAGCGCGGTCGGCATGCCGACCAAGATCGGCTGCGGGCGGGTCCTGCAGACGCTGGCCACGCGCCACGCGCTCGACTTTGCGCCGCACAGCGCGCGCTTCCTGCAGCTGCTGGGCAAGCAGCTGCTCGACCGCAACGACGAGGTCAGCCAGAGCTATGCCAAGACGGCGGCGTACGTCGTGCGGACGGCGCCCGACGCCGCGCGCGCGCGGTTCGTGGGCCACCTCGTCGACCTCTATTTTGGAGCCGAGGACGAGACGCGCCGCCAGAAAGTGGCCGACGCCGTGCTGTTCCTGTCCAAGATCAGCCCGGACCACTTCAACGCGCTCGAAGCGCGCCTGCTGCCGCTGTCGTACCTGGCCCGCCACGACGCCGACGACTACGTGCACAAGGCCGCCGACGAGGTCTGGAGCAAGCACGCCGGCAGCAGTCTGAGCGTGGCGCGGTACGTGCCCGAGATTGCTGCGTTGACCGAGCGCGCTCTCGACACGGCGCAGTGGGCGCTCAAGCACGCCGGTGCGCGCACGGCGGCGGCGGCCGTCGGGTCGGTGCTGGCCGCCAGCGACCTCAGCGGCCAGGTCAACGTGGCGCACCTCGAGCTGCTGTGGCCGCTCTACGAGCGCGCACTGGCCCTCAAGACATTTGACGGCAAGGAGACGCTGCTGGATGTGCTGCCTGATGTTGTGAGCAAGGGCAAGGCGCTGTGGCAGGACAACGCCAAAGTAGCTGCGTCTCTGCGCAAGATGGCGACGGTGGAGGCCAAGCGCAACAACGACGCATACCGCGTGCACGCCTTCAAATGCCTGTGGCGCGTGGCCGCGGCGCGCGAGGACGAGGCGGCCGTCGGCATGTGGGACGACATTGTCGCGATTGTGACGCCACACCTGGAGGCGCTCAAGGAGTGGGAGGATGCCAAGGACGGCGGCGACCGCATGGACGTCGACTCGGCCAATGGCAGCAAGAAGGACACGGCGGCCGCGACAAAAGAACGGCTCGTGCGGCAGACGGCGGAGAATGCGCTGGATGCGGTGGCTCGCGGCTACCACAGACCCTCACTGCAGCGCGACCCTCGCGCCGTTCTAGCGGCCGTCTGGGCCGTTCTGGCCCCCTTTGTGAGCAGCAGCGCCTACATCCTCGTCCGGCGGACGACTTGGTACAAGGCCATGGGTGAGCTGCTCGAGGCGGCCGCGTCGACGGATGTGCCGTCCTCGTCCTCGTCGGAAAGCGGCGGCGACTTGGCATTGGCGTACCTTGCGTCTCTCGACGTCGACACACCCGAGGCGGGCACAGAAGAGCAGCGCTCGTCACGAGCCAAGGCGCTCAAGGCACTGGTCAGAGCAAGCAAAAAGGGGGCGTTGGGCGCCGTTGGCAGCGAAGCGGCAAGCAGAATCAAAGCGGCCGTCGACGGGGCGCTCTCGACAGAGCGGTCTCTTGATGTGCAGAAGCTGTTGCGAGAGGCTGTTGCTGAAGGAAAGAAGTAGGAGGAGAAGGCCACGTCTTGACGAAAGCCGAAGCAAAAGAAGACGGCCGAGTGTACTTTTTGAGTACGCAGGGCATACGAGATTATTGTGCGAATATATTGTTTGAAATTGATGCGTAGTCAATCTACATGTATCACTGTACATATCCACGATGTTTGATATTGCATTCAAAAGACGTTGTAAGCGAGACATGAAATAAAAAGAGTAAATAAATTAAAACTTGATGCTCGTTGCCTGTTTGACGAGTGTACGAGTAATAACCCGTCGTTTGCAATCGTAATTGGTGATGATAAATAAACAGACAACGCGATTTCGGTTGCTCCAAAGTTCTGTTCGGCTGCTCTGATTGGCTTATTTACTCGGCAAGACGCAGCTCCCATGGCCCTAAAACGCCCTAACCGCTATCCGCCCCCATTGCGTCACGGCACTCGAACCCCACTGGACAGCTCTAGCAGGACGGCGCGGGGCAGTCAACTGTGCTGGAGCCGTTGGGGGTGCCTAGCGGGGCGAGGGCCAGGCCTCACAGAAAGCTTCGCCTGCCCGCGGCCGCTGCTAATTTCTTCGTCACCGTCGCGCCTGCCTGCGTTCGCCTAACGATTAGTGTCTACCTACCTAAAGCTTGCTGCACGACTCACTTCACAACCTCTTCCTCACGTTCTTCACTTTCACGCTTCACTCTTCACTCTTCCCACGCAGGTGTCTCACGTATCCTTTCTCTCCCAATCCGACCAACGCCCACTCTCGACGACAAATATACGAATCTCGGCTCGTAACTTTGCGCATCTCACACCGCGTCTTCACCTGCACCCAAAGGAGGGGCGACAGGCGTTGACGGCCACCAGCAAGAAACGCCAACAACCGCGTTTGTCCTGGCAGCAGTTATTATCAGCCCACGATCTCGACATCCGACATATCAACGTTGACCTCCTTTTGACTTTTGTCTCTCGTAACGCTCCCCCGACGGTCCCCCCCCACCACACGTTACAATGGATGACGACCTCGTAAACAACTTTGTGGCCATCACAGGCGCGTCGGAGCAGGTGGCGCGACAGCTGCTGGAGATTGCCGGCGGCAACATTGAGCAAGCGGCTGTGTTGTTTTACGACACGGACATGGCCGAGACGCTGGCACGGCAGCCCGCAGCAGCACCGTCGACGTCGGCGGCCGCACAGCAGAGCTCATCCAGGAACACAAGCAGACCAGCGGGCGCCAGCCGGACAGCATCGTCGAGCCGGTCGCGGCAAACACGAGCAGGCGCTTCGGGACAGACCTCGACCCTGTCACGAGGCCGCGAAGACGCCGACGGCGTGATTACGATTGACGATAGCGACGACGACGACGACGGCAACAACCACCACGACGTCGACGACAACGACATGGACTTTGACGAGATCGAGGAGTTTGAAGACATTGACGATGACGACGACGAGCATGCCAACGAAAACGAGAACGAGGTTATTGACGTCGACACGCACATGTCCGACGCGGCGGCGGCAGAGACAGTGGCCCGGTCGGCACAGGAAGAAGAAGACGCGGCCATGGCCAAGCGGCTGCAGGAGGAGATGTATGCCGAGCCGGCGGGCGGTGGCAGTGGCGGCGGTGCCGGCGACGACGACATCCGAGCACCCATGGGCCGTACGACCGAGGTGCTCGTCGAGCCGTCGTACGTAGGCGGCAGCGGCGGCTACGGGAGCTACGGCGGCTATGGCGGCGACTCCATCTACGACCAGATGCGGCTACAGCGGGCGCGGCAGGCGGCAGCACGGGGTCCCCGCAACCCCTTTAACCAGGTCTGGGACGACAACGACGACCCAGATGCTGCGGCCGGCGGCAGCAGCAGCCACCAGACGAGCGGTGTGACCGACGATGGCCCAGCGTCTCTCGGCCCGTCCGTGCCGGCGCCCTCGTCGCGGCAGGCCCGACTGGCCGATCTGTTCCGCCCACCCCACGACCTCATCGAGCATGTCTCGTCCTGGGACGAGGCGCGGGCGATTGGCAAAGACGAGAAGCGCTGGATCCTGGCCAACATCCAGGACCTGTCCGACTTCCAGTGCCAAGCCCTGAATCGCGACATCTGGAAGGACGCGGCCATCAAGCAGCTCGTGCGCGAGAACTTTGTCTTTTTGCAGTACAGCAAGGACGACATCCTGGCCGAGTCGTACATCCAGTACTACATGCCCGGCGGCCAGGACGAGAACCCGGACAACTACCCGCATATTGGCGTCGTCGACCCGCGCACCGGCGAGCAGGTCAAGGTCTGGTCCGGCCGCCCATTCCCCACTGCCCTCGAGTTCCACGCACAGCTCGCCGAGTTTCTGGACCGGTACAGCCTCGACGCGGCCAAGAAGAACCCGGTGCAGCGCACCAAGCCACAGGCCGTCGTCAAGGACGTGGGCCGCATGACGGAAGACGAGATGTTGGAGATGGCTCTTCGCAACAGCCTGGCGACGGCGGGCGGCGGCAGTGGCAGTGGCAGTGGCAGCGGCACTGGTCAGGCCGGCGAGGGATCGGGCGCGGCCTCGGGCTCGCGCAGTGCAAGCGGTGCCAGCAATGGCGTGCAGGATCCGGACGAGCTGACGGGCACGCCGGCACCAGATGCTGCAGCAGAGGCAGAGCCCGACGACGACGGGGCATTGTCCGCCTTCAAGGCCATTGCGTCCGACAAGCCCCACGAAGAACCACCGGCCAGCGTGCCCGCCGCGGCCGCCACTCGGATCCAGTTCCGGCACCCCACCGGTCGTGTGATTCGCCGCTTTGCCACCGACGACCGCGTGGTCCGCATCTACGAGTGGCTCAAGGCGGCGCCGCTCGAGGGCCACGAGGGCCTTGCCTTTGAGCTCAAGGTCATGCCGCAGGGCCATGACTTGCTTGAGGACCTGGACAAGACCATTGAGGAGGCCGGCCTGAAGCAGGCGACGGTCATGATTGAGTTTTTGGAGTAGGGCGGATGGACGGGGCTCTTCTTGTACACGGGTTGCAGGGATAGACATTGGATGCGGGCTTTCCACGTCACGTTGCCTCCCTGCCATGTCTTATTTCGCTGTGTTGTCTTCTGTTTCCCCATGTTAGGGCCAACGTATACAAAGCCTCTGTCTATTATGGAGTAGATAATCTGCTGCTGCCTGGGCCCTTTGGTCATATATTTTGCTAAACACAGCCGTTTTTCACTGATTCCTTGTTGTGATTGTGTCATTTTTAATAGATTTCACGGACTTTGCTATGTGTTTGCCTTGGGCGTATGAATATACGAAGTATTCAATGCCGTCCTTTGCCTGAGAGAGTCTGACATGTCGTGAGACGCAAGAATGGAACTGTTAACGCCAATCCCAGGCGAAAGAACTAAAACAGGTCTTTAGTTGCGCTAAAAAGTACAGTACGGCCGCTGACGATTGGCCAGCCCCGGGCTCTACAGCGGCTATTACAGCGGTCTTTGTTGGCCTTTGCACCTGCTGATTCTGAGCATTCAGCATCGCGGCGTCTTGTCCGAGATTTGTACACATGATCTGTATTTTGCCTGTCACACGTATTCTCCCCCAAACACAACACACACTGCCAGGAGTCCTCACAGCACTTGCAGCAACTGCAGAACACACGTTCAGGGCCTCTCGCACCCACTCCCACGGCGTCTCGACTGCTCACACTGCTGGCCCGCCGGCATCCGCTGCCCGCCATGGCCGACCGCAAGACGGTCTGCATTATCGGTGCGTTTTCTGTTCTCCTCGTTCTTTTCGCACCCCCTTACCTTTGTCGCTCCTGCTGACATCTACAGGTGCCGGCCCGTCCGGCCTGGCCGCGGCCAAGAACTTGCTCTGGGACCGCCGCGCCCGCAGCAAGTTCCGAGTCACTATTGTCGAGAGCCAGCCGCGCATCGGCGGCCTGTGGCCCAGCAGCCGCAGCGACAATGGCGGCCTTGTGCACCCACTCATGCTGGCCAACCAGAGCCGCCATACTGTCCAGCTCAGTGGGCTGGCCTGGGAGGACGACGCACCCTCCTTTCCCCGGGCCTGGCAGATCGGCGCCTATCTTGAGCGGTACTTTCAGCGGTACTGTCGTGGCCCGCAAGAGATTGGTGATCTGGTGGTGAAGCTGAGCCGGCGTGTGGTCAGGGCCGAGCCGATTGACAGTGGTTGGCACGTGTGGACGCAGGCCACCGATACAGAGGGCGGTGATCGCGAGGTGGTGGATGCCGGCGTGTTTGACTATCTCGTTGTGGCCAGCGGCTACTTTGGAAGTCCCAACGTCCCGGAAGGCCTGGAGACAATGTCAACGACGACGACGACGACGACGACGACGACGGTCAACTCTGGGAGCGTTCCCGTTGTTCACAGCAGTGCCTACCGTGACCTGGACACGCTCTTTGCTGGACACCCACCAACGAAGGACCAAAAGGGCAAGATCGTGGTCGCAGGCGGACAGTTTTCTGGTGTTGAGATCGCCGCTACCATCGCCAGCCACTTGTCCTCGGCCGAGCATGCTCCAGGCGCAGCGATAGACACCATACCTGCCGCTTCAGTGCACCACGTTATCCAGCAGCCCTTCTGGGTGTTCCCGCTGCACACGTCGCCAGCCCCTGCGGCCAACGCTCCCCCGTTCCTCCCGTTCGATCTGCCCTCGTACAACATCCGCAAGCGCCCGCAGCCACTGGCCGACACGCAGGGCCATATCACCGCGGAGACGGCTCGGTTTGTCCACGGCCTCTTTGAGACAGCGCTCGGCACCGACCAGGCTGAGATCCACCCGGCGCTCGCCATTGCCAAAGACAGCACCGTGCGCGACGCACCGCCCATGATGGCCGTCAGCGATACGTATCTTGAACATGTCCGTTCCGGCCGCATCACACTGTCGACTGGCAAGTTGGATGCTGTCACGGACACACAAGCCGTAGTTACAGACGTGTCACGGTCGGAGAACGTGGACAACGTGGCCGCGGTTGTACTGGCCACGGGCTTCTCGGCCGCGACGTCGCTCGCATTCTTTCCTGAAAGTGTCAAGCAGGCGCTGCACTTCGATGCAACCGACGCCCGTCAGATTGTCGCGCTGGCCTTTAACGGCACATACCACCCGGCTGTTGCCAACTTGGCCTTTGTGGGCTTCTATCGCTCGCCCTACTGGGGTGTCATGGAGATGCAGGCACGTCTGGCCACTGCCCTCTTTGTGTCGGACGCAGCCTCTCCGCCACCATCAAAAGACGTCGCCTCCTGGGTCCCTGCCACACCACAATGGCCACAGCTGGCCTCGGCACTGGCAGACGATCGTTCCATCGAGCGTACACTGTCGCTGCGTGCCGACCCGGAGCGTACATCCCAGTTCCCCATGGGCGACTACCTGTTCCTGATGCACACATTCGGCGAGGCATTGGGGATTCCGCGGCGGGCAGCCGACCCGGCAGATGCTGCTCTCCAGACCCGTGACGTCGCCCTGGACGTCGTGACACCAGCACACTATTTCGACGGCGACGGCGACCAGGGCGACGAGAACACTGGGGGTGGGCCGACGGTCGACAGCCTGGACACCGTCAAGGCCATCGAACACACGGCCGCCACAGTCAAGGCTGGCCTGCACGACACCCGCTTTGTCGCTCGTGCTGTGTTCCGCAGTCTGCAGGGCACGTGGAAGCTTGACCGCACACTCACAAGCCGCCTGCCCAGCCACCCAAGCGGCCGCTTTGTCGGTACCGCGGAGTTCCGTCTGCGCCAGAGAACCAAGGACGGCATGTCCGAGTCGGAAAAGCTCGGCGAGGAGGACGAAGACGAGTTCGAGTACCTGTACGTTGAGGATGGCATCTTCACGGCTCTGAACGGACCCTCGTTCCAGGCGACGCGGCGCTACGTGTGGCGGTACAATGCGCGCGACGACCGTATGAGTGTGTGGTTTGCGCGCACCGACGACTCCTCGCGCGCCGACTACTTGTTCCATGCGCTCGAGTTTTCGCCGTCGCTGATGCGCAAGGGGTGGAAGGCGACGGCGGGCCATCTATGCATCGACGACTTTTACGATGTGCACTATGAGTTTGGCGTGTCTGGCGTCAACGTCACCAACTGGACGCTCGAGTATGGGGTACGCGGCCCCAAGAAAGACTACACAATCTTCGGAACGTACCGGCGGTGATGATGATGCACAACCGATCATTGCATTTGCTATATAATGATGATCTATGGTAACGGTGCCACGATGGAAATCAAAAATAGATTCTTGTATTGGGTACAATATAAAAGGTGCTGCTGCCATTGACAGACGGTTTCTAAACCAAAAAAACACCGCCTCCAATGCTTCAATGCCGCCATCATGCGGTTCCATTCAAAATCCTTGAAATCTTTGATACGTCACCTTTAACCCCACTGCACGAGCACCTTCTTGCCCTGCCGGCCTTTCTTCTTGCCCTTGCCGGCATCGTCGTCAGCCTCAACGGGTGCAGCAGACGAAGCGCCCTCTGCAGCACCCTCGCCGCCCCACGAGAAGCCCGTCTCTTGGTTGCCACCGCCCAGGTCACGCCGCACCGCCTTGCGGCCGTAGCCAAAGACGGACGGTGGTGGCGGCTTGGGCGCCGCAGGCAATGCTGGGAACGCGTCCTCGCGGCGTGCACTGCTCAGGGGTGTGCTGGTGCCAGAGCCGGGTGCCGAAAGGGAAGCATAGCGGCCGGGCGTCGAATTGCTGCTGCCACCGCTGGTGCCGCCACCGACACGGGCCGCGAGCGTGGACGCACCACCCGCGCTGCCACTGACATTCACCCACGATGATGACGACGCTGCCGACTTCTTGCCGGTGGCACTGGGCAAAGCTGGGAACGCCGCCGAGGTCTGGGGACGCGGCGGGACCGGAGCAGCGGGTCGCGAAGGCGCTGTCCATGTGGCTCCAGGCACTGTGCGACCGCTTGGGTCGCGCGAGCTGGGTGTGCTAATCACAGACGACGAGGACGTCGATGGCCCCCCGAGCCGTGTGCTGTGTTTCAGCCGCAGAACGCGCGTCGACGAAGACGAGCTGGTGCTGTTCGCTGCCGACGGTGCATTGGCCGACGCTGCAGCCGCCCAGCCGCTTGTCGAGGTCGTTGCGCCGTGCATGCCGCCGAGCGTTGGGAGTGACGGGTAGTCTTCTTGGACGCTGCCCTCGGCACCGCCCGCTGCCGCGCGCCGGTCGTGCAGCGCCCTGCGGAGGGCGTCGGCCTTGGATGCGTCGTCGAACAGGTCGGCCACCTCGCGCACCAGACTGCCCAGCGCTGTGTCGCTTGTCTCGGAAAATAGACTCGAAAACGCGTCGATCAGCTGCGGAGCGCTGCGGGCACCCGACCGGTACGACGAGATGTTGTAACGGAACGCGTTGACCTTGCTGGGGTTGCTCCCGAGCAGGTTAGACGCGCGCTCAATGACAGCGCCGTGGCGCACAAGACGAGCGCGATCGGCAGGTGAGAGGCTCGCCATGTCGGAAACGTTCAGGGCGCTCATCGGGTCGAGGAGCTGATCCGTCGAAGATGGAGAAGCTTGCGCGGCAGGGGAAGTGGAGGCGGAAGAGGCGTTGCCCGGAGGAGGGTTCCGGCCAGTCGTTGCCGCGTTCGCATTGGCTGGAGAGGCCTGGCGTGAAGCCTGTGCGGGTGTGGGCGCGGGCGAGGACAGGTGGCTGCCAAAGGTGCGGTTGGAGATGGACTGCGCCGAGTGGATGGCCAGCTGGCGCTGGTACGCAATCTCGTCACGCCGCATGGTCTGGGAGGAAGACGCCGTGGGAACGGGCGCGTCCGCGTTGGGATCACGACCACGGCTCGCACGGCCCTGGTGGCTGCGGCCACCTCCACCGCGGCTCTCGCCGCCACGGACGTCAAAGTCCGCCATGCTGACGACTTGCACATCGCGCCGCACGTCCTTGGACAGCGAGTTGCCGTGCTCGCTCAGCTGGTGCGCCTTGAGATCGAGCTCGGCCTCAAAGACGACAAACTTCTTCTCGAGGCACTCACGGTCCGAGCAGATGAAATGGTCTTTCCGGAAGTGCTTCTCCAGTTCGTTGTAGTTGCGGTAGTAGTGAGGTTGGCGCGAGTCCCGCCGATCACAGAGAAAGCAACGTTCGTGCTTGTTGCGACAGTGCTCATACAGCTTGTCGTCGTCGTAGAAGCGCTCGCCACAGAAGCCACAGAGCGGATGGCCTCGGAAGCCTGTCTGGTCCACAGCGCCCGGCTTGTCGTCGCCGTGCCGCATGTGCTTCTCGTGGGCTTTTTCTGAGAACAGCTCGTGCTCGTGAGTAAAGACCTTCTTGTTGCGGGTACACAGGTCGCACATCTTCTTGTGGTGCGTCGAGCGCACATGGCGGTGCAAGTCGGGCCAGCCAAAGCCGGCATAATCGCAGCTCTCGTCGGGGCAGTTGTACCGCAACAGGAGCACCGTGTCGCCGACAATGTCCTCGTTGGTGTACTTGATGCCAATGTTGTCGTCGGTGCTGCTGATGTCGGCATCTGTGTAGTCCTCAAAACGCCGCGCCGGGTCGTCTGTGAAAATGACATATGGTGCCGGCGTCCGACAGTGCGGGCAGTCCTTGGTCCGGTAGAGCGCGCGCATGCGCAGCGCGCAGATGTGGCAGGTCAGGTGGTTGCAGGGCGCAATAGCATGGTGGATGACCGGGTTGGCGCAGATGAAGCACACCTCGGCGTCGTCACCGGCGGCTCCGTCCTCGCCGCGGCTGCCTTCGCCAGCTGGCTGCGGCGGCCGCAAAAGTGGATCTTTGCGAGATGGTTGTGGGATAGCCGCGGTGTCTCCGCTCTCTGCAGCATCGCCAGAAGCGTGTCGTCGGTGGTCGCCGTTGCCAAGCCGTCCGCCACGACCTCCGCCACCACCTCGTCGCCGCTGGTTGCCGCCCTCCGACGGGCCGTGTTGTGATTCACCACCACGCCCACCACTGCGGCCACCGCCACCGCGTCCTCCACCTTCACCACCCCGCCCACGACCGCCTCCGCGGCCGCGGCCGCGGCCTCCACCATCCCGGCCACCGCCTTCTCCACCGCCCCGCCTTGATTGTCTTTGTGATGGGTTTGCGTTTGCCTGGTCGCCGCCGCCGCCGCCGCCTGTAGTGGATGATGCGCCGCCGCTGTCAGCCATGGTGTGCTGGTCGGCTGGATCGCGGGTGTTTCGGTGGGGCAGGCTGTTGGATAGAAAAGAGGTCGTCGTCTTCGAAGTCGCCTCCGGCGTTCTTATCGTCGTTGTCGTCGTCGTCTTCGCAATCGTTCTCGTCAAGAAAGGGAGGGGTGGGGGAGGAGGGAAGGACGACGAGGAAAGGGAGCTTGAAATTTGAAAAGATGGCACAAACGCCTAGCGCAATGAGATATGTGATGCAGACAGGCTAAAATCAGAAAAGTATAACGAGCAAAAAACGCTTTTGAAAAGTAATGCAGAGTGGGGAGGAGAAACGAATATGCCAACGTCAAGACAAGACAGGCGAATATGTTCGTCTTTAAAAGGAAGTTGTGTCGTCAGCTGCTCTTTCCGTCTTCCAGCTGCTTCCTTCCTGTCTGGCAGGCCGACGTTTTTTTTTCGTTCTTTTGGGGCTTTCCGTTTGAATTTCCAATCGCTCCCTCCCTCTTTCCTTGCGTGTGCCACGACTCTCATTGGCTGATCGGCGGCAGACAAAAGTCCAGCAAAAAGCTTCGCGGTGCTGTTAGCTCGTGGATTTGGTTGTGGCGCACAGACCAGGTACCGAGGGGCAAATTCTTTGGATTCGAGAAGGTGCCGAGCGCCCTTACTACCGCTGGATCGATCACTGTAAAACTGTACCACACTCGCTGTAGCCACCGCTCCTGCCGTCTCAGCTTGCTACATGGTCCTTCCTTTCTGGGCAAACTGACGCTCCCTCTTTCCTCGTTTGTCGTTCCCCTGTTCGCCTTGTCCCGTCAAAATGTGTCATACGGCAGCCATACTGGAGTTTCGACAACGCTAACCGGCTCAGCCTTTGTACCGAGCCACATTGGCAAGAGTGGAAAGGTAAAATGATACGAGCAGGCGCGAGTGGCAGGGGTAATTACGACGTGGACACTGGGTGCTTCTTTAGGGTGCTACGGACTACTGTCTGGTTGGCTGCAACTGCAGACGGTTTACCAACTCACAATGAGTTCGTTTGAGTCATCCTACGGTCGTTACCCGGCATCACCATGCATGATTCAGGAAAATAGTCTTTACTCGGTCACGGACTGACAGTATGACGCATTCATCATTCCGCTAGGCTGTCGGCATAGAGCGAAAGCAATTGGCTATTCTGCATGTTATAGGTGCAACTGTATGCGGTTGATGCTACGGAGACAGAAGCAAAAGCAATTTGTTTGGGACAAGACAGACACCGACGAATCGATAACAAGACATGGGAAGGAACAAATCAAACATATCGGTGTCAGTGGCCGAAAGCAAGGGCAACGGAGGCAAGGTAAATGAAAAACAAAATCAATGAGAAACGGCAAAAGACAAAAGAGGATGGAGATGCAGTCACAAAATACATAAATAAATAACAAGACGAATGCAAAGTGCGCCAGCAGAGAAAAGATAAAGACCAAGACCCGCCATAACGCCATAGTATTTTCACGGTCAGCCTCACATATTTCACAGCCTTGCAGCGGCCTCGCCTCGCCACGCCCATGTGCTCCAATCGCAGATCCCCGGTCGTCATCGTGACGTCGTCCACCATCACATCGTCTCCGGCGTCGCTTCGCACCCCATCCCCCATCAGGTCGTTTCGCGCTCCACAAGATGGAAAGATGGCATCGGTGGTGCTCCCTTGCTCCCTCTACTCCTCGTCCACCGGATATAGGTGGTTGCTCAGCAGTTTGTTCATCTGAAACATGTCAATCTTCTGCTGCTTGAACACGGCCTGCATCTTCTCGTCGCACCGAATTTGTCGCTTGTCCTGCGGGTCTTGCAGCTCATTGCCCTTGATGTGCTCCCACAGCTTCTTCACCACCTGCGGCCGCGAAAGCTGGGACACGCCCACCAGCTCGCCGAGCTGATAGCTCAGGTTGAACGGCTTTTGGAACCCGCCCGACGCCTTGCGCTTTTCCTTGGGCGCGTCACCGTCGCCTCCGTCGTCGTTGTCGCTGTCCTCGATCTTGGCAGAGCTCTTTTTCGAATTTGGTTTGGACTTGCTCTTGGATATTGACCCGCTGCCGGCCTGCTTTCGCGGCTTCGACTTGGACGCGCTGCCGCCGCGTGTTGTCCGTGCCCGCGCAAGACGGTTTTCTTGTGCCTGCAGCTCAGCGGCGAGCCGCGCATCGGCGTCCTCAAGCGACGACGACGAGCGCTTATGTTTCTTCTTGGCCGGGCCGTCCTCATCCTCGTCGTCGTAGTCATGGTCGTGTACGACAGGCCGACTCCGGTCGTAGTCGTATTCCAAAGACACTTTGATCTCGTCCCCGTTGGCGCTGCCACCGCCGTTGACGGCCGGGTCCGGCGACTGCGACTGCGAGTTGATGGCATCGAACCGGGCCTCAATGAGGTCTTTGATGGCGACTTTTTGGTCGCTGAGGTCCTTGCCGCCCAGAGCCTTCTCGAGGGCCTTGCGGACCTTCTTGCGCGTGACGGTCTCGAGGTCGGCGGTCGCCAGGATGGCATCGACCAGCTGCGTGTACCGCCGCATCTCCTCGTCGGTGACTGTCAAGTCAGTATACACTCACATCGACACGAAAAACCAAAACCGACAGGACCCGAGACATACGTGGGGTCGTCATTGTGCCGGCGCAGAGCAACAGGCTCGTCACAACAACTTTCGCAGCGCAGGGACAGCGGAGGAGAGGAGGATGTACGCCGCGTGATTGTGCGGTTGGTGACGGCACCAAATCGAAGCTCGCAATCAATCGCAAGTCGTAGCGACGGATATCCACGTGAACTTGAGATGTGCGACAGGAAGCGACGTCGGGGGGCCCGCGTATCGGCGCCGCAATGGGATGCGGTCGTGTTCGGGTGAATTATTGTCTTGAGTTTGATGCGGGGACAGAGGGATGGCGTGTCGGCGCGGTATCTGTCGTCACTTTCGCAATCGTCGCGGCTGTCAATCGGTGGGTGAGAAGAGGTTCTGGTAACGGTTGCACGGAGGACGTTGCGGAGAAGCTGCTTGCGGGTGGCTGGTGTGGAAAAGCTCACCAGGGTGTTGTGTGCGTGTGAGCGCGGTGGAGAGGTGGAGGTGGAACTGGATGTGGAGAGAGACGACCAAAGTGGAGGCCTGTCGTGTTTGCAGTTGGGTATTGCCGGCGCACGGAATCGGCGTTTTTGGTGCTGGCGTTTGATGTTTAGGGCGCCTAGAGGGTGGCACAGTGGCAGGCAAAGGCTCTTTGGCTCGGTGTGGCTCGCTGGTGGCAGAAAAAGAAAAGTGGGCCCATGCGATTTGCTCAGCTGCACGGGATGGTCTCTGTCGTCCCTTCTACCGCTTGGAATCGCTGTATCGCATATTTTGCTTTATATGTGACGGGGTTAGACGAGCGGCTCGGAGCCCCGAAATGTAAAACAGACCAAAAAGGGTAAAAGAAGAAACGAAGGGGGCCCGGCGGACGCACGATAACAGACTTGGCCGCAAAGTGATCTGAAAGAAAGGGAAAATAAGAGGGCAACAACGGCTGTGACGTAGAGGTGTCGCGAGCACAAAAACCCATGAAAATCCGAGGTGCAGGGGTCACTATTCCTGGCTTCTCGATGTAGTATCTCTTATTCTTGTCTTTTGTCTTTGTTGGGCTCTTTCTCCCACGCGCGTCTGGTGTGATGTCTCTCGGCAAGTGTCTTTGTACTCGGCGAGTTTGCGGGGAGACGCGGAAAGGCGTAGTGTGCGAGTTTGGTCAACCAACAGAGACAAAAAAAGAAAAGAAAACAGAAACTGATAGCGGATGACAAAGGCTCGATACGCAAATCACGATTGGAACCAAATCGGGTGCTCGCGAGAACGACTTGAAACGGCTGGCAAGAAATGGGCAACCAGAAAGGGAGAAGGAATAACAATTGACAGCAAGTGAATGTGGAAGGAGCACGGTGCGCCGGTGTGCTAGAGCAAGGAAGGTACGGTCAAATTATGTCGGGTGAGAAAGAGCTGTAGCCGGAAGCGCAAAAAAAGACAATAATGCATAATACAGGAAGGAGTAGATGGAGTGTGCAGACTGCGGGGACGACTGCATGACCGGAGCGGTGCCGGGAGAGGAAGGCACAACACAAACTAAAATGTGAACTCGTGATCAAGTGATCTGTTTTGGCATCTAAGGAGCGTCACAGTAAGATACGTCGATACTGCTGTGCAGTCACCCAGCGCCAGTTGGAGGCGTTAGCACAGCTGCCATCGGCAGTGGGCCTGGCCATTTCAGCGGCTCCCTTGGTATGGATCCACTAACATGGCAGTTTTCATCGGTTGTCGTCTGCTCTTTGGCGGTTGAGCTGTTACTCGCAAAAGTTAGTAGTTTACAGTTGTTTCAGTGGCTGGAGAGGCTGCTTTAAGAATAGTGGCGTTTATGAACGATGTAATAACATAGTACCGTCATCCAAAAACAATTTTCTTTTCGCATGTAACGGGGCATATTTCACTTAAGAAGACTGGATTTACAAATGGATTAATCGATAATATGAACGCTCAGTATGTCGTACTATTCAAGTAACGTTATGTCAAGTAAGTTTGTTTTGTTTTGTTTTGTTTTTCTTTTTTTGTATTATTTGTTTTGCTTTCCTGTAATAAAACATCCAACTTGAAACTTCAATACATCTACGACCGAGCAACCAAATGTAGCAAAGAATACATGTAAATATTTATACGTACATAATGCTTCATATATTTCACCTATTGTATCATCGATGCGAAGAACAAGTAGAGGAAGCCGGACGTCAAATTTTTTTTGAAGCCATAGTTTAGAAACAATCTGGTCAACTTTTAAGAAGGGCTAATATTGATTGTCTTGAATAATGAACCGACCTCGCTTTCTCCATTTACGAGGAAATTGCCAAGCTATGATCAAGATGGCATATGAGCCACAGGTACATGATAGTAAACAAACTTTGCGTACGGTTTAGACTCAGTCCTTGTCCTGAATTTGTCCTGATGTCAATGTCCGTTCTGCATATCTTAGTCACACCCATCGCGGGTAATTGTCCCTGGCCAGATCTGGTCAAGACATTTCACATCTAATTCCAACACTTCGGTGACGACGGTAATCAAAACAGGCGAAGCCACCTCCTAGTCACTACTCAAGAAAGAGAAACAATATGCACGCAGAGGGCAGCTAATGACAAAGTAGAAAAACAAACAAATGAAGCAGTGAGACCTGCTACATTTAATTGCGTCTCTTTGGGGCCTTTCTGCCTCTGCTCGCCTCCGATTCGGCTGTCGTGGAACAAGCAGGTGTTCCCAATATTCCCAACGTCGTGTTCCGTCCTGCTAGACAGACAAAAGACATGAGTGAGCAAGCATCGATTGGTCCACGCCTCGTTGCTAACTGCCAAGCAAACGAAAAGGAAATAAAAGAACATTGCAATGGAACAACGAATAGGATCAACGAGCCACTCTCGAGAGGTTGCACAAGACGACACAAGCTCGCAAACACGTCGCCACGCAAGCCCACGCAGAAACCCATGCGCCCCGGCCTGCATCATGTTCTTTCCCAGAAAACAGAACATGCAGGAGTACAAGCATGCACGACATCGTCCACCAGGTGACGAAAATGGACGTTCCCCATCGGACATGACCGTGCCCCATGCTCGTATTCTAGCTATCCAGTACACTGCCCATCATTGGTACACTGCCCATCATTGGTGCGTTTGTGTACCAGGACGTGGGAAGATTGACAGATCCGAACGGGCCAAGAAACCTTCCTCAGAAATTTTAGAGTACCTGACGTGCGACTTGCAGCACTCCCTGTTTCCTCTGTCTCTTATGTCTTTATGCCAAACGAAAATAACGCCTGCTTCCGTTATCCCCTTGCATTGCGGTTCGTACTCTGAGACAGCGTACCTTGCAGAACAGACAACGAATTTTTGATCTGGCAACGCCGAGAACGCAAGAGAAGCCGAGGAAAACGAGGAAGGGGAGGTAAATGCACGGCATTGGTTCTCGAGCATAAAAACCTGTCACGGCCAGCACCCATTGTTGTATTGTTGGAAAGCATCTGATCAACAAGCTCACACTAATACCGGAGATCGACCAGAGTTACCTAGAACGAGTTGACAACCAGCCCACAGACTACTTCACACTTTCATTTCCACACATTTATCTTCATCATGGCTTCACCATCTCGAACGAGAACCTCTAGCCTCCTCTGCACTGTCGCCGTAGCCGCCTTTGCTGCTTCGGCATGTGCGGCTCCATCACTTACACCTGCACTGGCAGACCTCGAAGTTCGCGCCTCTGTCGCAAAGACCAACTTTGGCGCCTCATGCACCAACATCGCCTACTTTGGCTACTGCCGCATCGAGGCCGACTGTACGTCCGACGGAAGCGACGTCACAGACAAGAACAAGGGCAGCCTTCAGCACACCTTTCTCGACATGGGCCAGTGCATCGGCTACGATGCGCCTTCCAAGGCCCTCAAATGGCGCAGCAAGTCCGTGGCGCATTGGCAGTCCACGTACTGTGCGCCCTGCAGCCACTGCACCATCGACCCCAAGACGACGCAGCTGACGTGCCAGTGTCAGTATGCGGACGCCACGAGCAACCACGCGACGTATCTGACACTGAGCGACCATGTGTCCAACACGGCGGGCGTGTTGAGCTGCCTCAATGTCGCGGGTGACCGTGACCATAATGATTGAGGGACGTTTCAGGCGACTGGAAAAGAAGGGAGAATACGAAGAGTCATCGCTGTTATGTAGAACCAAACCAAGAAAGACCAGAAATGGATTGGCACAGTCGCAAAAGATCACGATTGCTATTTGAAGACCAGAAGGCCTTAGATTAGTGAAATAAGTATATCTAGATTTTGTATAAAAAGCAGTGGTCACGCATGTGCACCTATTTCGTTAAGCAAACTTCGTTCGCGCCTCATTCAATGCATTAATCATTACCTTCTTGTGCCTGCCCTTTCACACCTGACCCTGCTCACTGTCTTGAAGACATCCTACCTTATCTACATGTTACCGACAGCTACTGCACACACTCGAAAACGACTCCCTAAGAATGATCTTGCCTGGAAGATTGCGGCAGGCGCTTCTCTCGCGGGCCGCATAAGTGCACTGTTTAATGCTGTCGTAGATGTGTTCGTCATGGCCACAGCCTTCGTAGTGGACGGCAATCCATTTGATGTAGCACATTTTTTCGGCGAAGTAGTGAAGTTTGACGTCGTGGAGGACTGTTTGGGAGCGAGAAGTCCAGCACAGAACTGACAGTAAAGGACTGGACCAGTGTGGTCTATATATTGTCTTCGAGAGACACAAGGTAAGTAAAATTGTACATTGAAAGGCAATTTCAAATCGTGTTTTCGCAGTGATTCATCGAACCATTGTCCGTCGTTCTATACTTATGTCATTACATCCCGTCATGTATGAACTGCTCGCCCGGCAGCTCTTACGAGCGCAGGTACTCACACACGGCCTTGCCCCAGCGCACGCCACCTTTGTATGTCCACATGCCGGGAGCATTTCCTTTTTTGAGTCCCTCAATCGCATCGGCCAGGTCGGGACCCACACATTCACTCTTGAGATCTTGCAGTGGGAAAAGATGCGTCTTGAAGGAGAAGAGGATTGATTTTGTGGCGGGAAGGCGTGTCAGAGTTTGGCACTCGACCCGAAGGTGCGTTTGAGCAATGTCAACATCGGTGTCGTTTTCGGCATCGTCGCCTTTGTGAACATGATTTCCATTGGGCACGAACAAGTTCGCGTGTGTTTGGACAGACCACTATATGTATGAGTACGTTCTCGTGAGAGTGGAAGTACAAAGGAGGGCAAGAGAGAGACCTACATTAAGTCGTCTCACGCTCTGGCCAACGGCGAGCCGCTTGAAGAAGCGCTCCATGCTCGGCCCAATCTTATCGTAGGACGGAACCGGCTTGTGGATGTCCCTGAGAAGCAATCCGAGCTTTGCCGACGGGTCGAACCCAGACGGGAAGCAACAGAGGAAGGCCACCAGGCGGTGGCTTGTTTCAGGGTAAGCCGACCCACCATCGCCGGCTGGTGTTTGGATGCCTTCCTCTTGCAACAAAAACAAGTCGTCTTCGACCGTTTCGCCAAGGGTCCGCAGGGCGTCCAGTGGGTTGGTAGGTGGACTGCGCGGAATATCTTGTCCAGTGGCGGCGTTGTGTAGCGACGCTGTGGAAGCCGCTCTCGTAAAGATCGAGGAGTATCGTGCAGGCAGATAGTCCATCAAGTAGGCATATAGCTCATCCACTGCCGCCTTGGCTCCCGGTGTGCCGATGGTGCCCATGACTATGTTTGGGTTGCTCTCCATCAGTCTGCGCCGTGTCTCGATGCGCGCTCGATAGTTGCTGTCGAGGACGATAAGGTCTTCGGGCAAGGAGGACTGCAGCGCCATGGTAATGTGATAGGCTGGCTTGTAAGGACGGAACCGAGCTGGTCTGACTGTCGTATAGTCGAATGCTGGCAAAGGCGTGATAGAAGGTGGAGGCGTGATCTTGCCATCGTTGGCTGACTTTTCTGCGCTTCTGCCGACTGCTTCGTTGCTCCTGGGCTTCTTGTTACGCTGCTTGAGACAGAGACCGACCACTAACGTTGATACGAGGAGGACGATGAGATATAGATCCATGTTGTATAATTAGGAGATAAAAAATCAAAACGTCTAAATCAAAGCGAACACCAAAAGAAATACGAAAGAGGGTCGAGGAATTTATTGCTTGAACCGGGAGTCAAAAGGACAATCGAGAACATCTGGATCCGTCTGTTTTAGACAGCCGCGATATCGCTTTGATATCTCAATGGAGGTCTCGAGCGGGGTGCACACCAAAATAACCACACTACTAATACTCGTCGTAGCTCTGGTTCCTTGGCGATTGGATGGCACCGTTTTAGGAAGGTCGTGCCGTGTTCTGACTGAAGAGGGTGATCACACACGCGGCAACTGCCGACAGCAACCGTGTTGCCTGTCCATGTTGAGTATACATTCCCGATGTAGCGGCCTATGTGGTGATAGAGCCAAGGTCGACGATAAGAAGGGATAAACATGATGCGTCAAGAAGACGATGGCCTGGAGAAACGTGGGACGAATCATGAGAGGTGAAAGCCCCGTCGCCGAATAAACCCCGTCTCCACATAGTGCGTTGTTGCGATGTGAGACTGTAGGGAGTGTGTTAATGGCCGAAAGCGCATATGTCAACATCCAGCATCGAGCAGGTAAACGAATCACGAGTACGTACTATTGTCACCAGACCTCAACTATGTCGTCAAGCTGGCCGTTCTTTCCTCGTGCAAATGGTAAGATACATTCTGCCCCGGCACACCGCCTGGAGCTAATCATAGCAAGAATCACGAGGCTGAGGTGTGACTTCCTTTCCTGGTGTCTCGTACATAATGTGGCGTTGACGGTCAAGGGGGTCAATAAAAGGGGTCTTCACCGCCTTTCAGCTTTGTCGCTGGAGTGACAATGGCGCGCTGCACAACGCGCAGACCTGTTATCGTGACGGCGGACTCCACAGCCGTATCCAAGATCGGCCCCGCCGCCGGGAGGCCATCCGCGCTGAACAGCGTCTGCTCAACTATGCGCATCGCAAATTCAATTATCGAAACCAAGAACGGTTTGCCCGCTTTACGCATTTCTTGGCCTATGACCCAGCCCGAGGTTGAGATCGAGATCCAGTGCCACTTATTGTCGACATGCTCCCATTTGATGAACAAACTTGTAGCCCGAGATGGTAAAGGCCCCCTCTATTGCGATTTGGGTGATGCGAGTGTTTAATTCGAGTGTTTAATTCTTCTGCTAATGTTCTGCAATTCGTCTTGCTCATACGGTTTGTTCCGATTATTTGTCCTGTATCAAGCCGAGGGATACGGAACGGCCCACTGCACTTGCGGGTACTCCGGCCTGCCGTGTTGTTTTGACAGGCCTACAGGAGGTGCGTGGCCTGGTTAGGGGCGAAAAATACTTCTTTCTGTGTATTGTAATGCCCAGTGACCCTGGTGCATTTGTATTTGTGTCTGATACATTCGGCGGTCTTGACGACACAACCATCACATCCGCGCCAAGTACCAAATTGGCAACGTCGCTCATCGGTAAGAAACCACCATCCCAGTTCATGAATGGCACGAGACGATATGGCGCACATTCTGACACTTGTATTCAGAAGTTGGCGAACGACTGGACTAGGTTAACATTGTGGATGTCGAACGATGGCACGCGGTAAAAAGAGACGGACAGGTGTCGGAGCGTGAAGTCATAGCAGTCATGAAGGACACGCTCTTGGAAGAGGACCGATCTCGGAAGCGGCAAAGAGGGACTGAGTGAAGGTTTGCCTGAATGCAAATTCAGAACTCGGAGGGATATAAAAATGAAAGGAATGCGTAGTGTACCTTGGTGGACTGACTCAGAAGTGGCCGATTGGTGTTTTCTTTTTTCGTTTCTTTCTTTCTTTCTTTTCCTTTTCTTTTCCTTATTCTTTTCCTTTTCCTTTTCCTTTCCTTTTCTTTTTCCCTTTGTCTTTCTTTTATTTCGTTTCGTTTTTGTGCTATGCGGTCGCAACTACTAGCGACATAATCGATATTACAGAAGCAAGCATAATTTGCTTTTCCATTTCATTTTATTTTCAATTCTGAATAGAACGACTGTTGAACTGCCCAATGCTCCTCGAGGTTGACACTACGCGCCGTCATGTCCTGTTTCAAATCAATTTTGCTTGTTCCATAACCACGTCGTCGACCATGAAGACCACGCCAGGGCCCGTCCTTCCATAAAGAGTAAAGTACTCTGGAATGCCCTAGGAGTACCTGCAGTTGCTGGATAGTGGGCCGCTCATGTCGTCCGGACCAGGGATGCCAAAGAAAGTGTGCAGGTTCGGCGCGACGTTGGCCAGTGCATATTACGCATGTTGGTATGGTGCTCATGGATTCAGGTGCTGTCTGCCGCATAATTCCCCGTGGCGCGCTTATAGCGTACTGTGTCAGCAATACTGACAGCCCGCAAACGAGCAACGCGACAAAGACTGTGTCGTTGTGGTTGGCGAGGAGGAGATTCTTGTCGACGACCAGACCAACTAGCAGCACCGCGGATTCCCGTGTAGGATGTAGAGGGCAGTGTGGTGTGGGAGGGTCCATGGTTGATCGTGGTGAGGCAAAACGGTATATTCGTTAAATGATGCGTGCTGTCATTGTTGTTAAACAACCATGATTTGGGTTGTACGTGAGCAGTTGTCACCCCAATATTGGCTGCCCCCTCCGTGCCAGTTCCCACCGCACCGACGCAGCCAAATTGTCGTCGTGCTTGGCCACTGGTGCAAAGTGCAGAAGACGCCGGGCCTTGTCAATACTGTAACTGTGTGATTCGATGCAGTACGACAGAGACGCACTTGTGAATTCGGTCGGCGGCTGGGCCTTGCCAAACGAAAAAGCCCAATACGACCACTCGGCCACGGCGACTACAGCGACCATGATCCACGGTGGCAGCACCCAGATCTTGTCGAGGGCCTCTCGACCACGTGCAACGCCCCAGATCACACGGACGTGGTGCCAAAAGGGCACAGGCGAGCCGTCTGACAGGTTGAACGCTGCACCGGCCACGCCGGCGGTATTCCCTTCTAACAGTGCTTTGGCTGCCAGGACGTGGCCGGCCGCTACATTGTCCGCTGAGGCCGCCTCCATGAGCACTCTGCTGCTGTCCTCGGATCGCCTGCCCAACTGGATCAGAGGGGCGTTTCCCTGCGCTGCGGCAAGAATTTCGTAGAGTCCCTGCGTGTGCCGCTCGCCGTAGACATGTCCCGGCCGCAGCACGACCGTTTGCATGTGGCCAGGGTCGCTGTTGGCGGCACGCACAAGTGCATCGGCCACCGTCTTCGTGCGGCAGTACTCGCTCATTTTGGGGCGTTTCCCCTTTCCGTCCCCCAAAACATCGGTCCATAGTGGCCAGTCTTCGCCCGTATTGTCGTGCGGCGGATCGGCATAGACGTCGACGGTCGACGTGTACACGAATGCTTTGACAGAAGGGCATTCGGCGGCTGCCCGCAACAGTGTCGCCGTGCCTACGACGTTGGTCGCGTGAAATTCGCTCTTGCGGCTCGACGGCAGCGATGCCGGCGGCGACGCCATGTGGAACACGGTGCGTGGTTGCAGCGTGTCGAGCAGTGAGCGGACGGCTGCTTCGTCGGTGATGCCGCCTTATGAGTAGGACGAGACGCCATCGACGCGATTGTTGCCAGTGTTTATGTCGAGGACATGGACAGGCTGCAGCGGATGGGCGTCGTCTCGCAGCAGATGGCGCACAAGGTGGTATCCAAGGCAGCCGCAGCCGCCAATGACCAAACTGCCACCCGTTGCGGTCTTTGTCGTGTGGTGTTCAGACATGGTCGTGTTCTTATGTTTCTGTGCATGTGTGCGTGCGTGTGTGAAATGAGACGTCGGCTTCCCTTTCGTTTTCGTGGCTTAATTCGGTCATCTTGCGTAGCGTGTCTATCACAGCGTCCTTGATTATGGGGTTGTTCTCTGGTCGTTTCTGTCGATCGCCGTCGTAACGTGAGCTGCGGAAGGCTGATCTGATTTTGTCCAAGCAAAAGGCCAGGCCAATCGTCTCCTTAGCGGAACGGAATTACAGAAGCCTGTAGAGACAGTAGGGCCTGGTGCAGCAACACAAGCTGCTCGCTATTTCAGTGGGGAATACCGGACCACAGGCGATGGCAAGCACTACAAAAAACCGCACGCCGCCCATCTTGCGACTGGATCCTCATTGTTTCACTTTCAGCATCAGTCAACTTTTTTGTCCGTTTGTCTGTTTCTTAAAAGTCGACTTCCTCCACGAGCCCGCTTAGATTACAGTGCTCATACGGCAGATTTTGACAAATATTCCACGTAGACCATCTAAAGGGCCGTTCCTCCCCTTTTCGAACACAATGGGTCGTAGTCGCGCCCTCGCCACAATTAACGGCCATTCTTTGTCTGCCCAAACGATATGTCGCCAACACACGTCAACAAGCATTATCATCATCTGGAAGTTCACCGACTTTACATCTCACCTTATCCGTACATCCCGTCGACCTCTTTTTTCCTTGTAAGTTCACGCTCGTCACGCTTCGAAGGGCCAACGACGATGGACAGCCGCTGCTGTCGAATTGCTCATTAGGAAGGCAGAACGTGATGCCGTTGACGCACCCGCCCCAGGGCCGGTTACAGTCGCAGACGGGCAGCCCGGCGTTGAAGTCGGCCAGCTGCGACACGGACACTCGCTGATGACACGCCGTGGCTGCTCGGACTCAATGTGACTGTTCCAATCGTCAGGTCCGCCACTATCCAGCTCGTGGTGGCCTCCACATTCACGACCAGCTGCGTGCCGCGGAGAGTGTGTGACGTTGTTGCGAGACTTACGCTAGCAGCGTTTGGTGGTCGCACGCGGCACAGGTGCTGCCCGCGACAAACGCGTCACTCCATTCCAGGTCGTACCCAATGAGGGAAATATTGAGCCCGGTCGGGCCCCGTCCCGCTGTCAGGTACTGCTGGATCCACGGCCGGATTTCCTCGATCGACGAGGCCGTCATACCCGACGTGTCGCAAATCGTTCACTGTCTGCCAAGCCACTTGTACCGCAAATCAAAATACGGCCCGGCCGCCGTCTGGTGGACCGACTGAACCACGGCCGGCTTGGCCTTGCCGGCAAACAGTTCCGGGTCCGCGTAGATGGTGCCCACAACATGTCCCGGCTTGATGTACGCCGACAGCCATGCTGACAAGACACCACCAGACGGCACGCCCGCGACCATTACGGACCATTGCACGACAAGACCAATGAAGCGCATCAGAGCGGGCTTGCCGGATGAACCGGTGGCGGTGAAGTTCATGCGGATCTCGCCCAAGTCCGTCGCTTGCTCGCAAAAGCTGTGTGCTGTGATGATAGAGGTGTGGTCGGCTGCTTTTATGTAGTTGCTTGTGGCGACGGCTTTCGTCGTGGCGGTGTAGCCGACCTGAGCGGCAGCTGCCAGGAACGCTGCCGTGCAATTTCCTAGCTTTCTGGCACATGGCAAACGTGATACGTGTGACATGCGTCGACCAGAATACTGTCTTCATACGAAACGAAGCTGGACAGCGCATTGGGGTTGGTGAGCAACAGGACAGGAAAGTGTGCGGTGTTTTCACCTGTGCGAGAGGGGTCGCCTCTCGAGGGACGTGATGTGGTATTGCTATGTATAGATGTTCGTAGTGCTGTTCTGTAGTGCACATTTGGTAGCCAGTGCGTCGGTGCTTTTAAGGTCCGTGCAGTACGCGGTGTCATGCACATGAAGTATGTCGTAGATAACCTATATTGTGCATAGCGACGTGGTATTAATGAGCACCGTCGACCGTCCTTGGGACTCTAATCTGACTGACGAGATATTTTGGTTCACTGAAAATTTCGGGAAGTCGCCGGCACGATGACCTTTTTGCCAGTATTGGCATTTTAGTATATGCGTCGGTTTGCAAGTGAGTGTTCTCAAACGGCGTCCATGAGCCGAGTAAAAGTCAGTATGGCGATGTCGTGAATCTTGGTTCTCAAGCTAGGCATATTTTATATATACATGTGTACGGAATATACCTCATGACATGACCTTGCGACGTTGTGGTAGGTGGCTATTCGTCGATCCATGTGATATCAAACTGTGTGCATCCGTGCGTCACCACATCCGTTATCTCTATACGTCGACTTTTACGCGGCTACTTACAAGACTCCCAAAAGCCGAGAAGATCATCGTCCAACGACTTTGCCGAGAGCAACATGATTTCGACGTCGACGAAGGACACTATGTTTTGCTGGCACAACAGCCACTCTTTGGACAGCCAGGTTTGTCCGCCAATGAAATTGAGACTCGGCGATTACGGCCCACATGACATTCCATGCATGGAAGGTTCAGCGTGCTGTTCTTTCCAACCTTGCGCGCAGTAGCACGACCGGATTCAACGAAGACCAATATGGGAACGACCCGTACCTTGCATTGATCTTCGAGCGGCCAAGCGCAAGGACTATGGGGACCACTTCTACTGCTCTAGAGGCCAGGATGGAAGGTTCATCGAAGACTGTCAAGACGCACAAGAGTGGGATCCTGCTTCCGGGTCGTGGAACAAGAATTAAGAGCCTGTATCCCAAACATCCGACGATGGTCACAAGAAGGCCAAGATCTGGGCGGCCTCTCACAAACGCCCTAGGTCGGCGGATCGAATCTTGACTACTGTGCCAGCGTGTGCAATGCCTGTCTGGGCACCAAAGCTTGATTTCGCTGTAGGACGCACGTCGAAAGCTTGAAACACAGAACAAACGGAGCTCGAACGTTGCGAATTTGTTTTTCCTCTTCATGCACGTCTTTGTCCAGTATAAATTCTTGGGATTCCTGACTTCCTTTCTCAACCAGCCTCGGTCGCGCGCCGAGTAGCATGCATGCCGTGACAATCCACACAACGACAAAGCTGTAGCCATGTGCAGCCGTGTGCTCCTCTTGGGACGACCGAGTTTCTTTCCGTCGTAAGCCGTACTTTCGTATCTCATCCACAGCTATTCGATTCATGCAGAAGTGTTCTCCTTGGCACACGGGATCAACGAGCTGACTCGCTCCCTCCGTATCTTTTCCCGGACATTGCCACCCAAACCAATACCTTTCCGGAGCATAATGGACAATTTCTCTGACAATTTCTCAAAGAAAACACAGCAGCGGAGGAGGTAACCGCCCACACATTGGTGGGGATGCGTCGTGGGAAATCATCGCCAAGCCACCGAGGCCCAGTAGGATGTGAGACTGGACGTAAGAGTAGAAAACCAAAAGACATTTTCAGTTCCGCGGACGTATCAAAAGCAACTCACGAGAAAACTCGACTGTTTCTATCAATGCCTTCAAACGTTCCGACCAATGACAGTCGCTGTTTCTAACACGTTTTTAAGTTGCTCTGTGTGTCGTGCTCAAAGCCAAGACCGCCAAGGCTATCGCCAAGGTGCGAGAGTGGATCGATAACAAGACCGAATTGAACGAAAAAGACCAACTTGACACCGAACGGGCCACACAAGTCTTTGTCGTCAGAAAGTTTTCGGCGATGCAGACAAGTGAAAAACTAGACGATGAGACGCGGTAGCAAATTCGTCGATATGTTTCTTTCTCATAGAGGTAACGATCTGTTTCGTTATAGAAAACTCGGTCGATGATCGGAAAGCCCACCGAACATTTCCATTTTACTGGATGGCTACAAGTCCCTTTTTTTAAATCCCATGTGGCGTTCAGCACTACTGCATTAGCGCGGGTGCATGTGGGCCAGACAGGCATAATGGACCAATCAACGCCGCCCGGGTTCCTGTCAATGTAAATAAGCATAAACACCAACGGATTGCCTTCAGGACCAACAGAAGAACAGAACCCTTTCCAGGCAGCCAGAGACCTTTCCCGCGATTAGGTCTCGGTCCAGCCGGCCTTTGCCGTCACTTTGGAGTTTCCCAAGCTGTTGTTATCTTCTTGGGATAGAGAATGAAGGTAGCAAAAGACGGGTTGTAGGGTGGGCATCTTCAAAAAACAGTTTGGAGTGCGTCGTTCCTCAAGACCGCCCTTGACGGCGTCTCGACAACTCGACAACTCGACAACTCGACAATAGAAAGCAGATCCACCCAAATACCTAGTGGTACCATGTACGGAGTACTCCGTACGGATTTGGCCCCGTCTTCCAAAAATGGAACGTTCCAAAGATTCATGGCTCTTTTCAGCGTAAACGAGCACGTGTGCAATCCGGGCTCTCTCCATGAATGGCACGTGTCAGTATGCCCCCCTGCTCCTTTGGGCGACCGAGCAAGGTTTCGTTAACTCGTTCTTGGCGAATCCAAGTGCCCGTAGAAGATGCTTGTCGCGTGCGGTCCCATAGGCCAAGCATTCTGCGTCGGTGAACCATTCAGATATGCCAAGCAGCCTAGTAGCTGCGTGTGTGCCACAGGACGCTATTGGGATGTATTACCTTATTTTTCTATTACAACGTAGAACCGACGGACGATCGTTCCACAGCCGCCGTGCAGCGGCCGGCGTTCGACGTACATATCTACCCGTCGTCCTGGTCTTTTCTCAATTTCGATATTGTTCGTTTCTTGTTTCTTCTTGTCTTCCAGACGACCACCTTCAGCCAGCCAGCAACCCATCGACAACGGCCCTCTCACCGGTACACCACCGCCACAATGCCTACTCTTCACCAATACGACTATATCTTCGGCATTGGCACCGTGTTTGCCTTGCTCGATGCCTTCAACAACGGTGCCAGTACGTGACAACAGCACGCCGTTGTTTGCTTTTGTTTCGTTTTAATTTTCGTTCATGTTTTTGTTCACGCCGCTGACTAGATAGACGATGTTGCCAACTCGTGGGCCACGAGTGTTTCCTCCCGCTCCATCACGTACCGCTGGGCCATGGTCCTAGCAACCGTTTGTGAGATTGCCGGTGCCGTCGCCACCGGTGCCCGTACCGCGTCGACCATCAAGGACGGCATCATCCCGGCCTCCGCTTTTGAAGGCAACGCCGGCGTCCAGCTCCTCGCTTTCGCCTGCGCCATCGCCGCGGCCTCGTCCTGGGTCATGTGGTGCACCGCCCACTCCACCCACGTGTCGTCCTCGTACTCCATCATCTCGGCCGTCGCTGGTGTCGGTGTTGCCACGGTCGGTGCCTCGCATGTCCAGTGGGGCTGGAACAAGGGCAAGGGTCTCGGCGCCGTTTTCTCCGGCCTGGCGCTTGCTCCCTTGATTTCCGGCGGCTTCGCCGCCTCCATCTACCTGCTCATCAAGTTCATCGTCCTCCTCCGTGCCAACCCCACCAAGTGGGCCGTCTACACGTCGCCGTTCTGGTTCTTCCTGGCCGCGGCTGTCTGCACGCTGTCCATCGTCTACAAGGGTGCGCCGCAGTACCACCTGACGGACAAGCCCTCCTGGTGGGTTGCTTCGGTCATTGTCGGCACCGCTGCCGGCGTTGCCCTGATTGCGACCCTTTTCTTTGTCCCTTACATTTACTGCCTCATGATCAAGAAGGACCAGTCCATCCGCTGGTACCACATCTTCTACGGCCCCGCCCTCCTTCGTCGCCCCGTCGAGGCCGGCGAGAGCGTCAAAGTCCCCAACTACAACGTTGTCCAGGAGGAAGACATGGAGCCTGAGTCCGCTCCCGAGTCCGCCGATGCCGAGGCCGGCGCCGGTGAGCCGCTCAAGGACAATGCTGTCACTGTCGTCGATGCCAACAAGGAAGCCAACTTTGATGAGGAGAAGTCCCAGGCCAAGTACAGGGATATGATGGAGCAGTCCAAGCGCAAGCTCAATGCCAAGCTTGAGGCCAAGCCCGGCCCGCTCGGCTGGGCCATGCGCACCCTCCGCGACCACCCCATGGGCGCTGGCTCCATCTACGAGCTGCACAACATTAAGCGCTTTTTCATCCGTCTGCCCGCTATGATTGTCTGCGGCGCCCTCTACGGCGTCAACTACGACATCCACGCCGCGCAGACCGGTGTCCTCGGCACCCCTGAGGGTGAGCGCATGGCCCGCGTGTACTCCCACGCCCGCCGCTACCCCAACGAGGTTGAGCACTCTTACTCCTTCATCCAGGTCATCACCGCTTGCACTGCCTCGTTTGCTCACGGCTCCAACGACATTGGCAACTCTGCCGCTCCCTGGGCGGCCATGTACGCTGCCTGGAAGACGGGCACTGTCAACGAGAGCGGCAAGAACCCTGTCCCTGTCTGGCAGCTTGCTGTTCTGGCCATCACTCTCGCCATTGGCTTCATCACCTACGGTTATAACATCATGAAGGGTAAGTCGAAGAAAAGAGTCATGAACGGTCGGAGTATTTTGTGTTGTGACGTTCTTTGGACGCAAGCTAACAAAACATAGTCATGGGTAACAAGATTACGTACCACTCTCCTAGCCGTGGTTGCTCCATGGAGATGGGCGCCGCTATTACCGTCCTGCTCGCCGCCCAGTACAGCCTCCCCGTCTCCACCTCCATGTGCATCACCGGTGCTACCATTGGTGTTGGTCTCTGCAACGGCACTTACAAGGCCGTCAACTGGCAGCGGGTTGGCCTCTTGCTTACCGGCTGGATCCTGACCATCCCCATTGCTGGCACCGCTGCTGGCTGCTTGGTCGGCCTGTTCCTCAACGCTCCTCACTTCTTGACCTCGTAAGAATATATTAATCGGCATTGGAACCTGTTGAGAGACGTCCCCTCTACCCAAACACAACAAAAGTAGTTGAGTTCGGTTGGTCATTGCCTCTGAACAACAGGCCCTCCCAGTTTAACGCGATTTCTTTAAAACATCTACGGCTCTTTTCTCAAATTTCCTCCCTGGTGTAAAACACCTGTGAGATTCATATTGATAGATTCGCTTCGTTTATAAATTTGTTCATAAATTTGTTAATATACCATAAAGCATGAATCCACACATGTGAATCCATAGTCGTGAATCCCATGTCTACCACACGGACTTTACGATTCCCAACGTAGGTCCTGCTCAGTCTGTATTCAGACAACATAATCATAAGTGGCTGGTAGAATCTTCCTGCTGTGTCCTCCTGTCTTCCTCCCCGAATTTTAGTAGCATGAACTAAATACATCGACCATTGAAGTCGTGCCACCCGATCTCTCAGTCAAACCCTACTTTACAGATCTCGGAGATCCGTACTATTGATTCTTGCCCTCCGTTTTCACGGGAATTTATTCTCGTTGCAGGTTCGGGCCGCAGTCGGCGAATGTACAGCACTGACGATCCCGGTTGTCGACGCCAGTGCGCAGTTAAGTCGGTGTTCAGCGGCACTAAAGCTGCTTTCGTGCCCTGATAACAGCGCGCCAATAAGAGCACAATGCTGTCAGGTTTACCGAGGATAAGGTACCACAGCTCCATCGGACCGAGCGAGAGCCGATAAGAAAAGCCACTTTCAGTTATCCGAATTGCTTGTGGGGTGAGCCTTTGGTTTGTTCAACCCACAATGAAGAGAAAGAAGGGGATGGGCAAAAGGCCTTGTCAAACAACATTTAGAGATGCCACTACTTTGTACTCCGCAACCCGCAACATCATGGCCAAGCCTCTTTCTAACACACCCCACTTAGGCATGGCCGGATATTTGCGGAAGACAGAAAAAATGCCATTCACAGGGGAGGCGACAGTTCTCAAGGGAAGTGACGATGAGGCGCCAGGGAACCCTGTAGCATCCAATGAGTTCTGATGTGCCTTGCGCTCGCGTTCTTGTCCTGTCGCCGTCCTCTGTGAGATTGCCGAGTTTCTCAATATTTTATCGTACTCTTTCGCGCCCGCCGGGGCCGAGAAAGATACCACTCTTACACAAACCACTCCACAAACAGAGACAGCTTCAGATTCGCCGTGCTGGCTAATCGAACTGCAGCGGTGACAAAGAAACGACAGAGGCCCATAATTTCCCCATACTTGTGGCCCCTCCCCCCAGACTTTTCACAACCCATTGCCCTTTCAACCCCAGACTTATTCTCCATATTCGGTCTTCGAAGTCCTCGAAACACAGTTGTCAACGCAGCACGAAGACATAAACCAAACTGGTCTTCGGTAATCGACACTATAAGACACGTTGTCCTGGAAGTCGACGGATCCAGAGCCAGCCCCTGCACGGGTCACGCATAATCTACAAAGAGAGAAAAGAGCTGCCAAACAGAAGAAGGCACACCATGGCATCGGTTCCTCCCGCTCCAGCTCTCCCCAAGCAACCCACACAGAACGACTCGGCTAAGCGTCGACGCGCGTCACGGGCGTGTTTGGCGTGTCGGGCCCGTAAGGTCCGTTGCGATGTCATCGTCAGTGGCAAGCCGTGCACCAACTGCCGGCTCGACTTCAGCGAATGCGTCGTGCAACTGAGGCGCAAGAACAGGTATGACCAGGGAAGCGGAAGGCTTGTCCTGTGCTCTTCGACAGAAACTAACACGAGTTTCAGGTGCAGAACAATTGTCGTCCCGTCCGACAATCATCACTGGCCCACCAAGCAGGCCAGCGACAGCGACAATGATGGCGTCCCGAAGCACCCAACCCCGACCGCGCAGCTTGCCTCCTCGACGAAACCACCACCCACACAACTAGCCGATGCCCGCGAACACGAGGCCAATGCACCGCCTCCGTTTGAATGGAATGATCCTCTCGCCGCCGCCTTGCTGACTGCTGAGCCAGCAGCCACCACACAGTCCCGCCCATCCGTCTCAGAGCCTGCGTCGACCGAATCGGTGTCGCTTACCATGGTGGGGTCAAGCGACAGCAGCTTGAGGGACCACGGGCTGGGTGGCGACAACGACTTGGACGAGCTCGACTTGTTTCTCAATATGGAAGATGGAGAGGAACAACAGACAACAAAAACAGAAGATGCGGTGCTGACTTTGGCCCAGCCGCTGGGCGAAGACGACCCCATGTCCTATGAGATCCTCAGTCACACTGTGGACAACTTCTCGCTCTATGGCGGCGGGATCGACGGCACAACCCACGACAACTCGGACTACGGCTGTTCCAGCTCTGAGGCCTGGCAGCAGATGCACTTCCCCTTCTCGCCACCGCTGCTCAAAGCGGGCAACGCCAACCTGGCGTCCATGCCGTTTGCATCTGCGATGGACGTGGACAGTGCTGGTTTGGGGCTGGATTTTGATATGCCGGCAGACACAGGTGTTCTTCCACCCCGACTGACAAAGATCCGTACAAGAGAACCCACGCCAGAACGTACATCTCAGCACCAGCAGCACATGACCTCAGAATCCACGCCGCCGTCTGCGGAAAAAGCGGCATCAGCACCGGCCACGACCGGTTTGTCGACAGGCCTGTCGACGGCTGGGGGTCTAAAGTCGATGTCAACGGCTGTCGTGGCACAGCCGAGCACCGCTAACAACGGCCCTGCATTTGTTATTTTCTCGCGGTATCCCTTCCTCGCTTCCAAGACACTCTGGAAGCTCGACCACGAGGATGATGCCCTCCTCCTCGAGCAGAGAGGTTGTCTGCACGTCCCCAAGAAGCCCATCTTAGACGAGTTCATGAAGAAATATTTCCTGCACGTGCATCCCCTGGTGCCGCTGCTCAACGAAAACGACTTTTGGTCCATCTACAACCGCCCTACTCCGCAGTCCACTCCGTTCGGCCAGATGTCCCTCTTTGTCTTCCAGGCTATGCTCTTCATTGTGACGCCGTTTGTGTCCCAGTCCACTCTCTCCCAGCTCGGCTTTTCATCTGCCCCTGAAGCTCGTGCAAACTTCTATCGCCGGGCCAAGACCCTGTTCTACCTCGAGGAGGACCGCGACGATGTTTGCACGGCCCAGGGAGCTCTCATGCTGACATACTACGCACCCAACATGAAGGACCGCACCAACAGCTTCTGGATGAGCACCGCGATCCACTTTGCCCGCAATGCCAACGCCCACCGCTACTACGATCTCGAGGTCCCCAAGAACACGTTCAAGATGAGCACGAAGCCGAACATAACCTACCAGCGCCGCACCATCCTCAAACGGCTGTGGTGGTTCTGCGTTGTGCGTGACAAAGTCATGGCCCTCGGCATGCGGCGGCCCATGCTAATTGGCGCAGCCGACTTTGACATGTCGCGCCCGGGGTTAAATGTGCAAGATGCCAGCGACGAGATTGATGGATTGTCCGTTTATTCGCCGGCCACCAAACGTGTTTTTAGCCAAGTTTTCGCTGCGTTGTGTCAGCTGTCAGGTGTCTTGACAGGCGCTCTCGATTTGTGCTACCCAGCGAGCGGCACGCGGCCTCGCTCCGACCGCCCGCCCGCTGCAGTCGCCCAGGACTACGTGTCCAAGCTGGACGCGTGGTACGAGGCTGCGGCTGCAAAGTTTCAGGGCGCCCTGGCGCGCATCGGCAGCAACGTCGACGGCCAGCTGGTCCTGGTCACCAACGCCTCGTACATTTATTACTATATTGCGCGTGCCTCTGTCTACAACTACCTGTCCCACGTGCTAGCCACACACCCCGAGGCCGCCGCTAGCAGCATCAGCACATATGGCAGCCCGCCCGCCAAGGTCGACGAGTCCTTCCGCGGTGTGACGAAGAGTCTTGCCGAGCTTAAACGGAGAGACCTAGTCCGATACCTGCCAAATACATTGTACGTTACCCTTGTCTATCTGTGTATTTTTATTTTTATTTTTCGTTTCTCCTCTTCCAACTCGCTAACAACTCAGCGTCTCCATGGCGATACTGCCCTTCAAATGGCACGTGGCTAGTGTACGTATGACGGGCGGCAAGGTGTCGGGCAATGAGACTGACCTTACCATCTACTACGCGGTCTTCAAGGGCTTTGGTGAGCTGTATGAGATGACCGACAGCGCACTCAAGAGCGTGGGGACCATTCAAACATGACGTACGAGAAGGAAATTTATGACAGTGAAATTTAGGTTGCGTATTTCTTGGTATATGAAGCTTCTGAGACTTTGGCACTTTGATTTAGTTTCTCTGTATATATTGGGTCTTATCTTCTGGGGAGTTTTTGGTTTTCCTGTTTTGTTTTTTTGTCTTTCAAAATGAAATTATCGACGACGCAAATACACTAAAACATAACGGTAGTGATAAAGAAGCTGCTACTGTTAATCACCACAACACTTTCCGTCCCCCATTGCCTAACATATAAAACCACCACCCAGTCACGACACAAATGTTTGTAAAGATAAGAAATGGACCAGAAGAGAGAAATCATAAGTGGCATCGGTCAAGTACGGAACGGGTTTCGTCATCTGTCATGAAATAACTTCTCTGCGTCCAAGTGCTCCCTTGGAGTCGATATTGGCAAACGGTTGTGTTCTACAGACCAAAGCGCCTATTGCTTCTGTCACAGTCTTTACTGTAACAATCTACACCTGCTTTTCATTTTTTTGCCGACATATTCGACTCCCACTCTTATTCACCAATTTCGTAGGCACCTTTTCAGTTCTTGCCTTGGGTCTTTCGATCCCAGCCAGCGTCTTCGCGTCTTTCTGGGCCTGCAATAAGGATTCTTCCGGATTTCAGATGCAGTCCCGCCACTCACAGTGCTAATTGCATGACATAACTCGTAATCCTTGCGACCCTTGGACCTTGTTGTCCTTCCATGTCATTTTCATCTCGTATCTAGCAGAAAATTAGATTGAAATTACGTACATATGTACAGGCAGATGCTATTGCTATTTACAGAAAAGGTAAAAAAAAGGGTATGTCTCTTTAATAGTTGTAGAAGCCCGAGTTGGGAACGGGAGGTTCACCGCTGAGCTTAAAGTAGCCGGGCTGCAGGGTCTGGTAGATCTGGGCGGGGTCGTACTTTTTGGAGACCTTGCGCAGGCGAGCAAGCACCTCGGGGCCGTAGGAGCTGAGGACATCCTGGTACATACTGGCGTAATTCATGTAGACGTAGTCGATCTGGACACCGCGTGCCGTGGCATGGGCCTTGACCTGGGTCAGGACATCCGATGCAAAGGCAGCCACGGCGGCATCATCCGAGGCGTTGTCCCACATGGCGGCCACCAGCAGAATGAACATGGGTCCATCGCTCTCAGTGAGGCCCAGCGCGTTGCCGCCGTTGCGGGAAAACTGCTGCAACTCGGGCGTCGTGATGCCCTGGAAGACGATGTTGGGCACGATGCCAGGGATGTTGGTGACGTTACCAACGGTCTCGAAAAAGTAGGAGCGTGCAAAGACCAGCGTGTCGAGGTCGGCCTTGAAAGACATGGTATAGTACATCTCGCGCAGGCCGGGCGGGCTGTCGTTGGCGATCTCGGCGGCCCACGTGACAATGTTATGAATGCCGGTGGTGTCGCCGACGTTGGGGATGGCCTCGAACTCGTCCCATATGGCGGCCGTGGCACCGTTGGCGGCGTCGGCATAGTAAAAGGTGGGAGCGCAGATGTTGGAGCCGCCAGTAGTGACGTATACGACGTAAGCACCAGCATTCGGGTCGTCAGCCGAGTTGACGATGAGGTTGTAAAAGGCCTGGTCAACAGCGTCAAACTCGGTCTCAAGGTAAGTGCGAGCTCCGATATACAGGGCCCCGTTGTCGGTCAACGGGTAGGTTTGTAGGTTGAAGTTGACGACGAGGCCAAAGTTGTTACCGCCGCCACGCAGCGCCCAGAAGAGGTCGGAATACTCTGTGGCACTGGCGCGCACAAGCACGCCGCTGGCGAGAACGAGGTCGTAACTCTCGACATTGTCACAGGCCCAGCCATGAAGGTTGGAAATATACGAAATGCCGCCGCCGGTGGTCAGGCCGCCGACGCCAATGTCGTACAGACGGCCGCCAATGACGGTTAAGTCGTAGGCATCAAGGTAGGCATAGACCTGGCCCCAGACGTTGCCTGGGCCGACTGCCACAGTGCTCTTGTCGGCGGAGAGCTGAATGTTGTTGAGGTTGGCAAAGGAAATGGTCATGCCGCTGGGCACGTTGGCGGCGCCGCGGTAGGCCGAGTGACCACCGCTCTTGGCAGCAAATGGGCAGCCGGTTAGACGGTTGACGAGGACGGCAATGGAGACGTCAGCGGTTGTCTTTGGCTTGAACACGCAGTAGGGATGAACCTCTGCCTGGTTCTGCGACCAGTACGCGCCAATGAAAGCCGAGTAGGTGCTGGTGCCATTGGCGAGCACGTAATTGCTGCCGTAGAGAATCGCGAGGCCGTCGCACGCCAGGGAGCACGGCGACGAAGGTTTTCCGGTCGAGGAGCGCTTGGACGTGGCACCAGCGCTGTCGGTGTCGGCGGCGGTGGCGAGAGGCGGAATGGCGCTGACATTGACACCGAGCTGCAGCAGAGCGTCGGGGACATCAAAGTCGGCAGGCTCGACGGCAGACGAGGGTTGGGCCGCAGTCGCAGAGACTGGGGCGGTCGCAACCTGGGCCACGGCAGAGCTGGTGAGGGCCGCCAAAAGAAGGCTGGCTGTCAACATGTTGCTCAGGCGTGGAGGTGGGTGCCGAGAGGAAAAGGGGGGAAGAAGAAAATAGAAGGAGGAGAAAGAACGAAAAAATGTTTGAAAAAGTCAAGGAAGGAGCAACACAGGTGAGGCAACGATTGAAGTGGAAATGTTGCACGGCAAGAGCAACCCGAAAAAACAAGCGAACCACGAGACACGGTGCACAAAAGAGAAGTGCATACGACGTTGTGATTTATGAGAATAAACAAACCGGGGACATGCAGGTGACTTTAAATTGGCGGCGAGCCAAGGTGAGCGGCGGAGACCCCAGTCCCGACGGCATGGTCGGCGCGACGGACGCGTGGTTTGAAGGTGAGGCGCCACGTGTGGCCGGGGACCTTGCATCTCCAAGTTATGAATTACGACGTATGACGGAGTTTGTCGTATGTTGTACAACAATACAGCATGGACATTGCCATGATTGCCATTGCAATGATTCTCGCAATTGGCAGGAACAATCAAATGCATGCGAAAAATGATGGTCTGTTACAGCTGGACAATGGCCAGCGACCCTGTTGAGGTAGAGCTCGAAATACGCAGAAGAGATAGCTTGTAAGATACAACAATTACCCCATCAGCAACAAAGGGTGTCACCCACTGCGGGCTGCCAAACTTGCGTGGGAGCTGGCAGCGTCAGCCCCCAAATGCGGGTTCTCCACTCGGAATGAAGAGCGAGGACATCAGTGCTCAAGTGTAGCCGCGATACACAGAACGGCGGGGGTTGGCTGCACTCGAACAGGAAATTGTGTACTTCGGTATGTGTACGGGCACATAAACTTTGTTGCTCGTGCCGCAGTTCAATCTTCTGACAAGTCCTCAGATTGTGGCCTGAAATGAGTACGAAGGACAACAAGGGGAAGTCTCCGAAAGAGCGACAACATAGCGAACTTGTAGTCAGCTTCTTTTTTCCTCAAGTAGAGCCAAAGTGGTTAATCGTTCGTCTCCTCTGTTCCTTCGTCTTGTTTCTGAGGATACCTCTTACGTGAGAACCGGAAGGAAAGGGTTAAGTTGTATGTCGTAGTCTCCAGCGTTAGTGGCTACCCTGTTCGCGTTTCGGTCGTAAGAGGAAGTTTGGACAAGTGCATTCGACTACGTCCTCATCATCTCCGTCTTTACCTGTTTCGCCCTCTCCCTCTCGGTCCCCGGAAACGTACGATGTAAGCGTCGCCCGTTGGCCTGTTTCCTTCTCCACTGCCCCTTTTTTTCCTTCCTCCGTTTCGACAGTATTCCGTACAGAGTAACCGATTCGTTCGCTCGCTTTCCTCTCCCACTAACGGCTGCATGAACCCTGCAAGCGTGGCTCTTTAGCTTTGCTGAGGACGCCTATGAGCCTTAGCCAAGCCGTTCAAATGACAAACGTTGTTATCCCCCATTGCTACTATGCATACTTGAGGAACAGCTCTCCCGGGGCTTTTCAAAGTGGAATCCCCGAAAATAAGTCGACAATGTGCATGTTACAGCGAAATCAGTGCTTTCGTAGGCGACACCGGCAGCCGGTAAGTCCGTAATCACAGCCCAAAGGTGCAACGAGTAGCCAGGATGAACGTTTTCCGGGCAGGGGCCCTGGTTCCTGGCAAAGGATTGTCGGTGGCCATAACCTAAAGGAGACTTGTGCAGGAACGGGGCCGTCCTTCAGCCCATTCCGCCTTTACCTTTCTCTCCTCTTTCTGACGAGACTCATCCTTCCTCGGTTTCGGGTTTTTAGCGTTTGGCGATTTGCCTTCCGTTTTTGCTTTCTTCTCCATCACTGCCCATCAGCGCAATTCTGCATGGCTTCCATCTTCTGTGCGCACCATATGTCGTATTCTGACCATCCTCGATCTGCCGATCTGCCCCTCAGTTTACCTGAGATAGGGCAGACAACCGAGAATGTAAATTGTTTGGGAGTACTGGAAGAACGATACCCTCTGGGCACCAGTCGCAGGTAAAGAGGACCAAAGAACTTTGTGATATTACCAGGTTGTCAAAGAAAAGGAACACTTCCTCAAGTCCACGCCATCTTACCGATCACCTTTGAAATATCGCAAAGCTGGACAGGCGGGAGCACAACCCAGACACCAATGCCATCTTCGACGTACTTGGCACTGACTCGTCGGCTCTGTTTTCAGCAGGATCTGCGCTTCGAGGTCTGCCCATACTCTCAGAGGCATTACTGCAAAGTCGGGATCAACGCCAGACCCCCCTGCTGACACAACCAAAGAGATCGATCGGTGTTTGCCATGGAGGCCTTGAAAGGTGGTGGTGTTTCTTCTTGTCTTTCTTCTTCTCGTGTAAATGTGCGTCTTTCCGTTCACCACATTACTTTCCATTCCATTGACTCGACTCGTCAACCCTTCTCGTCATGGCCGCCGATGTGACTGAGGGCTCTCTTCGTGCCACTGGCATTGCCATGCTGGTCCTCACCACTTTTGTCATCGTCCTCCGCATTTTGGGCAACATCCAGCTGTGGTACCAAGGTCGTCTCGCCGTCAACGGGCAATGGTGGCACGAAATTCGGATGGAAGACTTCTGGCTGTTTCTCTCGTACCTGTTCTTCGTCACCGTCTCCGCCCTGTACCTCTACATCGTCCCGGCCTTCTTCCGACTGACCCTTCTGGGCGAAGGTCTCATCGAGCCCTACGCAACTGCCACCGAGGATGCCCTGTTCATCCAAAAAGGCCTCTTTGCTGCCTCCGCCTGCCTCTGGTTCTGCCTCTGGTCCGCCAAGTTCTCGCTGCTGTGCATGTACAAGAAGCTCTTTGACAAGCTGGCCCAGTACAACCGCCTGTGGTGGGCGCTGGTCATTTTCTCGACGCTGGCCCTAGTCGGCTGCATCGTCACGCTGTTCGAGGCCTGCGAGAACATGACGGCCTGGTTCTCCGTCGGCGCCTGCGTGTCTCAGCGTGACATTGTCCACGCTGCCATCAGCATGTGGTACGGCTACGCCGTTGACCTGCTGACAGATTTGCTGAGTTCGTTTCCTCGTTCCCTTTTTCCATTGTCATATTGTGTATTTCACACGTGGCCGCCTTCTTCTAACGAGCTAGTCATGGCGCTGCCTCTCCGTCTGCTCATCGGCCTTCAAATGCCCTTGTCCCGCAAAATTTCCATTTCATGTCTGTTTTGTCTCGGTTTTGTCTGCATCATCGCCTCGACCATTCGTGTTACCCAGATCAATAACGGCACTCGCCAGCCTACTGTGCCTTGGCTGGCCCTTTGGGGTACTGTTGAATCCGCCACAGCCGTCGTCATTGCCAACTCCCCGAATCTGTACCGCACAATCAAGCGGCAAACCTCGCGCGCCAAGTACTACGGCGGGCATGGCAGCTACGAGAACACCGGTGGCAGCAGCAGTGCCCGGCCCCAACTGGCAACCATCGGAGGCACCGGTGGCCGCAGCTCGGGCTTTCCCAGCCGCAACCGCGGCACGATCAATGACAAAGACAACACTGACGACGTCGAGCTGAAGAGTTTTGGTGGCAGCGCCGGCAGCAACCACAGCCAAGTTGGCGACGGTGGTGTGAACGGCGGTGCCCCGTACCCCGGTGGCCGCAATCCAGCAAATATCGGCTTGGTCGACCCAGACAACAGCAGTCAAGAAGGGCTCGTGGATGAGTTGCGTCGCGCTAACGGCGGTATTGTCAACGTGACCGTCAGCGGTGGGAAAATGAACGCCGCTGGTGACGTCGGAGGCGGAAACTGGCAGGGAGGAGGGATTGTTGTGACCAATACACACGTTCTGCAGCGGACAGAGGGCAACAGCTAAATGAGAAATGTCGCGCAGTTCACATTTATTTCGGTCCTTCGAGGACCTATGATGTTATCATTTACGACTTTATTCTTGCCGTGCACTGTGTATTTTTATCGTCTGAAGGCGCAAGAGGCAAGCGCTGTGTCATACGAAATCCATTGGGCTTCCCTCCGCATGACCCCGTTCAGCCTTCGGGAGCCGGCCCGCCGCACGATGGCAGCGGCCAACTGACATGTGGGCATTCGAATCGCACGTCGTTCGAAATGACTCCTCACAACTAACCACTTCGCAGATACACGTCAAAATACTAAACCATACATCGTTTCTTAATTAAATGTAAATTATTGCCCCGGTTCCACTTATCTCCTTCGTCATCTTTTGTTTGCCGGCCGAAGACGGTTGCCGAAGGCGATGGCAATAATCTGCTCCGGACCACTGCCCCGGGATTCACACTGTTGCTGCGGTCGATTCAGTCCTTATCTCGTCACCACCATAAACGAGGCAATTATGAGAGTACACCGGAAGGATACAGAAGAGGTTCTGCGCATCGTATTCCAGTATGCCCATCACTCGTCCACCAACACCGTGCTCGAGGGGCACGAAGCCCTCAGCGTCTACTGCCAGTCTCGCTGCGGTCGTTCATCTACCACATCAACAACTCCATTGTTGAGTATTTCATCACTAACTCCAATGGCCTTCTCCAAGGTCTCTCGGCCAAGTGTATCTATGCGCTGTCAGATCATGTCATTGACTATGTTGGTGGTGAAAGCCGAAAGGTTGTTGAGGGCCTCAAGCGGCTCTCCAGCAAGATGGCCACCTCGGCGCGGAACACGACGCTGGCGTACGACAGCAGACAGAGCGCGAGCCAATACAGACGCCCCTTCACATTGGTTAACGAGCTGTATTTGGTGATATCGTCATATCGTCTGGCTGGACATATATTGCCTAACGTATTTTGACAAAAGATAAACCACCCATTGAATGAGGACCAAACGTGTTTGTTGAAGCAAGGAGCATTGATCATAATCGCTTGTGGTAACTACTTATGAGATAGTGAGACTGGAGACGGTTATTACTTTCTGCAATTGATTGGGTAATTGTGTAAAGACAGTGATGAAAAGTTTTGCGGTTAGTTTAATAAAGAATGATGTAGAATCACGTTTTATTTTAGATCCTCAAGATGTTTAGTTTGGGTAAAATAGTTGAAAATAATTTAAACGTAGACATTTTTTTTTTCTAAGAAAAAGTAATGACGATATTTAAAAGGTTAATAAACAATGTCTTACGACAAGAAATTTTGAGATAGAATTTTGTTTGAAATATTGAAAACGAATAAAATAAATGTATGAATTTATGGTTGTATTTTGATTGGACCCGTAAATTCTCGCAGATTTTAGAGTACCACAGATCGATTCATCTGAAATACCACATGACGGGACGAAGGTCGCTTATTATTTCCCGGCTTACCGCGTACTAAAAGCCTGAAATAGATTCATTAGTGTTTCATTTCGGTATTCTATCTGTATGAGTGTGATCCCAGTCCACTGTGCAGGATCACTGTTACCCAGCACCTTTGTGTATTATCTAGAAAATGCAAAACAAAATAGACTGCAAATGACCGAGGCAGTAAAAGCACGACTGATAATGACCCCCAAAACGCCGTTCCATTTATAAAATCCATATCCTGCAGATTATGTTTAAGACGCACAGACAAGCCCAATGAGTAAGACAGTTATGACGTCGTCACATCAATGGACAGCTTGGGTACAGAAAAGGTCACATAGTCGGTGGAGTAGTAGGCCTCCGACCCAAAGGCAAAATAGCCGAGATAATCGCTGGCACTGGGGAAGTTGGCATTCTTCAGCGAGAATAGCTTTGTAAAGAGTGGTAGCAGGTCACCATTGAACTTATCAGTGGTCTCAGAGGCCAGCCACGTCAGCACGTTCTGCTTCAGACTGTTGGTGCCGTAGTAGAGGCTGAACGTGGTGCCGTTAAGCACTTCCGTTGCGACAGCACCGGTGGCGAGGCCAATGGGCTGTGCAGCAGCGCCAAAGTCGGCAAACCACACCATGACTTCGTACGCCGCCTTGGAGCTGTCTCCCGACTTGGCCTGGTCCTTGTCCAGGAACATATCAACGGCAACGTTGGCGTTGACGTTGTCGGCGGTCAGGCCGGACTCGTCGGTTGTTGCGGCGGTTTTGTTGCCGACACCATACGTCCACTCGACGTCGAGACCGATATGGGCCAGGGACTCAACAGTGGCCGGGAAGACACCGCCGTCCACCAGAACGTTGGGAAATGCGTGCACAGGCTGGCTCTCGGGGCCTTGCGGATACTCCCAGGTGATGGACCAGGCAGGTGCGGTGGTCTTGGTCGGATACGTGCTGTTGTCGTATGTGGTGACCTGGCAGTGTTAGCAAGGCGTTCGAGTGTGGTGGGCCAGAACCGCTGCCGACACGTGCCGGCGATTGTGCGTAATTGTAAGTTTGTGTAGGTGGCAGAAGGACCAAAACGTACATTCATACAAAGACCACCACCTTCGGTAGGATCCCAGCCCCACTGGTTAGGGTTCACTGACGAGGCGTTAGTAAAGACAATGGTGATGCGAGACAACAATGACCAACACGAGACAGTGCGTGAGTGATCGTGAAGCTTAGTAAGCATGGGTTGGAGACGGGAGACATCGACTTACGTGTGAATTCCTGGCCTTTTGTGATTGGCGTGATACCGTATGACTTTTGGCAGTACGTCTTCGTCGTGAGCTTATTTCCCGTGCCGCCGCCGCCGTCGGAGCCGGCGCCGCCGCTGGGCTGCGGGGTGTAGATAGGCGCATCGCCGACGGAGGAGCGCTGGGCGTCAATGCCAAAGAGGATGGCGAGCGTCACGCCGACTGGGATGACGAGCAGCGCAAAGTTGACGAGAAACGGCACGCCGAGAACGGCCATGGTGAGGGGATGCTCGTAAACAAGGCGCGCAGAGCGGGTATTGCGAAGACGGCGGCGAGGAAGTTGGTGACGAGGGCGCCGAAACGGAAAATGAAGCCGGCCGGAGGAAGAAAAATCGGAAAGACGAGATCGAAACGAGAGCAGGAATATGCAAACGAATGAGAAGCTACACGAAAGCACGGGAGGTCGAGGGATATGAGAATCGGCGATTGGGACGGAAGGGAGGGAGAGCGGTGATGGAAGCGGGTCAGGCGTAGGATTGTGGTCAACGAGTACAGAAGACTACCCGGAGGAGAACAAAAAGAGTGAACAGCTAAGGAGCGTACAAAACAGGGCAAAGAACAAACATCGGAATGCAAAGACGTCAGCCACGGTCTGTCGTGTTTCTTTTACAAGAATGGAGCCGGACAAGAGAGGGCAAAGTGGAGATGGTGCAGCACGGCAGGAGTGGGATGTTCAGGAACAAGTACGATGTAGTGATACGGCGACGCCCGTGGTCTTGGGAACAAAACAGGAAAGGAAGGGCGGCGTGCTGGGTGGGGGTTTGGGCGATCGATGACTTTGCTTGGCACCTGCAGGCCTTGCGACTTTCGAAGTGGTGCGGTGTTCTGCAGTGGGTTCTAGCTCCAATCGAGCTCCGCCCTTGCCACCTTTTGTCCAAGCTGGACGATCTTTCGCAAAAAAGGTGCCGAAGTTGCTCCTGTTATGTTTTTTACCCTCTCTGGGTTTCCCCCCTTTGCTGTTTGATTTGATCTGACACGCCAGAATCTGTTTAAAAAGGGGTGGGTTGCCGATGACAGGCCATATGCGCGTATTGAGAGAAATGTGCGTCCTTTGCTCCGCGGTATCTCACAGCGCAGTCTGTGTGCCCAGTCTTTGTGCTCTGTGCTCGTATTACACTCTCCGCGTCGCGTATTTTTCACACTGGAATTGTATTACGACGCATGCACACCCAGGCCGACAACCGAGCGGGTGGGGGGAGGGGCCGGAAACGTCAGTAACGGAATTCGGTTCTTGGGACGTAAAATGATTGTCACACTAAGATACTCGTACTCCTTACACAGTACGGATGACGGTTTGCACGCACAATGCAGGGAGTGAAAGGGTGTGCCTCAAAAAAACAGAAAACAAAAAAAAAAGCATCGGCAGGGCGTCAAGGCGTTTGTATTTGTCCCCACTTATTCCCTGCCGGTCTGGACTGCTTCCCTGGCTCCCTGGTTCTTCGCTCTGCAAGCCCTGTCTGGACTTGCCCATCAAAAGACAAAGGCGACCTGGGCGGCGGACTCCCACCTGTCCAGTGGCATCCGGACCACGCGTTGCTATAATTAGGCACCGACGGTGGCCAGCGCTCACAGAGATACGAACAAGGGAGCCGCAGGAAAAGATGGAAATAACGAGTGGCAGAGGACCAAGGGGCAAGTAGACGACGTTCCTAATATTGGCAAAGAGATGGAGAAGCTTCAGCTGCATTGGACATCATCGTATGTTTCCCATTGTTTCTACGATGTAATAAATAAGCGAAGAATCACGAAGAAAAAATATAATAAAATAAAACAATACAACCACACTGAAAAAATCACACCGAAACTATCCCACTGGGCACTCTCATTCAGAGGCAAAAGACAAGCCATTGGGTGCCAGAGGGCCAAAGACGCGAATTTTTCTGGCCCCAGTGACACCGCACCGTGCTAACCGACCTCCTTACCAGACCAAGCCCCTGCAACGTAACTACCAGAGCCCAGACGAGCCCACTACGAGCCCACCCAACACACCGAACGCACCCACCACACCACTCTAGCAATCCTGCATCATCCAACGCGTTGGTGATAGGCGCCCCATTAAGGCACAGTGGGTCTCGAATCGCGCACTAGCCACTAGCCTCGCGGGATTTTCTGCAGGGGCATTCGGTTCCGTCTCGTACAGCCTCCCAAGATTTTTTTCATTACTTCGTATGCTTCCTTGTCACTTTTCAGTCGTGTTGGGCACTGGCAGCTCGTATTGGCATTAAGTAGGTGTTATTGTCGTTTCGCCAGTCTCACTGCCAACGGAAAATGCTACCATATCATTCCGTTCCCTTCTCCGCTGTGGTCATTTCCCTCACGATGCATACTCCGTCGTGGGCGCTGTTTATAACGCTCATATCGCAGATGAACAGGAAGTGGCTTGGCTTGGTTCGAAGGTAGGCTTCTCCAGGTTACGAAGAGTGCCCGCGTGCGAGAGAGGGTGACGAAGGTGTTTTGTGCCTTTTGCCTGCCTTACGACGCCCGATTTGTACGCGTTGTGACAGCCATTCTTTCTTTGTTTGTCCCTACCCTCCTGGAACTATCTCCCCTCCCCCCCTGTCTCTGCATGATTAGTGCACGGTTGTTGAATTTTTAATAGCAGCCCTGCCAGGAATGGTCACAGACCGCAGCCACTACTCAGTGACAAAGCACATCAGCAACGCAGTAAATTCAGCGTGGCGCGTTTCCGTATGAAGTTTGTTTTGGGGGCACGAGCCGGATGTTTCGCTACTTTGACTGGCCACCGCGCTCATGTACTGACTGGAATGATAGACCAATGAACGCCATGAAACAGGGAAACGGCAAAGGAGAGACGTCAAAGGCTGAGGAGATAAGACGACTACCGAAAAATTGGAGCAGCTGGATGAAAACTGAGATAAACAAAGGGATAACAAAGGACTTGCTGGGCCAAGGGTGGATCAACCACCCAAAAAGGGGAGAAAAGGAGCCAGTGTTTACACAGTGGGTAAGAAGGGAAGAAGAAAATTTTATTGACAAAGACATTGATACGAGAGAGACAGGAGGCACTGTCGCTCTATTGCTGCACAAACATACTCGAAGAGGACACGCCCGAGCTGCCCGACGCCTGCAGTGTTTTCGCAGATTATTTCTGGATTTCAGCACTGCCTGCAAGGCGCATTGCTTTGTCGTGCCGGAGTGGCCGCAGCCATCCTCTGGTGAGTGTGAGTACCGAGAAGGAGTCGAGGAGTCGAGCTTTGCGTCAACAAGCCTGAGATAAGGCCCTGCGTTAGCGCCAAGGCCGGGCTACGGGGCAATATGTACTTGGCTTGGTGCCCGTTCGTACACTGTCTTTTGCACGTACCTTTTGCCTTCACGGTGGGGTGCATATTCCTTTTTGTTCTTTCTTGCTCCATGTATTTGTTTGAATCAACTAGATGATGTTAAGTGGTTCCTGATCAGGTGGACAGTCTCGTATCGCGCCACTTGTCTCGCCCTGACAGCGCCGCTGTTGCGTATTCAAAGCTAATCCCCGTCCTTTGATGTCGTACTCAGTATGAGTACACCGTATCGTCAAGGTGGCCTCGTCCACTGTGCTTTGTTTCCAGTGCCACGTCCTTGTTCGCCTGGCCGCTTTGTTTCTACTAACCCTTCCCTTCTTTCCTTGGATTCTTGGATGTTCTGATTTGTTCAATTCGTCTCCAGTTTATCTCCAGTTGTCTCCAGCTCCTGACTCTGCCTTGTTGTACTGTCCGATCCCCTCTTATCCTATCCGCATTCTTGATTTTCTTGCCTCCTCCTGTTCTCCCTCCCTTCCCTCCCTCCTTCATTTCCTCCTTTCCTTTTCTGTCTTGTCACCAACCTCTCAATTTGACTTGGCCCTCTTACTGAGTCCATCACTTCTTTCGTTCGTTTCTTTTCTTGCCAACCCTCCAACTTTCGCTCGTTCTTTTTTGAGTTTTGTTTATTTGGACCTGGCACCATCATTCCAGGACACACGCTCGTTTGCTGGAGGATTCTTCACGATTGCTGCGTATTAAATATTGGAATACTCCAAACCTCAAACAAAGAACGCGTGCAGCTCGACCAGGGGATCTCTCGGATTAACCCCCCCTTGGCATCCGAGCTCAACGTCAACGGACCTGGAACCCAATTCACTCGCTCAACCTCTGCCAGCTTTCAGCACCAATTTGAAACCATAAGCAACTACATATCATATACTCCGCCGCCAACATACATACGCTCGCTCCGAGAGACGGGATGCAGTCTCAGCGCGATTACTACGACGACGGCTCCGGCGCCGATCAGTCTTATGGCAACCCGGTTGAGATGCACGACATGAACAACCGGAGCCCGCCATACCAACGGATGCCGCCGCCACGTACTCAACGCCAGTATGCTAACAATGTGCAGCCGCCGGCGGCTGACCAGTACAGTTACGTACCCCAGGCCCAGGACGACGGCTACGCAACACCCTCTCCGTACCAGGAACGACCGGACCGGCGCTGGATGACCGGCCCGCCATCCACAGACTTCTCCCGGCCGCTTGTGTCGCCTCGCCAAGCGCCGATCTACCAGTCCGCCCACACGTCTTCGACCGCTGTCGACATGGACGGAGACAATGCGTCGTCTGGTTCCCCCCCCTGGGCGATGAATCTCAACAACAGCAGCGGCTTTCTGACCGAGTCGCACAACATGTACAACAGCGGCTTCCATTCCAACATGTCCTCGCCACGCAACAGCGCCCGCGCCAGCACCACGGACCTAGCCTTTCTGAAACGCCACAAAGCCATGTCGTCCATGACCGACTCGCGCCCTCCCAGCCGTGACCAGAGCCACGTCACACTCACCAACCTGCTGAATCAGACGCCGGAGCCCGTGCTCAGCGAAGACTGGGTCGTACCGGGTACCGTTGCCCAGATCCACAACCGCGACGACGCCGACACCTGGAAGGGCTGGCGCCGCTTGGTCTACAAGTTTACGCCGTACCTGACGGTCCTCAACATGGGCCTGTACCTCCTGTACCTGACGTACCGCATTATCTGTATTGTGTCCGCCCAGAACAGGTTTCGCACCGTTTTTGCCGCCGCCTGGCTGTTTGTGGCTGTCGAGGTTGCCACAGCCATTCCATCGCTTATGCACAACTGCTGGACTGTCATGGCCATCCACAAGCGCCGCCGGCCCAAGCTGCGGTGGATGGGTGACGACGCCCCGACCGTGGATGTGTTCATTACGTGCTGCAAGGAGGACAATGACGTCGTCATGGACACGGTGCGTGGTGCCTGCGACCTCGACTATCCCCGCAAGCGCTTCCGGGTTATTGTGCTTGACGACGGCGCCGTGGAGAGTTTGGCCAAGGAGGTCGAGGCGCTGTCTGCAACGTACCCGAACCTCATGTACATTGCCCGCCCCAAGTACCCCGGCGTGCCCCACCACTTCAAAGCTGGTAATCTCAACTACGGTCTGGACGCGTCGCTGTCGTTCCCCGGCGGTGCCGGCGAGTACATGGCTGCTTTGGATGCTGATATGGTAAGTGTTTGAGAATGAGTTGACGTTACTCCGTTTTATTAAGCTTATGACAACCCGCGTCTTGCGACATGGGTCCCACGTGGATTTTGCGCACCTCAAGCCGGGATGTAAGCCAACTGCGGGCGGTATGCACGAAGTCAGAACTAAAAACAAACCGTAGTTCTCGTGCTGTGGCGTCGCCGTCTGCGCAAGCGTGTAAAAATCCAGATATTTCGAACTCCACAAGACACAGTAAGCTGACTGAATATCCAGATTCCCGAACGCCAGTGGCTGCGTGCCGTCATTCCCCACCTCGTCGTGGATCCCAAGATGGCCCTTGCCTGCCCTCCCCAGCTCTTCTACAACACGCCGCCTGGCGACCCGCTGGCCCAGAGCCTGGACTTTTTTGTGCATGTCATCGAGCCTATTAAGGACACTATGGGTGTCGCGTGGTGCACTGGGTCTGGCTATGTGGCCCGTCGCGAAGCCCTGACTGAGATTGGCAACTTCCCGCTCGGATCCCTGGCTGAAGACGTCGCCACCTCCACGAAGATGCTTGGTAAGGGCTGGAAGACAGCTTTTATCCACGAACCCCTGCAGTACGGCACGGTTCCCGACGATTTTGCCAGTCACCTGAAGCAGCGCACGCGCTGGGCCATCGGCACCGTCGATACGTCCTTCAAGCTCAACTTTTGTCTGTGGGGCGACTCGGTGCGCCAAATGACCTTCGCCCAGCGCTTCTCGGGCTTCCTGTATGCCTCGCTGTCGCTCTACACCATCCTGCTCAACATCTCGCTCTTTGCCATCCCCGTCATCCTGCTGCTCGGCAAGCAGCTCGTTGCGTATGCGGACGAGAACCAGCTCCGCTGGCTTGTGCGCGCCTGCTTTGCTGCCATGATGTCGAACCGCCTGTGCGAGCTTGTCATGTTCATCCCCGCCGGCTACCACACCGGCCAGCGTGGCTCGCGCTACCAGCTGTGGATGTCGCCCTACATTGCGCTGTGCCTGATTCGCGCCTTTGCCCTGCCCAAGTGGCTCGGTGGCCAGGCCCAGGCGTTCACGCCCACCGGCTCCATCTCGTCCAAGCTCAACGAGCGCGACGCTCGGATGCGCAAGAACATGATCAAGCGGCTGTGGGCCATCGTCGTCAACTACATGGGCTGGTTCCACATGATCTTTGTGTACATTACGCTTGTCGGTGTCGCCATGTCTACCTACCGCTGCTTCTTTTGGTACACGTCGGTCAAAGCCGTGTTGCAGGGCCTGGTCACGCACGCCTACTGGCCGCCGCTGACCTTCCTCTTCATTTGCAGCTCTATGTGGACCCCCATTGCCTATGCCATCGACCCGCCCAGCATGCCGGACCGCGAGGAGCTGCTCAACCGCGACCCCAAGACTGGCGTTGCCCATCCCACTGACAAGGCCAAGAAGATTGCCATGAATGGCCAGACCGCATGGTACGAGCTGGAGTACACTACGACCACGCTGTACACCACACTCATCTTTGTCATGTCCTTCCTGCCTTTCTTGTTTTAGAAAGACTCGTTCACGTCACGATTCCTGGCTTTGGTGATGGCAATCCCTCCCGTTTTCTCTGACAACAGTGTACATGGCATTTCTTAGCAGATTAGTCTTTTTTCGTTTTATTTTCGTCTTCCGTGCTGCTTGTTGCCAGCATTTGCTTGCAATTTTTTTTGTTTCTTTTTTACTACTGTTTTCACATCATTTTTTGGTCTCGTCCACTTCGTTACTCTTTTCACTTTACAACAACCGGTACGGCGTGCACGCCTGCCATACACGACGCACGTTGGGAACACGATTTACGGCCACCGGATACAATCGGCGTTCTGCATTTGGAAGGGCTCTTGCCCGTAATGTAATTCAGTACATAGACCATACCGGGAAAGCGCCCGGGCATACACATACGGCAACGAGTATATATTATTTGATATTTGACATTCTATTTTATTTTAAATTATTCCGACTCCCGCCGTTGATTGGCATAGGATTGTAGTTTGTCGAATCGCCAACGGAAATGGCTCAGGCCCGTCTCGGCCCGCAGACTCCAAGTGGCTTGGGCCGCGGACGACAGCCAAGTGTTAAGTCTTACCGTGCAACACAGTGCACACATAACAAAAGTAGACCGTAGGCCGAGAAGAATCTTGCTCTAATTTCTTGATCTTGAACGAGGCGCACATAGTTTTTGTTTGGCTGTCATAGGAGCTGCGTTGTCGTACGACTCGTATTTCTTCGGAGGCCGACGCCACCATTCGCCCAGCTATGGCCACTGTAGACAGTGGGCGTTGCGGTATCTGGAGTCGCGTCAGCAGTTCATATAGCGCATTTCGTTTAGTGTCCAGTTGCTACGTGAGCCAGCCTTAGGAATTTCAAAACACGTTTAGCAAAGTTACGCGAAGACGCAAAATAAGTGTCGAATGTTCTCACAGGGTAACGCACATTTCAGAATCCTCGCCGCATATGGTGATTGGTAATGCGCAGCACAGATCGGACGAGAAACGCGCCGTTGCGCGGTGTATTCCGCCGTATCGGAGCCTCGCCGGCAACAGCACGTCATTACCTACGATGGCGAACAATGCGGCAGAGCTGACGAACCAACGGCGTGGGATAGGCGAAGGCTCAAACCCCGCATAGCACGCAAGACGACCTACGACAGCGCGGGCTGTGTGCGATGTGCTGGATATATGATCCGATGCGCCCACACGAGAGGCGAGATAATTCATTATTTGTTGACTTTGGTGGCATCGGTTGTCGGGCACTTTGTTGTACAGGCGCAGTGTTGCATACGTCTTCTTTCACACCGATATCGATACTTACACTGCAGCAAGGCGGCCGCGCGGTTCATAGCGCGAAGGCATCGAGGACCTTACGGTGTTGCCCAGCCTTTCGGAGTCGCAGAACAAACAAAAAAAACGAGACAAAAACACCCTATCGCAGTAGCCAGTTGCCATGGCACCGCCCATCAAGTCTGTCGCCATCATCGGCGCTGGCGCTTCAGGTGAGTTCCCCAGTGCCACCATCCTTCGCTGTGTACTCTACAAAACACATCTAATACAATCCCCAGGCGCTGCTTCTGCGTCTGCACTTGCAGCAGAAGGATACTTTGACGTGATCAAGGTTTTCGAGCGGCGCGAAGAGCCCGGCGGAACATGGATCTACGACGCTGTACCACCGGTTCTCAAGCTCGTCCCGGGCGGCCTGCCGCACGACATCGACCCGCCACTTGCCATTCCCGAGGTCCTACCGGCAACATTGGCGCCAAATAGCCAAGAGCGGTTCACCAAAACGCCCATCTACGACGGCCTCACGTGAGACAACTCATTGTTCCCGGGGAAGAAACATAGACGAACAATTAATTTGCTAATGCGCTGTCTTGACTGCAGTACGAACGTTCCAGAAATTGCCATGTCCCTCTCCGACCGGCGCTTTCCTTATGGCCCCTTTGTCCCTCACTGGATCCCAAAGAACTACATCCGGGAGTACTTCTCACTGCACGGCGACGACTCGCTCCTGTTCTTGAACACGACGGTGGAGGACATCTCCCAAATCCAGGAAAAGTCCCGCGGTGCGCACAACCGATGGCGGCTCACCTTGCGGAAGCACGACCGCACGCGGGACGTCGACGAGTGGTGGCAGGAAGAGTTTGATGCCGTTATCCTAGGCAACGGCCACTACGCCGTTCCATATGTACGCCGCCCCTTGCATTGTTTTGTCTTCCTTAACCTTGAGGGCCCCATGTCTAATCGCTGTAAATTCAGGTCCCCGCAGTGACAGGTCTGCCTGAATTTCTGGTCAACTACCCTGGTCGTGTAATTCATTCCAAGAGCTACAGATCACCAAAGGTGTACGCCGGCAAGCGCGTCCTCGTCATCGGCAATTCGGCCTCTGGCCATGACGTTGTTGACCAGCTCATAAAGTACGATGGTGTACACCACCCTGTGTACCAGTCGCGCCGCTCGCGGTCGCTGTGGGAGGGCGACGAGCCACCGGAAGGTTTGGTATGGAAACCAGTCATCGACGAGTACAAGGCAGACGGTACGATCGTTTTTGTCGATGGCACGGAATTGGGTCCGAGCGACATCGACGTCATCATCTACTGCACTGGCTACAAACCTTCCTACCCTTTCTGGAACGTGCAGCAGAACGGTCGCCGGCTGTACAACTACGAAGAAAATCGTTTCGAGGGCATCTTTCAGCATACATTCGTGCGCGACTTTCCCACGCTTGGTATTGTAGGCCTGCCTCGCACGTTGACTTTCCGGTCGTTTGAATACCAAGCAATTGCTCTGGCCCGGCTCTGGTCCGGCCGCGCTGTCCTCCCACCTGTCGGCGAGCAACAACTTTGGGAAGAAGAGCGCATTGCCGAGCGCCGACACAACGGCAAGAAGTTCCACGACATTGAATGGGATACAGGCGAGACGGACAACTACCTCAATTTCCACTATCGCTTGGCTGGGTTACCCCAATTGGATGGCAAAGGCCTCACGCCACCGATTCTCAACTCGGCTACACGCTGGGCAATTGAAAACATTAGAAAGTACCCCATTGTCCGGCCGTCACCACCGCCGGATAGGGACGCAAATCGGAGGGCAGCGGAGGATGACTGGGTGGTTATAGAGGGTGTCAAGGATTCGCTTTGGTACATTTAGTTCGCGCCACACATGTTGATTTCCATATTGGATTTGCGTTTTCTCTAGCTAGATAAATGATGATGACCAAGAACCTGAGAGCTAAATCCCACCAGTGCGAAACCTATGCAGCAGATGACACGGCCGGTGCCTCGACCGCAGTAGGATGTGCGACTCCAGCGACATGGGACGCTCTAGACGGCACAGCCGATTCGTACGCCTCTGCATTCAGTGCCGGCCCGCTGTTGACCAGTGTAGTGTACGGAATGGGGTTTCTGACAAGACGGGCATCTCTAAGACCGAGCTGCCATCGGTCGTATCCTTCCGGCGGAATAACAGGCGCGGTCCACATGCCATTGCTGCGGAATTGGTTCGTTACGGCAATCGCTGCCTCGACGGGGACATTCGGAAAAAGCTGTGCCAACTCGTCTTGGTATGTCTCGGGGTCGGTTTTGTTGACAAAGTCAATTCCCTTGGCCAATGCTTGGCAGAACCGCTTCTGCTTGTCCAGAACCTCGGGGGTCACCGTGGCCGCTTCCCGGTAGTACACGCTCCACGGAACGTCCCCCTGGGTCACCATCTCCATGGCCACGGATATGTTGGGATTCTTCTCAACCATAGCACGTGCCGACAAGTTGTCCGTGACGAAGAAGTCACCCATACCTCCCTGAAACAGATTGCCGAGCATGACGCCGTCGAGGTCTTGAATGTAGTCCACGGCCCGAGCGTCGATGTTGTTTTCGCGCAACAGCATCTTGAAAAACAGGCCGACGCTAGCACCCCCGCCAGACTTCATCAACACCGTCTTGCCGGCCACGTCATGCAGGTCGAATCCGTCTGCCGGGCCGTGTTTCAGAAGGGCCAATGGGCAGCGGTTGGCAATCTGAGCGAAGACTGTGTAGTTCTCCACCCGCTCTAGATACATTGACGGCACCCAGATGCCACCGAGGGCCATGTCAGCCTTGCCAGAAGCCAGCGCGTCGAGAACGCCGTCCCATGGCGCAGGGATGTTGGTTACCAGCTCGAGTCCCTGTTCCTGGAAATATCCATGGCGCTGGGCGATGTACTGGGGAAGGTAGTTGAGATTGTGGCCTGTGGCCGTAAGGTTGAACGTCTGCATTATGATCGTAGAATGATGTTTAGTTATTTTCTTTGATGTTCTTTGGGGTGTAGTCTCGCACACATGTCAATTGGTGTGGTATTGTAGTGCCTGTGATTTATATAAAAGATGAACTGGCGAGAGCAATTGTTACTAGTGATGACACTGCAACATTAAAATAGACGTAGGTTTGATCCGTCGGCGTTGTGCGACGACCGCCAAATGTCTTTTTATGGGGCGCAAACTGTCGCGGCACACACCCGTCGGAAATATGCGAAAGCTCGTATCAACAAACTAATGCCAATAATATACCTCATACAAGAGACGGAGTGTCCTCTAAATTTACCATGACTGTAGATAAGACAGTATCGGTTTTTGCCGTTAATGAGTGCAACGTAGGCCGCAAGGCGGTAATCACAGTTCCACGAACGCGTGCCAATACAGAAAGAGACAACGGACGCAAATCGTGTAAGCTAAATAATGTGAGGTACATAACTTAACTGACAACGCTACTCAAGTGACCAGCTATAAACAAATCGAATTCTATTTCAATGCTCACACCACCAGTGCTCTCACAGACGTGTAATTAACGTGCATCCACCGTTAGAGATGGCAAGCCGAACGCCCCTGGTGCTTTACACCAACAGGAACTGTCCATGTAAGCTCAGCAATCCAACCTGAATCCATGTAGAGAGAACTAACAAACAGAAGGGGCACACCGCGCCCATATAGTTCTCGCTGAGCTCGGAATCCCGTATGAGGAACACCATATTGACTACAGTGTGCCCCGGTCCCCGCAATATCTTCAGATCAACCCCCGGGGTCAAGTTCCTACCCTCGTCTGCGGTGACCAAATCATCCGGGAATCCGCTATCGTAGCGCAGTTCCTCGCCGATTCCGTCTCATCAACACACTTAACACTTCGCACAGGCGATATTGCCGGAGCATTGATGCGTGCGCGGATCGCATTCTTTGTTGAAACGTATTTCTCCAAAGCCAACAAATACTACTATCCCGCTATTGAAGCGCCGACAGACGAGGAGGCAGATTCTCTCGGCGCTTTGTTTGCGGTTGCAGTGTCTTCGGAAATTGAACCGCTTCTGCACGATGCAGCTCCCTTCTTCGGCGGCAGCGAGAAATTGACAATGGCAGAGGTGAGCCTTTTTTTGTACTGTCCACTAACGACGGCGACTTGTAGTAGCTAACCGTCATAGGTATTAACTGCATCGTTCATCTTGCGTATTTTCACATTGCCAACAGCCGAAAACCCTCCATTGCCATTGTCAATGATTTTGGATCTTGATTCAAAAGCGCCTCGATTTTTCAGTTGGGCCCAAGCTGTTTTGACCCACCCATCTGTCAATGGCATCTACAACCTGAACGGCTGCGCTGCAGAAATGCAAGAGAGAAGGGCCAAGGCAAGAGGCTTGTTGTAGTTAGCAATGGCATCGGCCAACCATATGGTTGCCGTTCCTAGTAGCCGTGAAGTTGGCACAAAATTGTATTGTATAATCAAGGACAAAGGCAAACAGCACAATACACAAAAAACGATGCCCCTCAACATTGGTGCTTTTGAATAACGCGGCAGTGCATCTGTGCGAAAACAATGACGGCACATAGACATGGTTGTAAAAATCTCGTTAAGAAGGCACGATCCAGCAGCACATCTTGAGAAATATGCGGAGGGGGACGCAACCTCACCGCCCATCCATCCGTGCGTTACTTTCAGGCCCGGCTCGCATTCTTATTAGAACACAACGGCACCTACATTCAAAGTAGTATACTATTTGTTGTGCTAATTGACATGTATTGTCAGGGCGGTGCTTGATCAGGGGGGTTGAATTTAATTGAATCTAGCCACGCTGCCGATTATCTGGGAATCATGTGATTATTCATGCCAGGTCGTGATACACATTGTCCATACCCAGAACCATCCCCTGGAGCTCCGGCCACTGTGCGGCTGAACTTAAAAGCTCACTGAACGCAAAGCAGTCAGTCATGGCTGACATGGCGGTACCTCCACCCACACCGTCTTCCACGGATGGCATAACCCGCTTGGAGGGCTGCACGTTCTGGAGCAAGTCGTTTAGTTGTTGCTCAAACTGCTGGCGGCTCTGCTGCACCTTTTCGGCATCGTAGGTAATCAGCCAATTGATTGTTGCCGACGAGAGTGTGTCAAACACATCGCGACACCCGGCAGCGCCATGCAATGTCTCGGACATTGCGAAGAGTGTTGATGCACACGACTGAAGCGTTTGGATGCAGCTGCCTGTCGAAAGGCTGTCGCGAATATCTTTTGAGTGCCAGAGACAGTAGATGACGCTCAGGCCGGCCATGAACAGTTGATGGACAGCACGCCAGAGCACGTCGACGCGCCCATCGCGCTGCAGCAGTTTTATATTGTTAATCATCTTGCAGCTTGCGTCAAAAGAGATCACCAAACTCTCCGCAGATACTTGAGACACCATAGAATTCGGTCGGTGCAGGAGGAGAATTGCGTTGTTGTAGACGGTGTCCCAGTACGCTTGGCAAGCGAAAATGGATAGTGGGTGAGCCTTGTTAATTTCCGGTATCGTTGTGTACCACTCTTGCAAGCGAGGTCCTACGTCTTGCAACCAGACCGCGTAGTTGGCGCGCGGGTAAGCAATCTTAACCGACCACGATTGAGAGTGCTGCACGTGCATGATTTCGGACTCGAGGTGGGTCATCTTAAAGAGGTGATTCAGGGCGCGTTGGCTGTGAATGCCAAATTTGTCATCCGGCGACAGTTCATCAACTGGGCGGCAGGTGGCAATTGTCACCCATGGGTTTGGGAGCTCTACCCGTATGCTCTCGTCGATTATGCCAAACGGGCGGCCCAGCGTGATGCTGAGAAAACGGTCGAACTGGTAGGTAGTGTACCAAAGACGGCGACGATCACGAAGGACAGCGGGATCCATGGTCAGACGCTTTTCGTCCGATTCCCAGTGTAGGCCTATGTCAATGCACATGCGCAAGGCAATGCCTGTGAGGTGCCATAGGCTGCCCTGTGATGGACAAAGAGCCACAAATTGGGCAAGAAGGAGTATCGACCGCAGAGTCTCGATGTCACTCTTTGCATATACAATGGCGCGCTCGACGCTCGCTATGGCGGATCTGAAACAGCCTTCACTTTGAACTGGGCGACCTTTTCCTGATGGCCCAGGAACGCCGCAGAGTGCAATGGCAAATATCATATATGTGGTGAATACGTCTTTGTCGTTTTGTTCAGAATCCGAACCGCCACTGCTACCACGATATGCGCCGTTGATGGCAGTTGTCGCATGCGACCGTTCGAGAATGGGCAGGTGCGGTGTAAGGTGTTGAAAATATGTTTCAACAAGATGATCAGCCGCCTGATGTGGTGGCAAGGAAGCTTCCTCGGCCATCATGCTGGAAAATGATCCATACGGACGGCTGTGTGACTGAGAGGGCGAGGGCAGTGCATCAACCCGAATGGCTGCCATAACGAGTTTAGCGAGAGTGATGCCGCCACCTTGACCGAGAAATCGAGGTTGTCTTCCAGTTGGCTCCACGACAACATCGCTGACACTCTGCACCAAGTTGAAAAGATGGTTCGGCTGTCTTTCAGTCAAGCTTTCCGACTGCGAAACTCCGAATATGGCCAGGTCACTCGTTGGCGATGATTCGGTCTCGGCTGATGTTGCAGACGTTGTCCGCACCCGCTCTTTCAGTTCTGCGTTTTCTCTGGTCAGTTGTGCCAGCTGTGCTTCTAGGTTGGCAACATAGTTTCGTGGGAGCTGGAAGGTAGTTAGCGTTTTCGTTCCCGCGATATTTAAATCCCGGCCTGCCCTGTGCAATACCTCTGTGTCTTTGCCCAGGTGGTATGTCAAACATGCAGCACCAACCGTGGCGCAGTTTGTGCAACTGGGATACTTGAGATCGCACTACGGGGGAAGCCGACAGTCAGTATTGTGCGTGCTAGCTGTAGTGGATAACGTCCTTGGCAAATGTGGCCAAGATACCTTTTGCTTTCGTCTGCGGCACCTGGAAAACATAGTTAAATGCCATATCCAAGTATATCATTGCCATCAGTGAAGGGTCTTACCTCTGACATGCATTGATACCACGAGCAATTCGGTCGTGCACGCGTGCGTGCGGGTGAAGCCGAGATGTGCCATAGTCTGCCATGCTCTCCCGTATGTTGTGGTTTCAAAGGGATAAAGGCTCAGGGCAACGATTTTCAAATGATTGGCATTGTCAACGGACAGGATCATTCTTGAACTCCACAGTGGCAGTGGCAGTCGGATTTATTTGAGAAACGGTGTAAGATGGCAGATGCGTCGGGTTCGTCCGATCGGGCTAATGCGGGTTCTATTGCATGGAAAGGTTTCTTATCATAACTTGGGATTGATAAGGCTAACGTGCTAGTCATGCATAGATAGCGATGCACTGTTGTGATGCCGCACAGTGGTTCGTTTAAACCGAACTGGCATGATTGCACGTTATCTAAACTATGAGAAACTTGTATCACACCTCGCAGCCCAAACATACTAATGCGCATTCTTATCAAGACATGTTGAACCGCTTATCGCAATAGCCACTGTATTGTACCGGCAACACCTATTCAAGTCGGCTTGAAGCGACACATGCTCTCGTTCAAGTGTGCCAACGAAAGTTGCAATCAAAAGATATGGCGATGATGCGTCGTCGTATTTGCACACGCCAATACCAAATCTCGCCAATATTTTCTCCATTTGTTATCGACCAGCCCAGAGGACAGTGGACTCAGTACAGATTAAGCCTTGCCAGTATACTTAATGATTATTTCCTCTTCGATCTCATTGTGACATTTACAATACAATAAACGAGTTTCAGATGTGCTAGACGAACAACCACGAACCGCACAACAGCTTCTCTTAAAGGATAATATTGATTTTCGCACATTCCAACCACAGACATGGCTGCCGAGCCCGCCAAAGAGGTCGATGTTAAGACCACGGCCATGAATACGATAATTGATGACTGCGCAGAGGGCGAAAGTGCGGCGATCTATATTGACCCAAAGAAAGAAGCAGCAGCGCTGGCGAAATTCGACAAGACGGTGCTGCCCGTATCCATGATTTTTTTGATTTTATCTAGCCTTGACCGTAACAATGTAAGTCCTCCTGTCTGCCCTTTTTTCAATTTCCTTCTATTCTAACGGAAAAATACTTTAGCTCGGCAACGCCCGTGTTTTTGGATTCGATGCTGACATTGGCCTCACTGGCGGCGACTTTGGCAATATAACGACACTATCTAGTGTTTGCACCATTGTTTTTGAACTTCCGTGGGTTCTTGCCGTCCGTCGTTACGGTGCGACCAAGGCAATTGGGACTGCGTTTGTTTTGTGGAGTCTGTGTACGCTGGGCACTGCATTCATCCACACTTACGGCCAGGCCATCGCCTGTCGTATGCTGCTCAATGCAGCCGAGGCGGGCCTTGCACAGAGTTTTGCGTACCTATTTTCAACCATATATCCACGGGAGACGGCTGGCAAACGCATCATGACGACCAACCTCGCACAGTGCATCTCTGGCTCATTTGGTGGACTTTTTGCGTACGCTGTCCAGACAATGGGCGAACGCCGCGGCCTTGCAGCTTGGCGCTGGCTGTTTATCATCGAGTTTTGTATCACGATCGTCATTGGCGGCATTGGCTGGCTATTCATTCCCACGTCTGCCGAGTCAGCTTGGTTCCTGACCAAGGAGGAAAAGGAGACCATGCGACTAAAGAAGCAGCGCGATATTATGCACCGAGGCGACACCAAGTTTGAGCGCAAGTGGATCCGGATTGCGCTGTTGGATCCCTTTGTGTGGATGTTGGCCATCGCCTTCTTTACGTCGTCTATTGCAATCAACGGGTTTGGCGTCTTTTTGCCGACCATTCTTTCTGGCCTTGGGTATGAGCCGTGCCACTACTTATGTCAATGTGAATGCAGCCGCAGAGGCTAACAACAGAAACAGGTTTGCCTCGTTGACTGTGAACTATCTCACAATTCCAGTTTATATCTTGGGCGCAATCTCGCTCGTGATTCAGTGCTATTTTTCCGACAAACTCCGGCAGCGTGGTGTCTTCATTATCGCATCATGCATCCCGGTATCTGTGGGATACCTTATTTGTGTCGGCACTTCCAATCAACATGCCGGTTACGCTGGCATGTTCATTCTTGTGTTGGGTAAGTGTGATTCGCAGCCCCAACTTATTTCCGAAGGCAGACTTCCGGCCACACGAATAAAGTAGTATTCAGTAACCAAGGATGAACTACTAACTTTGACAGGTCTTTATTCTATCTCGACACTGGCCGTCACTTGGATATCGACCAACCTGTCCCCAGACTCTAAGCGCGCCATTGGTATGCCCATTGCATACTCCATTGCCAACATTTCCGCTGTCGTGTCTGGGCAGCTGTATCCTGACCAGCATGGGCCGCGATACATCCCGGGCAATGCAATCTCGGCGGGCCTCTCGGTCGTTGCAGGACTTTTGTACGCCTCCTGCTATTTTTTGTTGCGGCACCGCAACGCCAAGAAGGCCAAGTTGCTCAACGAGGGCGCGACGACCAACGGCTTGGAAGGAGACCAGAGTCTCGAGTCAATGTATATTCTTTAATGTCCCAATATATAGAAAGCAGGATAATGGGTCAGCAAATGGAGAGCATATGACGCGAAGATGCCATTAAATCAGCTGCACAGTTTAAACGCAAGGACAAGATCCGGGCAACAACAAAAGCCTTGTAGGAATCTGTTAAGTATATTTGATATTTTATTTTCAAACCATGTGATGTTTAACTTTCTACAATCTGAGGGTTGTTGCTAGCATCCACCTATCAAAGAGTCATGCAGATGTCTCAATGTATCATCATACTCCCCAACAACCCAGGGGAACTGACCTATTCTGGCTCGCCACCCCAGAATTCCCATTTTTCCATTTCCGGGGTCACCCGCAATGATTTTTCCGAAATGGCTTTGCAGTTTTGACCAGCATATACTGCCAATTGAGTCTCGTACTGCCGCGGCATCCGCGGCAACTACACTTCCAGCTGTAATTATGGCCCACAACTGCAGACCCTGAAGTTCCATCACCGCCAAACTCATCTCAGGTTCGGCAGAGGCTTCTAGCATGCGGTTTAGTTTGGAGGCAAGCTGTAGGCCGTAATGTGTCTTTGGGGGCATTTCTTTTAGCGTTGTAAGTGAGAAAAACAGGAGACCTATACGGCATATTTCTTGCATATGCCTCTCGGACACACTTGGCACAGCTGTGATGAACTGTCGTAGTGCGTTGGAAAGCAGCGAGTACTGGGCCCCGGTCAATAAATATCGTATCCGAGTAGCGGTTGCCGCATTTTGGCTGTTGATCGTCGAATTTCCTTTTGAAAGCCCCGTAGAATGACGTTTGGCAGATGGAGTGCAGTATGTTTTAAACAAAAAGACTGCTTCGTCAATCTGAGACAGGCACCGAGATATTACGGGATTGTGTGAGCATACCGCCAAAATATGACCAAATCCGTCATTGTAGAAAGTATGAGACGAACCGGGCAAAAGACCCGGAGAAAGAGGACCGACGAGAAGACTGCACACCGAATGTCCGTCAAAGTAAGTTGGCTGATCGCTCTCCAGCGAACCGTATAGATCAGCGCTGTTGCAACACGTCATCAGCTCAGGACACGGGGAGAACATTGAATAAAGAAAGAAAGCACACCTACCGAAATATCTTCTGTAAGACATACGGCTGCTCATAGATACGTTCAATCCCCCCGTAATAGTGGACGAGCTGCTTCAGACCCTCCATATACACCTTCCAATTGTCGGGATGGTCTCGACCTCGCTGGCAAAGTTAGATGGGTAGCATAAAAGGCATTGGAGTACTGACTTTGTGAGATCCCTACCTCGAACATGGCAATCCCCGCCACCATGATAATTGTGCTTGAATCAATTTTCCACGGTGTGTCCTGCTTCCTTTGCACAGTCGTTTCCGAGATTCGCTTGTTGACAATGGAAATGGCACGGTGGAAATGCCAGAGCGAGAGGGCACTGTTGTTGTTGCGGGCGAAGTAGCATAGAAATGTGTCGGCACAGCTGATAAATGTGTGCATCAGGGCTGGGTCAGCAAACCCCAATGGAAGACCATACTCTATGAACGGATTGAACCCAACAGCCCATTCTAGCGTGTACAGAGTTTTCCAGACAGTTGTAGTGACTTGACTTTTTGTTAGATTAAGCTTCACAATGACATGGGAGTGGGAGTGTAATGACAAGCCTGAACATACGGGACACGAGTAGATCATGCATGTACGGTTCGAATTGGACGGGAAGCGAGTTAAAGGGATCCACACCGTCGATCTGGCGAATGTTGTAATGGTGAACAAAGCCGGAAACACTCAAGCCAGCTTCTGCACCATTGATTCTCCGTTGTTGGCGGCTCAGTTCGTTGTTTAATTCCGAGGTCTTTGATCGAGCATTTCGGCGAGCGTGGCGGCGGATTCTGTCCTGTGAATGGACGTCAATGAGTCGAGTCCTTGGAGACAAATGGATAAACTCAAAGTGGGTTGTCTGCGCCGTCGTCCTTTGTCTGTCGTCTCTGCTTCGTACAGTCGCCTGTTTTGATTTGTCACCTAGTCCGAAAGCATCAGCAAAAGTACACAGTAATTTATTTATGACAAATGCAAGTAACAACCAACCTTTGGGACGACCACGCTTCCACGGACCCGGAACCTTCACAGGCCCAGCATGGTAAGAGAATATGGCCTCGGGCTCCGACTTGTCCGAAATCTCCGAATTAGCTGCCACAGGGAATACGATTTCAGCCGGGTCGAGGGCCATATTGACGGGAAGGACGTCCTGTACGAAGGCACATTTGAAAATAGATATGATACGATGCAAGTAAGAAGAAAAGCTTAAAACCGCAAGAGGCTGGACGACAGGGTTAATAAATATTTTGGTTTCAGGCCAGCCGAGTGGCAGTTCGCTAAGCCGAACTTGGTATATGAGATACAAAAAATTCAGCCGAAATGGGTTAGCGCAAATATGCCATGTTGTAGCCTTCCTTAACTCCTGGTCCAAAGTCCGATTGGGCCTGTCGTAAAAGTTTTGAGAGAGTCAACGACAAAATAGGAAACTGACATGTTCGAAATGTGTCTCATTTGGGCATAGTTTTGAATGATACTGCCATCAATTTTGCTGAACATTGTGTGAAACTCTCCTCATGTAGTCAAGATGACTGGCAGTTTCCCTTTTGATGATCGATTATAAAAACCCGACACCCATCCTACAATTCGAGAGCATGACTGCACATTCCTTTTTTCAATCGCAGACCATCACCCTCAAGACAACAATTGCCGCTCCTGGACAGCGTAAGAAACTTCATTCCCCCTTCATTAAATATCTACTATGCCCAACTACACGTCCAAGACTACTGGAGATGAGGTGGCGCGGGACTGCAAGTCTCAAATTGCCAACAAGACCATCTTGGTCACGGGGGCCACCCCCGGCGGCCTGGGCGCGACATTCGCAACTACGATTGCACCTTACGGCCCGGCGGTGATCATTCTTGCCTCCCACAGCGTGGTCAAGGCCGGCGATACGGCAAAGGCCATCGAGGCTGTTGCACCAGATGTGAAGACTGTTGTTATTGAGCTGGATCTTGCCTCGATTTCTCAGGTCCGCAAAGCCGCCGAGAATATTCTAGGCTGTGTGGACACGATCGATGTCATCGTCAACAACGCCGGAATTATGGCAGCGCCATATAGCAAAACCGTGGACGGTATCGAATCGCAGTTTGGGACAAACCATGTCGGTCATTTCCTATTGACCAACTTGCTGCTGTCTTCAATATCCCGTGATAAGAAGAAACGGCCTTTACGTGTCGTCAACGTCTCGAGCAATGGCTTTCGTTTCAGTCCCGTCCGCATCAAAGACATTAGTTTTGACGTTAGTCATCCTGCCACTGACAAAATTGAGTGCACCAACAACGGAGCTAACACTATTAGGATGGCGCTACATACGACCGGTGGACAGCTTATGGACAGTCGAAGTCTGCCAATATGTTGTTCTCCCGATCCCTCGCGGCGAAACTCGGTAGCCGTGGTGTCGTATCTGTTAGCCTCCACCCAGGTGTCATTATAGAGACGAGCCTCTCCCGTCACGTTGCCATGGAAGACTTCGCCGAGCTTGGCGTCTTGGATCGAAAATTGGGAAACCGCGAGTTTTGGGACCAACCGTTTATGCTAAAGTCTCCTGCGGAGGGCGTCGCAACACACGTTTTTGCAGCTTTCCACCCGGCCCTCGAGGAACCGGAGCATAACGGTGCTTATCTGGAAGACTCGCAAGTCGTTGATGTCAAACAGATCCAAAGTTGGGCTAGAGATACCGTGGAGGCTCAAATGTTGTGGCGTCTCAGTGAGGAGATGGTGTCAGAGACATTCTCCTACTGATGCTATTGAGCAAGCCGCGTCAGGTTTTTGCATTGGCAGTCGTATTTTGATAACAGGAGATTGGAATGAAGTCGGTATTCGCTTAGTAGCATCGCAGGTATCGGGTGTTTCCAATTGTTCTTTATCGCAATGCGGGCGTCATAGTTTATAGTTTATTGAAGAGCTACTTCTCTTACATATACGGAGGTGATACTCCGAAGTACCATATACAGAAATACCTCGAAGTAACACGCCTTTCCTTTAGGATTTGTGCCTCTGACAATGATTTAGCGAATTCTGAAAAAAACTGACCTCGATAGATGCGAGGGTGGATGTGGGCGATTTTCTCGACGGCCCACTGTATCTGCACTTGTTCTGTGCTCTCAATTGCATACAGGAAGAGCGCTCGAAGAAACCCGCCGTTCACATTATTTTCGCTGCCTTGGTTCCCACAAGTCGACTCTCTTTCAACGGTTTCTCTGATCTCGAGAAGCGCGTCTCGAGAGTCGGGTAGCTTTGACAGCGGATCGCCCAGCTGCCGGCCAATTTCCACGAGCTCAGCAAAATATGCTGCGTTGCATATTGAAATAAGCGTTGTGAGTCGAATGGCGATGGTAGGAGCAAGCTGGGCGCGTAACTCGTCTGCCAACTGAGACTGCGTCACTGACCGGCTTTCCCATAAAGCATGAAGCTGGGCCTTGAGACTAGCCATGCGGTTGACAACCTCCTGCTGGTCCCTGCTTGTCGTACGCGAGCGATGGTATAGGGTCAGCTTCGCGATCTGCCGCGACAATTCTTGGAGACGGCAGTAGAAATGGAAAATGGGGCCACTGAGCAGCTGATACAAGTAGTTTGAGGCATCTGCTTCATGCCCGGGTGGTGAATCGACGTCTGGAATTGGGCCATCGTGGCTTGGAAGCAGGCGAAAGACACGTTTTGATAAAAGCCCCGTGGCTCCACCTCGCGTCGTGCTGGACTGCAGTATTTTCAGCCACGCAACAATGCGTAGAGCCAGCTTCGAGTGTGACGAGACGTCTTGAGACCATGTCTCCAACCTCCTGACGAGCAGCGGACTCGGTTCTTGCAGATGCGGTGTTAGGTCACCTGCATGGATAAACTCGAATAAGCACAGCAGGAATATCGCAACCAAAGTGAGGTGAAAGTGTTTGCCATGATCGTTGAGGAGATCATCCACATGCCGCTTTGCAGAATAGTAGTGAGACTGGGCACCGCTAAGGGGGAGAGCATATAGGTGGCCCTTGTATAGCGCCGAGACAGCGGTGATGCAAGAAAGAATTGCCGGACAGGATTGTCCAAAATGCACAATGTAGCGCTTCGCAAGTTCCCAGTTGCAAGAGTCAAATGGCGTGATTCCAGGGCACTCTACATGTTCGAGAAACAGTGTAGTCATATGTGGCGACTCAGTTCGCAGCGCCAAGATGTCGATGGTCACAGTGAGCTCGATGTCCCGGGATATCAAGGCCATGGATGTATCACCACAATTTAGGCTGGACTCAGAGCTGAACGTAGCTGTCGTTTGATCTGGTGGAGTGCCGTCGGCTCCCACGCTCGTATCGGTAATCACATTGCTGCCACTGCTCTGCGTGTGGATTGTTCGCGTAGCCTTCCACGGGACGAACGTGTCCACGCTTCGAGGGGTTTCGGGGTTACCCTGATCGTCCGGGCATGTTGCAACCAGAGGCCCGTGAGAGAGACGGTATGACGTAACACGTTGGCTGGCCCTACTAATGTTTTGCGGTGTTTGCTCCAGCTGCCCACCCGTTGCAGTAACAGAAGACTGCCGTGCTTTTGCGGACTTGTATACGCAGTCGCGTTTGAGTCTTACGCAATTGCTGCACGACGGCTTCGTCTCGTCACATTTGACTTTACGGGACCGACAAGTAAGACAGCCGCTCCGAACACGGATAAAGTGTTTATGCTGGCTTGACCTTTGCATAATGACCGTGTTGCTGGCGAGGAAAACGGGAGATCAATATGTGCTAAGGAGCGGGTCGATATCGAGGCCACATGTCAGGGCTAGCCAGTTGTAGAGCGAGCTTTCGGTGCGAGCCGACAATGGGTCGTGATGAGGGTCGTTGCTGTGAGGTCGGCTGCATGCTAAGCGAATCGGCAACATACGTACGTTAAATCCTGAACTGGACATATATAGACCGTTTTGTGTTGGTAAACCCGTTGAATTAAATATCGTGTGACAGTCCCCAAAGTTCGAGATTCTCACTTCCCACGTCGACTGGAAATCCAGACGTGGGGGAAACTTACCGAGCTGGACATTGGACTTGTTGCCGACCTGGTTCACGTCTCGCTGTGCTCGTGTGCCAAAGACTGACACGGATTGGTCGGTTTGGCCTGGTTTTTTTATTTAGAGTATGTAGTGGAGCTAGCGTCATTGGGAATTGTCCACGAAGCCTCAGGGGCGCTGTCGCCTCCCGGGGGTGGGATTTTACTTTTTTTTTTTCAACGCCTTTCAGTCGATGCTCGGTTGGGAATGGAATGGCTTCACTTTATCTCGCTTATTCTTGCCGAGCCGTAATAAATATGTACGATTGATTTGGGAGCGGTTTCGAGAAGCGAAGAGGATGGCTCCACTTCTTGTTGTTACTACCGACGCCCGCCTTGCCTGCTTGGCACTGTGGCAAGAGAAGATAAAATTGGCGGCACGTGGCTTAAGCACCTTGGAACTTTGATCACCACGTTGAGGATCACGGTTCGATAATGAAGCTGTGTCGTCGCCCTTCCCAAAGGCGAAGATTGGTCGTTTATTTTTATGGAAATCCAGGTTTCTAGCTAGACCTGCCGTAGTTCAAGTTTTTCCCATATTCTTTTGCAACTGTCGCGAAAGTATGGGTCTCCAGCTCTCAAGATTCCTGACCTCCAGGCCCTCGATCTTGGCCTCATCGTCCCAGCGCCTCAGCTGGCACATCTCTTGGCACCACTTCTCAGCACCGAACGTGTCCCGCTCGTCATCGTTCATCGGACCTCCTTGGTAGGCAAGGCTCCTCTTGCTCGCATCAGATAGCTTGTCCATGTAGCTGTGATCGACCGCGCATAAGTAACGCTTGGCTGCGACGTGGGATTCCACGAGGCGAGCCACCTTCTGCGAGAACCCGAGTGCCAGGAGAAATCGACCTCCCAGGACCTCGTGTCCAACCCGTCCCACACTTTGGCCTGCCGGCTGGCCTCCTAGATTTTGGATGGTACTGGCGCCAGCAAGCTCGCGAAGATCTTTGGCCGGTGCATACTGCCCGATATCGTGGAGCAGGGCAGCAACCTGTGTTTCCTCGTCCACAGGTGGAACTGCTGAGGCAGCCTGTGCGGCACATTGGAGGGAATGTTGGAGCTGGGAAATTGACTCGCCGATGTACGGTGTGTTTTCACAAGTGTGGAGAATGCGTATGATATAGTCAGCGACAGACTCCGGTGTATGGTTTGTCGGAAGGCCCATGGTGAAGAATTTCCCTTCGTGGGTGGTTATAGATGTTGGTTTGGAAACTGACGTGGCGGATATGCAGCTTTGCTTATACTGTAAGCGGGCGTCGAGTATTGAGGACGGACAGGATTAATATATATAATTTTTATGTGGCTTCTTACGGACGGGAAAAGGGCCATTTTCAAAGTAGACTTCGGCTAATTGACGAGTTGGATGTTATCGGTCGGCTGCCGCATTCCTAAGGGACATGACCTTAGCTCCCGTCCCCGTAACCCAAAGATGTAGTTCTAATTACGTCACTGGATGAAGGATGTCGCACGAATGGTTTTCATGCCAACAGTAAAGAGATCAAGCTGTCAATGTGTCCCGTGCTAGGGCTGTGAATACGGTATATATTTTATACAAATTCCACGTCTTGTCAAACGTATGCAAGAAAGTTATGGCTCTAGCTCCGGCATAATTGTATTACGACCGAATCGCACTTTCGACTAAAACGTGACCTGCTTCCCTTCGCCAACACTGAGCATTGGTGAACCAAAACCGTAGGTCAGTGCGCCCGTCGCATACGATTCTCCCTCTTTGCGCATATGTGTCGCCGGCCACTCCTTTCCTCTATGTTCGTAGTATCCCTTGCGCAGATCACCCTCGGACAATTGGTTGTAGGTGGCGTAGATGGCCTTTCTGTCGGAAGTGCTTTTGTTGGCGCCGCTGCGGTGGGCTACATAGGAAGTGAAAACGAGAAGCTGGCCTAATCCGGTGAGAGTATTGTCAGTGCATGTGAGTAAGTACAGCCTCTCGCTTTAAAGTTAATCACGCACCGGCTTCGAGCTCAACCGGCGTCCACGTGTGGGAATCCACCCAGGTTGACTCGATGCAGTTTGTGGCAGGGTCGATGGGGACGTCCATTTTATGACTTCCATCAACGACCTCCAGGCCACCATTCCGAAGGCTTGATGGGTCCACACTCAAAAGAATTGTCAGATGCTTGACACGCTTGATGTGAGTGTAGGCAACCGCATCGATATGAGGCGCAAAGCCACCTGTAGCTCGTTAGTAATCCGCACCCCAGGCAACTCCCATCGACATTACCACGCGCAACGTTTCCGTCGTTCATACCGCTTCCTGATAGCTTGTAGTTGATTTTCTCTTTGAACAATTGCATAGGCTGTCCAGAAAGGCATTGCAAGAGATCCTGCAGCGTAGAACCTCGAAGCAATTCTTTAAATCCTTGGTGGCAGTCTGCGAAATTTTCCGTCCGGCAGAGAACAGTATGGCCTTTGTCGTTGACCTCCTGTAAACGTGTTAGATATTAAACGATTTAGTTTGTAAAACAAAGAATAGATAAAATCTGACCTCATAGGGCATGAACTGGGATGTTTCCGTTGGCACCCAGTCATGAACTTCCTGGGCCCAGCGTTGTATATCCGCGACTTGTTCGGAAGATAGGAAATCACGAACAATAAGATATCCGTTTTCCTTAAAGAAGGCAATTTGGTCGTCGTCTAGAACCATGGTGGCGGAATAAGGTAATCGAAGGGAGAGATAGGCGAAAAGGGGCAGGAATGAAACGACCAAATGTGCTTGTTTAGAAAATGGATGCTTGTGTAGGTGTGTGTGTGTGTGTGTTCTTCAAATTGGAGCGGAAAATGCGATGGCATGTCCAATATAAATCTTTATACAACGCACGCACTCGACAAGATAAGTTGTCATAAGTAAATTTTCTTCCAAATACGGTTGATAGACTGACGTTGAATGCTTCGTCGTAAATATGCTTGTTATGCCCCGTTTTTCGTCACACTTTTGTGGAAACGAGGACTCCTGTTTGGCTGTCGCTTATTCGGCTAATGGCCGTCGCTTGCATTGCACGTCGCTAAGATCAACGGCACTAAAATATGGGACAGAGTCGCACTTGTCCCGCTTATGTAAAGTGCATTTTATCTGGCGACCATCTTGGAAAACGTAACTGTGAATGAGCACCCAATAAATATACCCACGTGGGCTTGGATAGCGCTGGTAAGCTCACCATGCTCTCGCAACCGATGTTGTTTCTTGAAAGATGATTGGGGCATTCGCAGAACCGAATGGCTTCCTTGCAGACAGTGTGATGGTCACAACATCGACTCGACATACATCTTGGTACCCGGTGGACGTTTCTCAACTACTTAAGCTCGAAGCATAAGTCTCGAGCTTGCAATTTCAGTCACCGCACATAATTCAACCTCTCGCTTACATCTCAAGCTTAATTCTGGCTAATATTTCCTCAACTCGCATCTCGAATACAATGGACGAATTTGGTTCCGAACCCAAAACAACCATGGTGGTCAACGAAGCTATCGACAATGAACTACCAGCAGAGGGGAATGTCGCCGACCGCATCACAAAACGTTCTTCCATTACCACGGTTGTGGTCAGCGGTGTGGCGTTGTTTTCGGATGGTTACAATGCGCAGATTATTGGATATATGAACCTTATCCTAGCAGAGCTTTACCCGGTAGCCTTCACCAGTGTTATCAAAACGCGGCTTTCCAATGCGTACCTCATCGGCGAGATCTTTGGTATGCTATTTTTTGGCTATGCAATTGACCGACTCGGCCGTCGTACCGGCATTATCTTTGCCACGCTTTTCCTCGTGCTCGGCATTATCATCGCAACGGCTGCACACGGAACGACAGATCTTGGCATGCTCTGGATGATGATCATTGGCCGAGGCGTCTCAGGCTTCGGTGCTGGTGGTACGTCAATACAACCTCTTTGTCCATTTCTTCCCGCTTATATAATGTAACTCACACCGGATGAACATATATAGGTGAATATCCCACATGCGGCACGGGCAGCACAGAGGCGTCCGACGAGACCGCGTATGGCCGCCGTCGGCGAGGTATGCTTGTGGCTGTCGCAACAGACTTTGCGATCGACTTTGGCTTCGTCGTTGCGGGCATCGTGGCGCTGGTCGTCTTGGCTGCGTACCACCAGAACCTTGGTGACGGTGTGTGGCGCGTCTGCTTTGGTCTCGGATTCATCTTGCCCGTAACACTCGTATTTTTCCGCCTCAGCCGGTTCCAGTCAACCCAGTACCGAAAGCATGCTATGAAGAAAGACATCCCATACCTGCTAGTGATCAAGCGTTATTGGAAGCCTATGCTTGGGACGTCGCTGGCTTGGTTCATGTACGACTTTGTGGTACGTATCTGCTAGCCCAGGGCGCAATGGCTCCATCGTCCCCTTCTTTTCCGACCCACGCTTACCCGTTGCAAACACCCAGACCTACCCGTTTGGTATTTTCAGCTCATCCATCGTGTCCACATTGAATCCAAACAACACAATTACACAAAACATCGGCTTCGGAACTGTTATCAACTGCTTCTATCTCCCCGGGTGCCTTGTTGGCGGTCTACTCATGGACCGGATCGGCCGCAAGCAGACGATGACTCTGGGGTTTTTCCTGTGGGCCATTTTGGGATTTATCATTGGTGGCGCCCTCGGTCCTATCCAATCCGTTTTCCCTCTCTTTGTAGTGCTTTATGGCATTTTCAATGCGTTGGGCGAGATGGGTCCCGGCGTACGTATCTACCAGCCATTCAACTGCAAACAATATTGAATAAACACTAACGGGCAGACAGGTGGCAACATTTCTTTGTGGTGCTGAATCGTTTCCTACGCCCCTGCGTGGTCACTTTCTGGGTCTCGCAGCAGCTGTGGGCAAAGCCGGCGCCGCAATTGGCACACAGGTGTTCACACCAATCCAGAACTCGTTCCCCGACGCCGAGAAAGGTATCCAGGGTGTTTTCCTCATTGGTGCGGCATTTGCTACGGTTGGCGGTCTCATCTCATGGTTTTTGATCCCGTCCATGGACAAGGAGCTGGAGAACGAGGATACTCGCTTCCGCGTGTATCTGGAGCAGAATGGGTTTAAAGGGTCGTTTGGAGATCTGTCAACAGTCAACTAAGGGTAGATACATTTCCGGTAGGTATTACTGGTATTGTTCCTACATTAGCAATTAATTAAGCTAAAGTACTTACTTTGGTCGGTCTATTTTTTCTTCCGGGGGTAAGGGAAAGGGACTGGAGAATACGTAGCCTTCAAATACACAAGAAGTGTTGTGTATAAGAGCCTATACTTGTCACATTTTTCCAGCTGTTACCATTACGGAATTATTATACACATTGACATATGGATTGACAATAGGATTCGATTCTACCAAAATTTACACTTTGGAAACACGTCATGCCAGTACATAGAAACGGACTGGCATGGAAGATCAATACGTATAAATAACACTAGCTTAATATTCCCACCGCTTCAGAGTTTGCTCCAGTGAGTCTTTTGCGTTGCGCTTCACAGCTTGGATCCGTTGTGGTCCCATTTTGGCCCGTACGCGTGACATATAAAACATGCCCGGACTGAGATTTTGAATGAACCAGTAAAGATCCGAGAGCGTATCAATGCCCGGCATCAGGTCTACCGGCCGTATGACGCCTTCTACAACAAATGCGGCGTTGGTCTGTTCAATCAACGTCCAGTCCGCCATCGGCACGCCGGCTTTGTCTTCGTCGGACACAGAAACCAGTCCGTGCAGAAGGGCACGTCGAATGGCATTGGAGGGCGACGTTGGGTCCTCGGGCGTCACGATGTGGAACAGCTCCGGAAACGAGTAAAAGTACTCGTCATACAGTGAGGCCACGTGACTGAAGCTCCAGTCGACTAGTGCCGTGATGCGGCTCGTCTGGGGATCGTAGAGGAAATTCTGCAGGTCTTTTTCCGCCGTTAGTGTCGTGCATCCAATAGTTTTATGCGATTTGGATGAACATACTCATATCACCGTGAACAAGCACAGGGCGCGGGTTTGCCTCAATAGACCGTTCGAGGAGAGGTTGGAAGCCCCGCTCGACAAAGGCGTCAATACGGGCGCGCAAGTCCGGTGCATCCTGCCAGCCCTGCACGACGTCACACATATCCATTCTCTGAATTTGTGTTCGTAAATACCTGTTGGTGTTAGTATGTCATTTCCGCTGGGGTTGAATTACTCGCTGTCACGCACTGATAGCATAGTTCGCGATACGTGGCACATGCTTTCGTCGCGCCGTGGATAGTCGTCGGTCCCGTAATAACCCGGCCATCGTCATCAAAGTTGAGACCACCGTAACCAACAACTGATACCGGAAGCTTGTACTGCTGTAATAGGTGAAAAATCCTGGCGATGTCTGTCAAGACAGAGTTCTTGGCGGCACGATCTAGTTTTTTGAACACCTCATCATTCAGTCCCACGCCGCGCTTGCGCTCTTGCAGGATCCAGCCAGAGACCTTTGTGTCCAAATTCACAGAACGCCATCCGTAAATACGGGGCGTGACGGGCTCATCGAGCGACGCCAGGGCGACGCGGGCGAGAGAATAAGCCGCCACCTCGTTTTGCACCTGGACGGTGTCGTTGAGATCCGCTCCCGCGTCAGTGAAGCGAAGAATAACGGTCGTGGTGTCGGCAGGCAGGGTCTCCGTTCCAGGTTGCGGAACGCGTTCCATTTGTACGCCGTATGTGCTTCTTGCGGTCCGGGTACTGGTATTATTCGTCCTGACGTTCGACCCAGGGGCAATGGTCACGGTATACACCTGGGTATTGTTAGAGCCCAACTGAAGCTCGACGGACTCTACTTGGCGACTAAATTCGGATTGGAGGATGTCATGGATCCACGCCTTGGTCTCGGCCGAGATCGTAAGAGTTTTCTTAGCAGGCATTTTGTTGGTATTGGCGTGCGGTGTTGGGCTCTTATGTGGCTGTATAAAACCGAGGATGAAGAATAGTGAAAAATATTAAAAGGGAGAGAAGTAGTAAAGAACGAGGAGGGGATTATGATAAAACTTAGTTTATATGAATTTTGAATCTGATGACTGTCACACGGCGCGAAACTGCCCTTTCATTAATTTATATATTAGAAAGGGTGCTACAGCGGTAAATTATGCCCGGGTATTTAAATAATAATTTAATACTAATAATTACGACAGGGAATAAGACGTGCGTGAGTATGAAAAAATGACTACACGGGTTGTTTCGGCGTGTCCGACTCACATGCCGCATCCGCAGCTTTACTACTCGGTGTCTCATGGATTATTTTATATCTTTAGATTACGCAGTGGTAAACAGAGACCTGGGATGTTATTACATGTATCGTTTAGAGAACATGTAAAAAGAGAGATAATCGTAAATGTAAAATACGACGCAAATGAGACAACAACAAAGTACAATTATTTCGACAACCATCGTTTAATCCTGTAACCACGGTGCGGGCATTGCTGGGGTTATTTTCCGCAGATCTGCGAGCGAGCCCTGGTAACGGTTCTCCTCGGTCCATGAAAGCACAGCATTAAAGTCACGGCAGTTGTGGCGGCTTTCATGACCAAACGTCCAGAAATCCTCAGTGGCATCCAGAGACAGATCCACGTTACACATCAGAGCCTGCCGGATCCAATCAACACAGTGCAGCGGGTGGTCCATGGGGTCACCGGGGTTTGAGATGCCGGGCAACGGTGGCACGGAGATGCCCTCCAGGGCCCATTTAATGGCTCTCTGGCAGTTAGATCGCGGTTAGTTAAGTTAACAAGCTAAGAATAGGGGGGTGGTAGACATACCAGGCAGTGAAGGTGGTGGAAGACTCCAACCTGATAAATTAAGTGGCCGTCGTCAAGAGGCGATGCTCGGGAAGTTTGAGAAGCATTTAGGTTATTATTTCGTGGAATGCTGATCAGACCCTCGCCATTCGGAAATATGTCGTCCCACAAGGTCTCGTTTGCATTTTCACGCCGATACCCCCAGAGATCAAACACTTCTGTGCTTTTGTAATCCTTCAGATCGTCGTCTTTGTGAACTTAGTACTGAGTGTCCAACAAAAGGCGAAGCAAATTTCAAAACGCATTTTGTTGAGTAAAAATTAGAATCTCACAGGTAAAATCAGTATCTCTTCGCCACGAGGGGCGCGACCAGATGGCGTTTAGTAACAAGAAAAGTAAAATAATATGAGCTAATTCGAAGAGGAAGAACCTCAGTCCTCTTCCAAGCCACGACTGCCGTTTGTTCGGTGGACTGTCGACGGTGGGACTTCCTTGTTCATTAATAGAAGGCAGGATCTCGTAGTTCTTGGGCGCCATCATGAAAACCTTTGAATGGTCTGAAACTGGCATCATCGAGAGAGAATGCTACAAGTTGAAGAACTCTTTGGAGTTACGTTTTGTACTTGAATTTTGTCGGCAATCTTAATATATCTACATTACCCTAGCTGACGACACTCCCTCCCCTCTGTCGGAAAGGCTTTTGTATATGTTGTTTTTAATTAGTGAAACAACTATTGGAACAAAGCGGCAGATATTTTTTCTCCCTTTTGAAAATAATCGGGCCTCACTTTATCGCCGTCAGGTATATTTATATCGGCGCCTGTCCCCGTCTGCCATTTTCGAAGAACAGTACCCGCTTCCCTGTATCTAAATACTACATTTCACAGCTACAACAGTACACACACAACAATGGACTCGGCCCGAAACGACGAACTAAAAGAGCACTTATTGGGCCACTCCTCAAGCGAGAATCAGCTTGAAAGAGGCACAGAGTGGTGCCAGTCCGCAACGTTGCATACTCCGCGGCTCCATTATGTCGTTGTGGTCTCCAACTGCATCGCCTGGCTGTTGGTTGTTTGTCTACTTCTCTCACAGCACATTCTGCCGCTTCCTAGACGGGAATTGTGCCCCGCGCACTTATTGTACAGTACGAAAAACCAATATGCAGCCATTAATACCGCAACCATCATTCTTCATGCTGACGAGCTCTTGTACAGCCCCTGTTAAAGATGCCATCGAATATGAAGTACGCACCTTCCAGTTGGGTTTCGGTGATAAGCAGACACCCTACCAGGCAGCACCATCTCCGGAACTTGACAAGCTCTGGAGGGATCTCTACAGTGGTTAGAAGTGGTCGTTATTTGTCTTAAGTTTTAAATAGCGAACCCACGAGTAGCTAATATTTACATCTTCTAGCCGGAATACCGAGCCTTATCCCCCTGGACGCAGCATTGCGGCTACCAAACATGACAATTCCATTCCCCCACGATGAACAGGGTCGCTACATTATATCGCTGGATGTTTTTCACCAACTACATTGCTTGGTACGATAACAAAATTAGCATTAGCCGAAGAAATAAACTGGGGTACTGCTGACACGTTCTCAGAATATGATTCGAATGGCTCTTCGACCAGACTATTACAAAAGCCACACAGTGTTACAGGACAGAAATTTCGCGCGGCACGATGAAACCGACGAAGAGCTGTTCGGGATGGACCACATTGACCACTGCGTGGACTCGATTCGACAATCACTCATGTGCAATGCAGACACAAGCGTTTTGACCTGGGCATGGGACGTCGCGACCAAGACCAATGTACCGCATGTAGATGTGGCACACGTGTGTAAGAACTTCGACAAGATTCAAGTATGGGCGGCTGGCTATTCGGCGCACGGCCGGGAGTCTGATGCCGAATTCGAGACCGCTAATGATACCTTGTAAGTAGGCGCCCCAAGGACATGGCGGCAATCGAGCCAAAAATGCATCTCAGACTGATAAAATTCAATGGTTTTTCGAAATGTAAAATTAGGAAACGATGAATAGCCGGCCAAAATTCGCCAACAACCAACATACTGAAACTCATACGGCAGCAAGGTCCTGCATGGTCATCGCCTGTAAAGGCGATATTAACGGACGATAAATAGCCGGTCAACAAGTCGCCAACAACCAACAGCCAGAAACTCACACGGCAGCAAGGTCCTGCAGGGTTGCCACTCGTATCATGTGATTTTTGTCTGTCTAATGGCGGCGCAACGGCTGAACTGACGGTGGCGCCAACAGACAGTACGTCACCTAAATATTTATTGTTTGTTTTCAGAATCTAAATTTTTTATTTTTTTATTTTCATATCTGCAAACTTTTATTACATCCATACGTGGACTAAAACCTACGCATCACACGCAAACCATTTGGGGGGTTTGGGGGGTGGTAAGGGGCACCGAAAACGGAAGGTGTCATCGACAAAGTTTAAAATAGTACGGATATCATTTAGACCTGGCTGTGCGTGCTACAGCATTCCTGGTACATCGTTGGAGCAACCTCAATCACGGTCTTGTAATCACCAGTATAGACCTCAATCAAAGAAGTGTCGGTCAGCTCAACATACATTTTTTTAAAGGGAATAAATCAGGAGTGACAGGAAAGAAAGACAAGCCCCTCATTAACAAGAATAACAGTGAACATAAAATACAAATCATACGCCGCTCACCCTTCGTCCTATTTTCAAAAGATGAAACGCTGCAACTACAAGCACAAAAAACAAAATTAAGATTCGAAATAGATTCAGCCTTATATCGTCAAAAATGAAGTTCGTCACGATCACGTTTCCCGTTTCCCTGCTCGTTGTCGGAGCCATCTCCATACCCATGGCCCACTATGCGAACCCGGAAACTGCTTTGGACAAGCGAAGCTACTTTCTTCGAAGCGCCTGGGGACAAAAGGCCCAGGACGACATCAAGGAGTCTGCTTCCGTGAGTGGTCTCGATACCGTGACCGAAGCAGCTGCTTTGCTGGACAAACGGGACGAAGCCGCGCCCGACTGCTACTCGCTTCGTTCTCAATGGAGCGCCGAGGTCAATTCCAAGCGCGGCATTGCCTGCTAGATCCTTGGTCTGTATCTCAGGTGAGCTTGTATACCAGAAACTTCCACTTTTCATCTAGTCATTAACATTTTGATAGGCCCTTTAGAACTACGATAATGTAGTCAGAAGCTCCATGCTTGGCAACACTCGTTTTTCTTGTGTTGTAATCGTCCAATAGCGCCACCGTAGTTTAGTTCCCTATGTATACGTATACCTCCCTAGTGAATTAGAACGGAATCAGGTTGTATTAGCGAGAACGCGATGCTCTACATAATGCGCAATGTGAATTGCTTGTGACTTTTTTATTTTCTGACTATTGCTGTATTTTCAGCACTCCTATATTATTTGTCAAAGAATAGTAGAGTGAGAGTAGCAATAGGAAATAACCATAATTTCCGAGGCGGTTATGGCGGCGTATGTGCCGTGTTCTTGTGATGGCCGATGAAATTGCTGCGCCGCGAATTGAATTGTCATCATGCGTCGGTAGAGGAATCCAGATGAGGTATTTATACTGAAATAGTAGTAATTTTAGGGTGACTTATTCACGACGAGACTGAAATAAGTAAGCTCTCGCATTCGTGAGTTTTGTTTTACTCAGCCAATTAATAAAGAAAATATGGATCACCACCGCCACCTATTTCAGGGCAGGCATAACCATGGCCTAGATACCGACCAGGACGTTGAAATGGATATGTCTAGACGTTTGCGGAAGACCAAAACGAGAAAGATATCATGGATTTACGCTGCGCCCTGGTGCTTATCTTTTCTCCTGTTCATTGTCGTCCTGTATCTAATGCAGCGACAGGGCTCACCAAGATGCGCATTGAACGGAGAGTGTCACGAAAGTCTGCTTTATAGTATGTATTCTCATTCTTTATTTCTGCAGTCATTTCGCTGTCTTCGTTCCTAATGCGAATCAAATAAAAAGGCCCGGCGCAGGATGTCGTTGAATACGAAGTTCGCAAATTTCGCCTTGGCCTGGACGGCGACGAGACCGAATACCAAGGCAAACCATCTCCAGAGCTAGACCGACGTTGGAATGGTCTGTACGAGAGTAGGTTATGTTGCATTTGTTCGCTCACACCAATTCTTTGATGCATTATTTTAATTTTATTCTTAGTGGGCATCAACCTGATCACAAAGGACATGGCCGCACGACTGCCCAACAAGACAATCCTATTTCCTCATGACAAACAGAGACGATATCTCGTCGAGCTAGACGTGTTTCACCAGCTACACTGCCTTGTATGTCGATAAACTGACTCACCCCCAAATGCGCTATGAATATTCCGATAACATTGTCGCCTATCTAGAACATGGTCCGTAAAGCGCTGCATCCCGAATACTACGAACCACACACACCCGGCCTTCATACTGGTGATGAGGACGAGCTACTCGGGCCACATCATATCGAGCACTGCATTGATGCCATCCGGCAGTCTCTTATGTGTAGCGCCGACATCAGTTCGTTGACGTGGAGCTGGGACGAGGACCGGCACCGACACATGGAACGGGGCACCGTCCTACACACTTGTAAGCGCTTCGACAAGATCCAGGAATGGGCTCGTGCACATACGGTCCGAATGCCATTTGACGCTACCTATAGAGAGAGAAATGATCCTCTAGACCCTGAGACATGGGACTGACTTGTCAGACGGCCAATAACTTGAAATTTTGAAGACATGTTCTATATAATCTACTTTACATCTTACCTTTTGTACGGTGAAGAAGCTTGCCGATGCAAACTACGGGAGCTACGAGGACTTGAAACCCTGATATCCGTTGTGATTCCGGACACGGGCAGCACCGTCCATGTCTGAGGGGGGACGACGCTGCTAATCACAAACCATGTCAACCAGATCCACAGAGATGCTGCAGCGCGCGGCGTGAACAATACAGCCCGCCTCGACAAGATGAAGCAGTCCTAGACCGCGTGCTGGCGTACCGCATCGCGGAGCAGGGAACGCGGACCATTCCAAATCTCAGCGAGTAACACGAAGAAACAAGGCAGCACACTAACGTAAACTAGGGTTTAAAGATCCCCCGTCGTCGCCAACAAGACCTTACACGATAACATCACGCACGGGAATCTGCTTAACAATATCTAGAGTTTCATTTTTAAACAGTTGAATCAAGGCGCAACTCAACCACTACGTGGCCATCAACGCCATCTAGGAATACGTCAGCCGCCTGGAAGTAACCGTTAGACGTGGGCCTTGTTGCCCCACGTGTCATAAGAAGTGACACATAAGTAACTCGTTTAGTTGAAAAGGACACGGTGTAAGTGGTATATTATGGTGAGGTTAAGTGAAGAACTAAGCTTTAACTAAACAAATGTTTATGCAAGGTAAAATAATACACTTCGACGAATGAAGACTACCGGGAAACGGAAAAAAGTCGACGATCTTACTACACAGATTTAAATTTGGTGGATACCCTTTATCTACCTCGACTTGATTTGTGTCGCGTCTTCTTGGTGCTCCACTACCTCCTCCATCTTTGTCAGGTTGTTTACCTCCTCGTAAGCATCGACCTTCTCAATTGTAAACTTGCGTGCAGAAACACCGCGGCGAAACAGAATGTCAAGCTCTTCGTAAGTGCGGCCATTTGGTTCCGGAAGACGGAAATAAGCCCAGACCAGCATAAGCACACCCGTACCGGCCCAAAAGAACGCAGTCTTACCCTTGGCATTAAGCGCTGTGGGATTCATAAACTGCGGCTCGACAACCTGCGAGAAGATGTTGACAATCTGATAGAATGTACGTGCGAGACACACTGTCAATGGTCGAAGGCGGGCGGAGGAGATTTCTGCGATAAACGAGTAGGCGATAGGGCCCAAAGTCATCGCGTAACACAGTACCCAGAGGATGCACAGGGCAGACTGCGCCCACAGAGCGCCCTTGGTGTGAGAAGACACACTGACGATACCGATGAGTAAAAGCAATACGAGCGTGATAACCTGGCCACCAAGGTAAATCGAGCGGCGGCCAATATAGGCAATAAGCCACCAAGACAGTATGGTGCCCACAAAGGCAATCGAAGTGGTGCCAAGATTCAGCTTATACGCGTCATCGGGACTAAGGCCGGCATTTTCAAAGAAGTATGTTGGGACCTGGTTTTGTTAACATTGGACGAGGAAAATGACGTAATTAAAGTACTGAACGAATCGTGACCGACAAGGACGGGCAAAGACTTACATATGCAAACGTGCTGCCAGAGAGGATCTGACCTGCAAAGGCAAGGCAAGCAATCTCGGTGCGCCGCAAGTCGCTGCCCTTGAAGCACTCCAAGTAACTAGTGCCGGCTGTGACTTCAGATTCCATCTTGATTGTGTGAAGAATCATGGCCAGCTGGCCGTTAAGCTGATCGTTGGTGCGGTCGGATGTAAGCCGACGGAGGCTCTGTTTGGCTTCTTCAATTCGATCGCGGCCGACAAGGTACCAAGGGCTCTCTGGCATGAGGTAGCAGCCAATAGTTAAAGGCAAAGGCCAAAGCCACTGAATGGCGAAAGGGATGCGGTAGGACCACTGATCCGAGCGGTTAATCAGGCTTTCCATGACACCGGCAGCAATCAACTGTCCGATGGCCCAGCAGAGATTCACGTAAGTCGTCAGGTACGCGCGCAGGTTGGTCGGACACACTTCGGAGGCATAAGACGGACCGACGGTGGCGAAAACACCCCAAGAGAAGCCGCACAAGATTTGGCCGACGAGTAGTACAGCGAGAGAGTTGGCGAAGAAGGTGATGAAGATAAACGCAGCCATGAAAACCAAGGAGATGCACATGACTTTTCTGTAGCCAAACCGTGTGCACAACTGACCGTTCATGATGCCGCCTAACTAGTCAGATTACGACATGAACTATGGAGACGTTAAAGTCCAGAGAACGTACCGAAGATGGCGCCGACCGTGCTGCCCATGCTGATTCCTTGCTGCCACGGCGTGGAGATGAGGTAGCCCCTATCAGGGCCATAATAATTTCCATATTTCTTTGCGAAGCTAGGATAGCCGATAAAATTGCTGATGAGGATTGTGTCATAGCCCTCCATAACCACGGACATGGAAACCATGAGCGACCAAAGCACAGCCTTGCGGTTTCTCTTTAGGGCAACCCAAGTAGACTCCTCGTGCTCGGCATCGGATGCTTTCTTGGCCTCGAGCAGGGACGTGGCACCTAATTTGTCCTGTAGGTGCAGTGCGGCCTGCGTGCCGATTTCGATATCAGCCATGTTTGCACAGACGGGCGGGCGGAAATGGAACCACAGTTCTGGAATACGATACTAAAATGACGTTTAGGGGGCGATAGTTGTCATGAAGCATAAAACACATGCCTGGTAACGGCACAGGTAATATATAGCACAGAATATAACGTGCCAGTAAGATAAAACGAGAAGCCTGTTACAATGTTTCGTGTCACGCAAATTTTCCAAGGCGGTTTATCTCCGCTGCTCGGTACATGTTAGACCGACTACAGTAACTTTATTCGATTTCACAGCGGGGTTTTGTATGAAAAAACGACGAGTTTTGTTATGTTGTTTGATAATGGCGCACGGGCCGGTATTCCTACCAAACGACATGCTACCCTGTATTATTTGCTGATTGGTTAACACTGGGCGGGGGACATGTACGATCGAATCAACTTTGCATCCTTTGCTTTCCCCCATTTCAAAACAATGTCCCAGGGTCTCGGAAGTCCATACGACACGTTCGCCGTCAATAATATATATCCGGGGCCCCTGTCCTTATACCGGTAAGGCCTAGAATGAAATGCTTCTGTCCCTTGAATTTTAGACAACGAGGCTCCCTCGCCTCTTAGATAAGTAGCCAAGCTGGACCTCACTGTGTTCGAGGACGGCGGCTTTCGTCATTTTCCTTGGCAACAGCATAATTTGGTGCGTTCAACACATCGAGTCCAGTTTGGTCTGTTCGCGCGACACAGGAATCCCAAAAACGATCAAATGCTCAGACACCAGAAACCAGGAACGTGTTGTGCCAGACTACTTAAGGACTGTGCATTGGCAAACATTGCACACGCGTAGTGAACGAACGCAAGTTGCCAGATGTCGCCACCGGAAATCTATCACCTTCTCGTCTTTGATCGGCGAGTTGGCGATGTCACTCTAATCACGCCGACGTTGGGATGCTCTACGTCGGCCCTTAGAGCCGAGTGGCGTCCATGAAATGTCCACCTACCCCGCACCGCAACTCCGTCAGCGAGCCGATCCGTTTCTTATTATTCCCGGATGATATTTTGATACGTTCTGTGATTGGAGCGAAATATTCGCTGCTCGCGAGAAAATTAAAACGTGTCGTAATTTTTTGCTATTTTTTTTGTCCATTTTTTGGTACTAGTGACTTCCGTTGCCTTCACTTTTTGTAAATTCTGAATCACTCGTGTCGGCGGTCCACTGCAAATTACACGTCGCCGACAGTAGGTCGTGGCTCTGATCTGACCTCTCTTTCAGCCGATGTATGATACAAGAGTTTCTTCCGTCCTGCCAATGTCATTTCATTTCGCGCTATACACCGGCCGGAACGTCTCGCTTGCATTCGACAAACACTCCCCTTTTCTCCAATATGAAGATTCGCGATGGAATGTGGCACACGGCTGAGGGCATGTCTGTCAGCTACGCCGAAGAAATATACGAGACAACCTCAACACCGCGCGGTATCCGGCTGCTGTGCCCGACGGGTAAGACCCGGTCCCGCGGCGACACTCTCAACCAGCCGACTGTGACGCTCACCATCGAGGCCGAGTCTGATGGAATCGTATCAGTGGAAGTTGTGCACTGGGACGGTGAACTGCGCCGCGGCCCCAACTTCGAACTGTTCCCTCATGGCCGGCTGGCAGTCGAGGCAGTGGTGACCAAAGACGCACTGAGCACGACCGTGGCATCGGGAACGGTGGCCGCAACGGTAACAACGAATAACGAGGACGGTTCCCGAGCGTTTGGTATCCGTTTCCACCCGGTAGCAGCAGGTGAGAGTCGGCGCACTCTGACTTCTCTCAGCCACCGAAGCGTGGGCTTTGCAATTAGTCCGGCCATATCGAACCCGCAACAAATAGAGACTATGAGTGACAAGACGCACTACATCTTCTCGCAGACGGACCTCGGCGTGGGAGAGTCTATTCACGGACTGGGCGAGCGATTCGGCGGGTTCAACAAGGTCGGCCAGCAGGTACAACTCTGGAATGCAGACGGTGGCACCAGTAGCGAGCAGGCCTACAAGAACATCCCCTTCTGGTTGAGTTCACGTGGGTACGGAGTGTTCCTTGACACGCCCGATCGCATTGAGCTCGAGGTTGGTAGTGCGCGCTGTTCTCGCGTTGAGGCACTTGTGCGTGGTCAACGCCTCAAATGGTATCTGATTTACGGACCTACTCCGCGTGACGTGCTGCACCGATACTCTTTGCTCACTGGCCAGCCAAACATTCTGCCGCCCTGGAGTTATGGCCTCTGGCTTAGTACTAGCTTCACCACAAACTATGACGAATCCACCGTCCAAAGCTTTCTGAGTGGCATGCGTGACCGCGGCATGCAGGTCGATGTCTTCCACTTTGACTGCTTCTGGATGCGTGCCTTCACATGGACTGACTTTGTTTTTGACTCGGAGCGCTTTCCCGACCCGGCCGGGCAAATTGCGCGCCTCAAGGCTTCGGGCCTCTGCCGCAAAGTCTGCGTCTGGATTAATCCATACATTGCTCAAAACGGGGCCGCTTTCTCCTATGCTGCCGAAAAGGGCTACTTGTTGCGCCGTCCCAATGGGGACATCTGGCAATGGGATATGTGGCAGGCAGGTATGGGACTTGTTGATTTCACCAACCTAGACGCATGTGCATGGTATGCAGCCAGCCTTGAGAAGCTGTTCGACATTGGTGTTGATGCTATCAAAACCGACTTTGGCGAGCGCATTCCCACACGCGACATCCAGTGGCACGACCGTTCCGTTGACCCTTCCCGGATGCACAACTACTACACGCTGCAATACAACCGTGTTGTCTATGAGGCCCTAATTGCTCGTTTCAGAACCGGCCAGGGCGTCCTATTTGCTCGATCCGCTACAGCCGGGACGCAACGCTTCCCCCTGCACTGGGGCGGTGACTGTGAGAGTACCGCTGTTGCTATGGCCGAGTCTCTGCGCGGTGGTTTGTCGCTTGGCTTGTCTGGATTCAGTTTCTGGTCCGTCGACATTGGTGGCTTTGAGGGCTCACCGCCGCCTTGGATATACAAGCGGTGGGTTGCTTTTGGCCTACTTTGCAGCCACAGTCGTTTGCATGGCAGCAATTCCTATCGGGTACCCTGGACTATTGATGATGACGACCGATCTCCTGGTAGTGCCACCACGACACTTGCGCGCTGGACAGCACTCAAGATCCGATTGCTACCCTACATCTTGGCCCAAAGTCACGAGTCGGTCGCCGTCGGTCTTCCTGTAAGCGTACGCGCCACTTGTATTGAGTTTCCCGATGACCCTACTGCCTGGACCCTCGACCGCCAATTTTTTATCGGTAACAGCCTCCTCGCGGCACCTATTTTTGAGGAAGGTGGTGAGGTAGAATTTTACCTACCGCGCGGCCGCTGGACGTCGTTCTTTACTAATAAGGTCCGGATTGGCCCTGGCTGGTTCCGTGAACGCCATGGATTTGGGTCCCTAGCTCTCTATATTCGTGATAACACCATTCTCGTCCTCGGTTCTACCAACACAGCAGGTCGCAGTGCCGTGTACGACTATGCAAATGATTGTGAAGTTGTCACATACGGGGCCAAGCCAGGTGCCCAAACAGCCGTTGTGGATATCGATGGAAAGATTTGCGGATCACTGGAAGTGGACCAGGACGGAAACCTCGTTGGAACTAATGTCTTGACTGGCAACTGGACACGTAGTCGAGATAAACGGGTCTTGGAGGATACTGTAACTGTAGAAGAGATTATCGATCTTACGGTTTAGACTAGTTAGAGTGCTATGGGTTGGTTAGATACGTAGCAGTGACAGTAACTCTAAATAACACCTACTTAATAGACAGGACAATTAAATACGGTTATTAAAAAAAGGTGCCCGGTCTTATTACTGTTATAGTTGCTGGTCGGATAGGTCTTGACGATGCTATTGGCTGTAGTCCAGGGGATGAAGTCGGGAAATGAGGCTTTTATAGATTTAATGAGAATTCCAGTAGAAACAACAGAATATGGCCCAATTCATGCCCATACGCTTATTTGACAACAGATCGAGATAAGCGAGTGGGATGGGAGATGGGTGTTGTCGATGTCGAGTCGTCTTGGCCGTCGGTTAAATATCACAACGAAAGACGAGCAGACAATTCCGACGACTGTTTGCCATGTTTATTTAGGACCTGGGTGTGCTTTGGAGAGGCTTGAGTGACTAGAAACCACCGATGTATTCATTTGTTAGTTAGGGTTAAGGGTTAGGGTTAGTTAGTTAGGGTTAGGGTTAGGGTTAGTTTTAGGGTTAGGGTTAGGGTTAGGGTTAGGGTTAGGGTTAGGGTTAGAGGTTAGTTAGGGTTAGTTAGGGTTAGGGTTAGGGTTAGTTAGTTTAGTTAGGGTTTAGTTAGGGTTAGTTAGG